CAGGTTATTTAACTTCTTTTAAAAATGATGACAACATGACATTTTGACAACAGTCCAGGAAATAAATTTTATCGTTAATGTTTACGTTAATGTTTTTCATTAAATTTTGTCAAAGTGCAAATCTTCACTTCGTCAAAAAGTTAATGTTTTTGGTTAGTCTTCATATCGATATTTTACAACAATTCCCCAATGTATAAACTTTTCATACGCTTTTTCATAAGCTTTATATACCTTCAGAAATTTTGCATAATCTTTTACATGTTGTTCGTTCTCTTCTTCTGTCATGAGTTCCGAATATTCTAAATTCATGTTCTTTCATATGAGATAAAATTTTATAAAAAAAATAAAATTAGCTTAGATTTTTTTATTCTTCCTCTTTGAAGTTATCGAAATATTCTGTTATTTTTTCCTTCAGTAATGGTAAGTCTTCTTTGAATGTAAGTATTGTGCAACCTTTGATGTCATAGTGTGTTTGAGGAAGAGTATTTTTGACAATTTCCTTTATTTGCTCATTCGGTGTCATTGAAATCGGTAAGTTTTCACGATAGAACCAATTTCTGTCAGATTTGTAAATCTTAGCAAGGTCATAAAAGCTCTTGTTGTTTCTTCTGACTAAATGCAACATAACCATATCTTTATCTTCTTCTTTCTCCAACTCTTCAGTATATATCATATACTTATAACTCTTTTCCTTTCCTTTTGGTACTGAACGTGGTATTCTTTTCTGTATGCTTTTGTCTTTGGATTCAATGACTTCATCTTTTGCTTGAAGTTTCTTTTCCATCTCTCCACGTTCTGCTTTATATAGTTCATCTAACATCATGAAAATATAACAAGCATAACGAGGTGAAGCCCACATTGCTACAGCATTTACTAAAAGTCTATGAACATAATAACCTTTCAAACCAGGTGCCAAATTCTTGCGATTTTCGTACGGAATCTCTTCCCTCGGTTTTCCGAGGGAAGCAATCATATGAGGAAATTCTTCTAAAAGTTCTTTTGCCTGTTGGTTTTCAAACCAATGATATGCTTGCTTTGTAGAAAGAAGAGCGTTCATTATACTTTGCATTTGATACATATCATCTTTGACTGAACGAATGAGACGTAACTGTTTGTTATACTGTATGTATTCGTATTCTTCATTTATGGCTTCATGAACGATAGCAGTTGTTGTGTTCTCTGATGTTGACATTACTGTCTTTATATTCCGGATAAAAAAATAAATAAAAATAAAACTAACTTTATTTTTCTTTCATAAGGAAATGTTAAAAATTCATGATTTTCGAGAGTTTTAGACCATGTTAGAAAAGTGGTTAGAAAACGTGTTAGATCTAACATTCTAACATAAACATTATTTTTTGGTGTAAATAAATGGTACCATTAATGATATCATGACTGTTCTCATTCATGTCTGATTTACATCTAATGAAAAAGTTTAGAAGAATTTTCTTATTCTTTCTGGCATATTTTTGTCTTTCCAGTACTCCCGCTCTAATGGTCCCAGATGTGTTGGCTTTGACTCTCTCAAGTTCTTAGATGGTATAACATCTTCAACACCTCCTTCATATCTTACTTTATAAGTGTCATCGTTTATGTTGTAGCCAAGTATTTCAATAACCACTCCTCGCTTTGCTTCGTCAATGGTTTCAGCAAGTTTGCCATTACTACTTTCAACTAATTTCTGACGAGGGTAAAACGCAATAGAGTCGTCGGCAGCTTTTATAAGATATCCATTACCTTGTGTAGAGTCTACGATATAATAGTTTCTACTTAACCTTAAACGTTTCTTGTCAACGCGTTTGTCGTCAAGAACTACACGAACTTTTGTACCAGGAATGAGGGTAAATTGTGTTGAATTTCTGATATTTTGTGTTTGGCTTCGTTCTTTTGTATATACTTTTCTTCTGTTTGTTGTGTCATTGAATTTGGGTGTATGTCCTGTTGTAGAATGTGTTTGAGGAATTATATACTTCGAGAAAATGTTTCATTTTCTTCGGTAAAGTCTCGCTCTTGATTTAAATCTCTGAGAGTCCTTATGAAGCGGTTTATGATGCCGAGTATGTTATGGTTATGGTCTTCAGTAGTGTAGTGAGTTATGTTATGCTTAATGAGAAAATCTGTGATTTCATTGCTGAGGTATGCACTGTCTTGTCTGATGTTAAAGTACTTGGGCTATGTTCTGCTACAAACTTTTGTAAAACTCTTAAACACTTCACGAGTTCCTTTATTTTTCATTGGATATGCATATGCTTTACGAGTGTTAACATTAATGAAGATGAGGAATGGTTTATGTCCTCCTTTTCTGCTTGAACGAGAGTGTCAAATTGGTATGCGTCAGGAGCGTTGGCAGTAAATTGGTAAAAAGTAGTCGTAAGGGTTTATTTTTGTTTGATGTACAACATTTTTGTCAAAAACCTTTTCACTTCAGCTCTGTTAGTAAATCCCCAACTCTTTGCAGCTTCATTGAATTTCTTAAATGACCTCCATGGATGTTGTTCGAATACTTCTTTCAAGCTCATTTATGTAAAGTTAAAGATTTTATTCTAGGCTCAAGCGAGTTCATTGAAACGCGGTACCATGCGAATATAGTCACAAATGGTGGCATGTAATCTTTACCCAAGCCTGTTGGATTTGTTGTGAAAGTATGGACATGATTTCCTCCCGGTTCAGTTTGTCGAAAAATCTTTTTTGCTGCATTGTTATAAGATGGAGATAAAACGTCATTGCCAGCTTCATACTCTGAGTTGTATAATGGGTGGTCTCTTAATGAGTGGCTATGGTCGCCAGAAAAGTTTGTAGTTCCTGTATGAGTGTGCGGTGGAAGGTTTGCTTCTTTAATTTTCTTTGAACCACCCGTTTGCTTTGAAGAGTTGTTATATACGAAAACGATAAAAACGGTTTGACAGAAAAGTGACAACTTTACGTGTCAAAAATATAAAAAGTGATATTTTATTCATCATTATCTTCTTCATAATTTATTTCATATTCTTCGTCTTACCAACAAAAGATGGGAATGTGAACAATTGCGGGCAATTTTTAGCCATTTTGGCTTGGAACTAGAGCCTGCGAGGTACATGGATAGTATCAGTACCTCACAGGCTCTAGTTCTCTATATGGCGCCGAGAAATTTTGGTGAAATGTGGTCGCATTTCACCAAAATTTTTTCGGCGCCATAGGATGAATTGGAGGGTGAGAGATATTATTTCATACAATACTACTCTCACCCTCCAATTCCCAGCCAAAATGGCTAAAAATTGCCCGCAATGTGAACAATTGCGGGCAATTTTTAGCCATTTTGGCTTGGAACTAGAGCCTGCGAGGTACATGGATAGTATCAGTACCTCACAGGCTCTAGTTCTCTATATGGCGCCGAGAAATTTTGGTGAAATGTGGTCGCATTTCACCAAAATTTTTTCGGCGCCATAGGATGAATTGGAGGGTGAGAGATATTATTTCATACAATACTACTCTCACCCTCCAATTCCCAGCCAAAATGGCTAAAAATTGCCCGCAATGTGAACAATTGCGGGCAATTTTTAGCCATTTTGGCTTGGAACTAGAGCCTGCGAGGTACATGGATAGTATCAGTACCTCACAGGCTCTAGTTCTCTATATGGCGCCGAGAAATTTTGGTGAAATGTGGTCGCATTTCACCAAAATTTTTTCGGCGCCATAGGATGAATTGGAGGGTGAGAGATATTATTTCATACAATACTACTCTCACCCTCCAATTCCCAGCCAAAATGGCTAAAAATTGCCCGCAATGTGAACAATTGCGGGCAATTTTTAGCCATTTTGGCTTGGAACTAGAGCCTGCGAGGTACATGGATAGTATCAGTACCTCACAGGCTCTAGTTCTCTATATGGCGCCGAGAAATTTTGGTGAAATGTGGTCGCATTTCACCAAAATTTTTTCGGCGCCATAGGATGAATTGGAGGGTGAGAGATATTATTTCATACAATACTACTCTCACCCTCCAATTCCCAGCCAAAATGGCTAAAAATTGCCCGCAATGTGAACAATTGCGGGCAATTTTTAGCCATTTTGGCTTGGAACTAGAGCCTGCGAGGTACATGGATAGTATCAGTACCTCACAGGCTCTAGTTCTCTATATGGCGCCGAGAAATTTTGGTGAAATGTGGTCGCATTTCACCAAAATTTTTTCGGCGCCATAGGATGAATTGGAGGGTGAGAGATATTATTTCATACAATACTACTCTCACCCTCCAATTCCCAGCCAAAATGGCTAAAAATTGCCCGCAATGTGAACAATTGCGGGCAATTTTTAGCCATTTTGGCTTGGAAACTAGAGCCTGCGAGGTACATGGATAGTATCAGTACCTCACAGGCTCTATTCTCTATATGGCGCCGAGAAATTTTGGTGAAATGTGGTCGCATTTCACCAAAATTTTTTCGGCGCCATAGGATGAATTGGAGGGTGAGAGATATTATTTCATACAATACTACTCTCACCCTCCAATTCCCAGCCAAAATGGCTAAAAATTGCCCGCAATGTGAACAATTGCGGGCAATTTTTAGCCATTTTGGCTTGGAACTAGAGCCTGCGAGGTACATGGATAGTATCAGTACCTCACAGGCTCTAGTTCTCTATATGGCGCCGAGAAATTTTGGTGAAATGTGGTCGCATTTCACCAAAATTTTTCGGCGCCATAGGATGAATTGGAGGGTGAGAGATATTATTTCATACAATACTACTCTCACCCTCCAATTCCCAGCCAAAATGGCTAAAAATTGCCCGCAATGTGAACAATTGCGGGCAATTTTTAGCCATTTTGGCTTGGAACTAGAGCCTGCGAGGTACATGGATAGTATCAGTACCTCACAGGCTCTAGTTCTCTATATGGCGCCGAGAAATTTTGGTGAAATGTGGTCGCATTTCACCAAAATTTTTTCGGCGCCATAGGATGAATTGGAGGGTGAGAGATATTATTTCATACAATACTACTCTCACCCTCAATTTTAATTACTTAAACTCATTCTATTTTTTTGACATGTAAATGTCACTTTTACTGAGATCTGACACAATGTCAGATCTCTTTTTTTCGTATATAAGAGAGTTAGCACAGTATAAGAATTTGTCTACAATCTGCTGCCATGTACCAAAACCTAAAACTGTTTCTGGATTTGTTGAGTTCATTGACGTATAAATAGAACCAATGGGATATAATGTTTGAAGTATTTCTGTCTTTAATGTTTGAAGCTCTGTTTTGTCTGCTTTCTTATCTAACATTGTTGGTAGTTCATATGCTTCAAAGTTTCTGGCATGATCTTCGATATTCCTGCAACTCTTATCTAAATTGTTAAGAGTATCTTTTACGCTTGTACTTGGATTCTCTAAAGGTGCACTTGAACCAAGGTCAAAGTTCAATATTATGTCATCAGCTCTAACAGTAGTGAAGGATTTATGTGTATGGTTCTTGTCTGCTTTACTGTCTAATGTAGCTTGAAGTTCATTTATATCGGAGATGCTGTGTTTATGAGATTTCAAAACTTTGTTCGTTGCGTCAAGTTCATTTTTGTCAGCTTTACTTTTAATAGCATCTTCAAAAGTTATTTTTGCCTTAACTCTTAACATAAATCTTGGTTCAACTAATACACCGTTAACATTGAAAGTAGAGGCATAAATTTCACCGGTATAACCAAATGCTTCTGGTGCTTTAGCTACATCATACTGTACAGTACAGCTTATGTCATAACCTTTAGCACGAATGTATTTATATCTTCTTTCATTAACATTTTTTGTCTTCGCTTCATCACTTCGTGTTAAATATCCATGGTAGTCCGTTATAATCTGTTCGTCTGAAGTTATATAATGAACATGGTTCTTGTCCGCTTTACTATTTAATGTAGCTTGAAGTTCATTTATATCGGAGATATTGTGTTTATGAGATTTCAAAACTTTGTTCATTGCGTCAAGTTCATTTTATCTGTTTTACTATTTAATGTAGCTTGAAGTTCATTTATATCGGAGATATTGTGTTTATGTTCTTTATCTGCTTTTTCGGCTAATTTCTCTTCTATCTCATTTATTTCAAGTTCATGCCTACCACCACCTCCCGAAGAAGTATTTTTCTTCAGCTCTTGAAGAACGTCCACTTCGCCATCTTTGGTGTCAATAATGAGACTTTGAGTTAAAACCTTTCCTGTCTTAATGGATGTTTGTAAAACTTCTTCTTCACCGTGTTCGGGTCATGGTCGTCATCATATCTTGTGAAATCAGAGATGTTGTCATACATTAAGCATATCTGTCTCAAAAGTTCTGCTATTTGAAACTGGAACGAAAGATATACAGAACTTCATCATCTCCTAAAGTCAAGTCTGCTTTCTTAAGTATTTCTTGAATGTATGCAATGAGAACAGAGTACCTTGGAAAATATTCGAACAATATTTCATTAGCTGTTGGTTTTGGTGGTTCTTTTGGAGTTTCTGTTGTTTCAGTTCCTTCTGTAGGTTCTGTTGGAGTTTCTGCATCTCTTGACTTCAATGCTCTTGCTCTCAAAGACCTAAATGTTAGAGCACCGGGTTTTACAAAGGACTTTATAAATGCTTTAATAGTTCCTGGTAAGTTATTGTTAGCATTAAGTAAGTTCCTTATGCTTCCATCATGTACGTCCATAGCACTATGTAAAAAATCTATACTTTTCTTGTAGTCAGCAATAGACTGACTGTGATTTTTTAAAGATTTGTCAATACCTTTAAGCCAATCTTCATGCATGTCTGATACTGAGCCAAGAATATCATTTGCTTCCTTTAGTGTATTTTGTGCTTGTCGTAAAGTATCCAATCCCGTACGTGCATTTGCTATACGTCTTACAGTATCTATTTGACTCCTTGTTTCTTGCATCCAACCAGATAAAGTTTTAATAGTATCCGAACCATTTGAAATGAAGTTCAAAGCATTTTTAACGTCATCTAAAAGCTTCTTCACCAAGTACTGCCCATATCTTTCCGATTTGGTATTGAAGAACTCCATATGAAGCAGCTGTTAAACCAGTATTTATAAGGTCCCATATCCATGATTTAGCAGTTTTTCCATCCTTTCCATCCAAACCGTTTTCGCCTTGAGGTCCTTGTATTCCTTGTATTCCTTGTGGTCCTTGAGGTCCAGTGTCACCCTTCTCTCCTTTCAGTTCATCTTTATGTTCGTTATAATATTCTAATGTCATAAGGTGTACATCATTACTGCTACCAGCAACGCCGAGAATTTGTTTCTCATTCATGACTAAATTCTTTAGGCATTTAATGTTGTCGTCAAATCGAAAGCTCTTTAACAATTCAATGAGAACATTCATACTTTCACTAATGAGGCATCTACTGTTGAATTTATATATTGCACCGTTCCATCATTTATGATGGGAACCTTGCTTGTTGTAATGAATGGGTCATAAGTGTTAAAAGTATCGAAATCAATGACTTTTTTAGTTTTTCCATCGTCAATGACTAAATCATTGCCTTCAATGGTTAAAGTTGAGTTTTCGTTTACTAGTTCATGTGCTCTTCTTGCTTCATTTGTTTCATACGCATATGCAGCAATAGTCATATTTTAATGAGAATAAAATGTTGTTCTATTTGCAAAGTACAGACCCAAACGAATACGGGACAGTAAAGCTACAAACAAACTTAGGTCTTCAGAATGAAGCGCTTGCTTTCAGAGTTGTTGACTTCAATACTATCGCAACTTTTGTCATAACAGATGAAACAGATTTCATAGAGATTGAAATAGATGACAAAAGAAGTGTTATAACATTTCCTAATAGAGCTGGGTATAGAATAGATAAAATTGCTGGAGTCATAGATACTCTCATAAATGAAGAAACTATTGACAACATAGATGTCGAACTCTCTTCTGAGGGAACATTGAAGTTCAGCAGCGAGAAAGAGTTTAAGATACAAGAATGAGTCATAGAGTACAACTTCTTCTGGAGCATACCATATGACATTTCCTTTGAAAAGTGTTGACAAAACGATTGAGATGAAATCTGTTCCATACGTATGTTATGGTAATTGTTTGTACGTTGAGTCAAAAATAGCTAATGTCACAGGTATTTCAGGAGTTAATAGTAAAGGTTCAGTAGAATATAAGTCTTTCTGTTATGAAGTAAATTCAATGTTCATTCCAAACGTTCCTGTCATAGTAACTCATTTAGGTAAATGGGTTCGCATTAGCCCTCACAATTTGAAAGATATGCAATTCAGACTAGTTGACTTTCAGGGCGAGCCTGTAGAACTGAAGGCACCAGTGCGAATGACTGTTGAAGTTGACTTTTTAGAAAATATTAAATGCAACAGCTTACAAGAGAACTCAGAGCTAAAAATATAAAGTATGAATGTTATGTATTAGGGTATGAACTTTGGTTGTTGCTGTTTGATGAAACAAATGAGTTAGTTATGTCAGTCAAGAGAACAGAAAAAGGCGTCAAAGGCGCCGAGCGCAAAGCGCTATATTGTGTTAGTGAAAACTGCACCAAGTCAATAAGATTAGGTTTGCATTATGAAGATGAGTTCGATACTGTTGAAGAAGTTTGGATAGATATTACAAATTGCTTTAATTTACTAAAACATATTTCAAACAAAGTTTATATTCTGTTGAAAGTTTTGTATATTCATTCGAATATTTATACTTAAACTCAACTCCTGGAGTACCTGGTGTTTCAATGATGCGGATGTTACCTATTTTCATGAATATTGGAGTTTGACCACAGCATTCGATTTCAGGGTCGAGATAGTCAATGACACATTGCTTTCCTGTTATTCGTGATATAACATTTTCAAGGTCCTCCTTTGTTAGAATTATTTGGTTCTTACTTATAAGATTTGTCAAAAGCTTCTTATCGTCTTTGAGTAAAATTGTTTGGTATAACTGAAGAAGGTAATGGTCTACGTTATCTGAAGGATTTGTTTGAACATTTGTGTAAGGGTTGTCGTTGGCTTCTCTTGAAAGAACTTGGTCCAGTGGTGGATACTCTAACTTAACATCTGATGTAGCGTTAGCGTTTGAAGCTGTGTTTAAATTCACCGACTTAAGATCTGGTTCTTTTTCTTTCAAACACTCCGAACTATAGTTCTTTATGACAATATTGTTTGTCGTTCGTGAGTCAACATTTGATGTTGGTTCAATTGGAACATTAACGGCACCAGCTAAGATGGATTTGCTTCTCATTTCATATAGAATAAAAACCTTTTATATGTATGAAATGAACAATATACTCGACAAGGGTTTGAATGTAAAGCTAACGAATGAAAATATTGTTGAATTCACTGAGACAGGAGCTGTGTATAAAGATGTAGAACTACTGAACAAAAGAGCAAAGGGAAGAAGCAGGAATATGAACAAAGGGTGGAAGCCTATAAAAATTTATGTCAATGATGGCTCAGGAGGTTCAAACATAATGTATGCAGAAAGTTATAGAGTTTATGCTCTCAAAGGTGAAAAGCCTTCATTTAAGAACAGCTATTCTAACGCATATCCTCAAAAGCTAACGGATGGGGAAGTGGATGATATGAATGACAGCAAAAATATTAACAGAAATGGCGACAGAGATGCATGGAATTTATTTACCATCAGTCAATTGAAGGTTAAACTTTAAAACAATGTTGGTCGTTCCCATGGAATATTTTTGACTTTAATGGTATTAGTCATGATATGAATCTCAAGGTATGAACGAGGAGAGATGAGAGACTTATATGCTTCCCAAATTTCTTCAAAAGGTAATGTTATACCTGACTGTTTCCAAATGAGTTCAATATCATAACGTGAGAAACCTTGAAAGATAACGAAGTCAGTTATGAGACGTTTTATGTTTAAAGCAAGGAAACGCCATGTTTGCATAAGTATTGCTACAGTTAAATGGTAATGTCTGACTTTAGTTATGATGTTAGCTAATGGTGAGTCAGGCTTTGACACTAAACCTTTTCCGGCGAAGTCGTCACAAACGAGCAGAGTGTTTGAAGGATACTTTTTGAAGGGGTATTTTGAAAGTTTTGATAGAATGTAGTTTGTCAGTCGTTTCATATCGTAAACTCCTGAGTACTGACGTAAGTGGTGTTTGTCAATAATTCTTTCCATCTCTTCTGAAGTCTTTTGCATTCCTGACTGTATGAACTCTACGATAGCATAATATTTCCTCTTACGTCGAATGTAACGTTGAAGAAATTCAATGAGTTTACTGTCTGGAACTTTAACGACAGAGGATTGAACTTTACTCATAAATGTTTTCGCTGTTGAATCCATAGAGTCTGAAGTTGCTGATATAATGATTTGGTCATAGTAAGAGTCGTTTCCTAAACGCTCTGTTATGAGTATATGACGAATGAGGTTAAATGTCTTACCTGAACCCATCTTTCCACAATAGAAATACACACCATTTGAACAGAACTCATAGTCCTTACTGAAAGGAAGAATAAGAGAAGAGTTAAGTTTGTCTGTAGTTTCATTCATGTCTTCATCTACATCATGTATTAAATGCTTCATTTTATCTCCATTAAAAATGCAAGTCAGAAATATTCAGAACATAGCACCGAGTCTAACTGACAAGAGTATAAAGATATACTATGAACACGTTATGATGAAACCAACCAAAATTCAAGAAAGTCAGTATACTTATGAATATCCAAGACACTGGGTAGAGTATGTAGGAGGTGAGAAAGCTATTGAAATAAGACAAGTTAGAAGTATTCCAGCAGGAAGAACAATATTATTGAAGAACTTTAATGTTTTGAGATATAATGATGAAACAAAGAAGCAAGATAGTTTTCCTGTGCTGTGTATGTGAACTTAGATACAGGAGATGACATGAAAGTTTTTAACCAAAGCTTCAAATGGTATTGAAAGAACAACTTATAGCAGAAGGACACCATTACCTTCAGAAGTTACCATAGCATATAATTTTGAAACAAATGCAATAGATTTTAAATCGTCTCTGCAAAGAAGTCAGGTTTTACATTTAATGAAGCAGATGTATATTCGAATGAAAACTTCAAAGCTATTGCATGGTTAGATAATGACGATTGCTTTAAGAAAATATTTAAATTCAGTGACTCAAAGATGTCAATAGATGACCTTCGTGGAATGTTACCATCGACGTTTACAGTTGAAGGTTCAGCAGGATTGCTTACAAGATTGTCAATTGGTGGCGTTTGGTCTCGTGAGAACATTGTTATAAAATCCAGTATAAGTGAATTTGCTGAAGAATCTATATTATGTCTTTCAAACTACATGTATTCGCCACCGAAGCATTATAGTATAACAAACTTTGTCAGTAAGTTTAACATAAGACTTGTCGAACCTTCTTCAATGAAAGATGTTGTGCTACCTAAAGATGGAAAGGATGGACTCATTATTGAGATGATTTTAATTGCATACTAAATGAGCTTGTTCTTGAAGGTCATTCATGATGAAATAACTGTTGTAGAAGATGTTAGCAATTGTTCAGACATTTTGAAGCGAATAGATGAGATAAGAAATAAGTTAGATAGACCGCAAAGTGGTGAGGGCGAAGCCCGTGAGAACGCTTATGTTTCATTGACTTTCTCCAGTAACGAGAACTTTTATGAGATAATATTGAAGAGAGATGATTTTAATATGGTGTAAATGGTAGCTTGGGCAGCTTTAGGCGCAATGGGAACAAAAGCATTAGCATTTGGAGCAAAAGCACTTGGAGCTTATGACGCAGTAAATAAAATGAGTGGAGGAAGGGTTTCGAAGACATTAGATGCAAATAAAGGAAAGATTGGAGGCTGGGTTGCAAAGAAGTTAAGATTAAATAAAATAGGCCTCATAAATAAAGCATCCAATTTGGTTGCGACTGAGTCAGAAAATGCTTTAGGAAAGGACGATGAGTTTGCAAAACACGCAAAAGACTTTAATGACCAGATGAAAGGTGAAACAATGCATTTAAATAGAGTCGATGGAACTAAAGAAAATGTTTCTTCTCCACCAGCGGTTTATCCATACGGACCTTATGGAATGTATGGAAACCCTTATGAAAGACCATTTGACCCATTGACTGGTGGAAGTAATTGGTATCATTACGGACGAAGAAGAAAGACAGTCAAGTTGGAGACAGACGTGAAGAAAGCAACTAAAAAGAAACCAAGGAAGAGAGTTATAAAGTAATGAATTCAAGTGGGTGAAAAAACAGGTGAAAAAAGAGGTGAGATCTCACCACTTCACCTAAATTTATTTTTGTGCTATGTTTTCATACGTGTGGGAGTGGTGATATCATTAATTTTTAAGTTTATTTTTATATAAATGACAGAACAAAAGCAACTCATACAAATCAAAACATATAACAAACATACATTTAAACATTTATTCTTCCTTCCTGAGTATAACATGTTCTTTACACTTCATCCTAGACCAGTTGACTATACACTGACTGTTTATAAAGATTGTCATGGTAGTTTTATAAAAACTTATGATGATGAAGGTAAGTTAACAAGACTATGCATTTCAAAACTTGAGAAACTTTATGACTTCAAGTATGACTACAATAGAGTTAACACTGATGATGAAGATATTGAAGAAAATTTATGAGAACGTTTATTTTTTCATTAGTGAGTTCGTTAGTGAGGTGAAATGGTTGGCGGCTTTGTAAATATTTAAGGTTAAGTTAGTGTTGTCGTTTGTGTTGTAAAATATACGTTAACGGTTTTGTAAAGTGTCAAATTCACAAGTATTGCGTATGAATGAACGCAGTGCCACCATACCCAACTTACACATACTAACTGCTGAGAACTTTGTAAAATCTTTTGAGATATTTTTTGATACATGACCTGGATCGAATCTTTCAAGATGAGAGACGCCAAATTCTTTAAAGACAGAGACACTTTTGTTATCTCGGTCTTTAATAATCTCTTTAACATCTTTCAAGATATTGTATTTCTTTAATTGCTTCAAGATGATTCGAGTTCCAGCACTTTCCATATTGTTGGAAGCTCCGGAATACTGAGCATGCTGTCTGTTTCCACCAATATGGTTGATGTTCACGCATGCAAGAACTCTTTTTGTGACAGCATCGAGCGCAGTTACTGTACAACTTGGCGAGTTTCGCCTGTGCGTCCATCTTGCATCAATGGATAAGTAACCACTGAAGGACTTTCTCGACAGCATTAGGGAAATACTTTTAAGTCTTCTAATCTTATCGTCACAAAATCTCTGTTGTCTCATGACACCACTCTTCACAGGGGGCTTAGTTCCACAAAGAGAAAGAAAGCGAGCACCTTTTGTATATGGCATTCCGGTCATTATGCAAGCACCAAGCATCTGTCGCGCTGAGAGTCGACGACGTTCGTGGAGTAAAATGTTATGCATTGCCTTTGTTTTCCGTTTTGGGTGAACAATATGGCCCATACAACAACAAAAAAATGAAATCCCGCCAAAAGTGAAAATTGAATAAAAAGTAATAATTAATAAATATATACTATATCATTAGATGAATATTTTGGAATAACATTTTAAAATCGAGGTTTTTCAATGGATAACGGTTCAATCAAAAATTTGACCCCATTTTAGAATCTACATTAAAAATGGAACATTTCTGTCGTTTCAAAATTCCAAAATAACGTTTCTATTCCTCTCAAAAGTAAAAAAAACTTTATTGGGGAAAAAATATTTTTATTTTCCAAAAAAAATGAAAACCTTAAATGCAAATCTAATTTTGATGCTTTTGTTTGTGATTTTTTGGATTTCGAAAAAAATTTGAAAATTCAGACAAGTTACCATTAACACTAATACGTTTCAGCGAGTCGGTCCCATCAGAGAAATTTTCATAAATCGGCGATATAATTTATTATTTCAGCAAAATATTCTCAGATCCAACTAGAATAAGGTCAAATTATACAAATTTAGCAAAGGCTAGTTATCCTACCTATTCAATTAACTTTAATTTTAAATAATTCAAGACAATTCTCAAAATTACCTTAATAATCGCGTTCTCTTCGCAAAATGACGATTCCTCATTCACTACCAGCATAACTGAGGGCTTGTGCTCACAGAATAATACAGATAATTTACTTATTAATGCAAAATTTAGTACCAAAAGGTAATCATAGAAGATGCAAAAAAAGTTTCTTTATTTTGATTGCTGATTTTATTTCTTCTAAAATTTACCAAATCTAAAAAATCCAAAATTGAATGCTATTGAATTTCATGTTTATGTAACATATACTATTTATTATATAAGGAATAAAAATTTTATAGTTTTAATCAAAAATAAAGGTGTACTAAATGCATACAAAACAAGGTATTTTTTACTCATCCAAAATATGTTAACAGTGCTATTTATATAATCAATATCCGAATTTCGAAATCATTTTGATGAAATCTTTATTTTAAAATTGAGTTGACTGTTAAAATCACCCGAGAAGAGGGATTATCTCAATGAAAAGTACATAAAATAGCAAACGCACAAGATGGCACTATGCAGCTTTATATTGTTATACAGGATGAACATATAAAATGTTTGGAAAACACTTACTTCGTTCTACAAATGTGTATCTCTTTATATCAAAGATTCTTCTCAAATTATTGAGAGACTTCTCTCAAAAAAAGGAAAATTTGATAACTAAAAAAAATTATGGCATAACCTCTCGTTTTGCATAGATATATATTTACATGGTCACAGAGCTTATTTTCATTGTCAAAACTTAAAAATTTTTAGTGGACTATACCCTTAACATTAATGAATGCCCTCTTAGTTTTGCGATCAAAGAAAAATCACTAGAAATTGTCAAATTCTTAGTTGAACATGGTGCTGATGTTAACATGGAACTAAACTTCTTTCTTTTCATATTTATCATTGTTTAATGACATTCTCTTTCTATTCATATTTATCATAGTTTAATGATATTATCCCAACGTTAATGAATGCCCTCTTAGTATTGCATCCAAAGAGAAATCAACAGAATTTTTTGAATTCTTAGATGATCATGGTGCTCGATGGATTTTCTAATTGCGCGATTCAAAAGTACTTTTAACGCATTAAAATAAACAACATCTAATTTAATATGGCATTTTGTATTTTTTCCCTTAAAAAAATCCATGCTTGAAATTGAATTCGATTTCATTTTGAATATTTTTAAAATTTGATTCGAATTTTAGAATTGCACGCATATAAATTTTACAAATTCTCTAAAATTATTCGTGAATTCAATTTTAATAAAAAAATGTGATCATATGATGGCGGTTTCATTACGGCGCCATAATGCAAACCATTCAATTTTGAAATATTTACTGATGCCATGAGAAAAAAAATATAGAAAATGCTATTTACAGAGCAGTTACTGGCTGAATTCATTTCTTGATGATTTAGAATTTTTCAAAGAGTTATGCTCATTTGTTCAAAGCTTGTGTTAGATTTGGTCAAATAGTTAAATATTATATTTTTGGGAAATATCAAAGTTCTTATATGGTTTGATTTGTTTACAATATCAATGGAAACACAATTAATCACAATGTACTGGAAGAATTTAGGGTCATGAACTTATCAAATAAATACTATCTACTGAATAATTAAATTCCAATTTCTTCCACTGAGTTTTGGGCCATGGATGAATAGACACCTTTTAAAGATCAGTTGCATAAAACATTTTTGAAGAAAGATGATATCAATGTTTATTATGATTGGTGATTGATCCGTCACTTTTGAAACTACCAAAAAAGTGGAAACAGTTTTTTATTTTAGTCTTCTATATATTTGCCATATAATAAAATATCTCGCTTTCTTGAGATTTCCCATGTGGTCAAACGGTTTTTGTAAATCATTTCTTCTCATGGATGTTGATGAGACCTGGGATGGCCAATTAGTTGAAACATCTTCATTCGATAGCCAGTTCGAAGAAGAGAAGCCCCTTAAGAAACTCTGGAACAGATTGTTCGGTCTTTTCATCTGCGTATGCGTTGGTATCTATGCAGGCTTAATGTGTAGAACAATGCAAGAATCATGGATTTATGCTGCACTTTTCTGTGGTGAATCTCTTGTTTGCGCGTGCGTTGCTGGTATTATCAAGACATATTCTTTCAAGAAATCAATCACAGCATTTGCGATTTACTATCTTATTTCTGCTATTGTTACACCAATTACTACTTGGTTATCATTCGCATTTAGTTATTAAAAAAAATAGAGTTAAATCCCGACAAATGTGGAATCAATATGTTTTCTACCGAAATAAAAAATCTAATATTTATTACGTAATATTTCTTTTTATTTTAATAAAAAATGAAATTTATTTTTTACGAAAAGAATATCTTTTTCCCCTAATCTCTATATTAATTTGCATACACACTCTCCAATCTTTTGCATTTCGCTCAGTTCTATGCCCTTTTAATATGATATTTTCCAAAAACACCAAATAGCATTTGATTTTTCTCATATGGTCTGCATTTTCTAACGATATACTAGATAAAGATAGTAATATTCCTTCATTAATATTGATGATTTATGGGCGATCTATTTCACATAGAATGGCCGATTGCCTGTTTTTGATTTTACCATTCATAGTAGTTGTATCATGGGTTACTTTTTTAATAACATGTCCTCCAATTAAGAAGAAACAAGTAATTACAGAACCTTTATCAAGAATAATCGAAATTGAAGCAGAAAAATTTAATGGTACTTCAACATATAAAATAAAACGAAAAATCAATCTTTCAGAAACAGTTGCTTACGTTGATATGTGGAGATCTCACTGGTGCACGTATTATAATGACAGAGAATTCTTTTTCACACCTAGAATCAATGAAATGCTTCAAAGGTTACGTCAATTCGATGTTCCTGTTGTTACTATTTCATCAGTTGTCGATTATTTTTTACCATCATCCACACAAAGAAGAAAAGGATTAAAAGCTATCGAAAAAGGTAGATTACCAATACTAGAAGAATATGAAGCCAGACAAATGGCATATCATCACGAATATATACCAGGATTTGATGATATTTGCATGTACGACGGCCTAGAGCGATACGGACCTACCAGAGATAACAGATTCACACCTACAATTGCACTATCCGATAAAGATTACTTTTCTGCAAATTTCAGAGAATCAGCCGAATGCTTTGTTGGCCTTGGTGCAAAAACAGTTATTGTGTTTGGACAACACACAAATATGTGCTTGATGGCCGTTTTCTTGTATTGCCAACAAGTTAGATTAGATTTGATTATTGTCCGTGATTTAACAGATGGATGCTGGGTTTATCCACTCCAAAAGGAGCATGTCAATACACATACAAAGAGCAATGTTGCAACGAATAACTACTTCGATCAAAAATTTGGATGTTCAATTCTTTCTTTCGATCTCTACAGATCTCTTCGCCAAATATCTCCTTCAGTTGAGAAACCAAAATATCAGTATTTCTTGAAGACAGCTCATATGTTTAAGAATTTTCTGTAACATAAGAATGATTTCTTTCTTTTTTTTTATCAAGAAACTTTTATTAAGTTGTCTGAACCTTAAGAATCAGGATTAATTCCAGTGTTTCGATGACTTATCAATATCCAGGGCTTTAAACCTATATATATTGTTTTCAAATATATAAATAAAATATGTTGTTTTATTCTGTTAGTAATTATAAATTGTTTCATTCCTATTAGAGCAGAAAAGAAACCAAAGTATCAAATGTTTAATAAGAATCATATAATTGCCAAGTTGAAGTTGCTAAAGAAATAAAAAAATATTAGGATGAACTCCCCTTATTTATGCATCAATTAATGTGAGAAAAATATCCACAGCACTCAAAGAAACAATTCATGACAAAGATAATACTTTATTTCATTATGTACCAATTAAAAGTTCTGTATCCGCTGTTAAATTATCTAATAACAACATCATCCAAGTGAATATCATAATTTATTTGGTGACAAACAAGATTTCAAAGATAAGTATCAAAAATTGGCACTCAAATATGCCAAAGATGAAGGGTAATGTTGCCCTTTGTTCATAACGGAACCAAATAATTTATGAAATTATTGATATATCATGTCTCAAATAATGTACAATATTTATTATCTCATATTATGTTAGACATACAAAATAAGGCACGAAATTTTAGATAAACATCAATGTTGATAAATTTTAATATGAAAATTTTATATAAACAACTGATAGTAAACTTCTAACATACATTTGATATCTCTAATCTCTTTTTATAGCAGCATCCTCTAATTGGAAAGTTGGTAATAAAGATTCAAAGAAAAGTCTAAATGCGTCAATTGCATCAGCTGTAATTGTTGCATTTTCTGGATTAAAGCGTTTAAGGAGCCATAGAATGATAGATCCAACAACATAAATCGAAATTCCAATAAATACATGCTTATAGTAAATTGATACAATAAGAATTGCTTGTAATACCCAAAACATACCATATACTAACTTCTTATGGTTTTTTACTTGCGGCGATAAAAATTTTTCTGCATTTTCTAGGCAAACTGCATCATCTTTGATTGTATCATCATCTTGAAGGCATCCACTTTCATTTACTATTTTAAATGTATAACCATATTCTTCTAATTCTGGAATTTTATTTAAGAGAGCGAGAAAATCTTTAACTTTTATATCAATTGGAACATCTTTGATTGTGGTTTTGAATTTTTTATCAGAAGTTGTAACTTGAATATCATGGAATTGAGGCGCTTCGTTATTTGATTCTTCCTCCATTGAAAAATGAAATTTTCTTCTAAAGAAACAGGAATATCATTTGCAATCAAACATAATATACATATTTTTATTCATCCAAATAATTAGAGAAATATCTTTCCAATAATTCAACCTGAATCAAGTGATATAATTCATCATCATTAACAGAATCAAGCATATCAAAGAAGATAGTCAAACCATCAACCTGAAGTATGCGTTCAATAATAACTTGAGAATTTGACTGATATTTATCCAATAGTGCTAAAAGTGCTGAAATATTTTTACTTATTCGAGAGTTACTTAAACTCTCATCAAGGAAACCTATATCAGCTTCGATTATTCCATTATTGAGATAAATATCCAAAAATTCTTGAGAAAAGTAGAACATCATCATACATATAACAGTGTTGGCCAATTTTCTGAGTGAGAAAACATCACCGTTTGCAATTGTAAAAAAAATCTGAATAAATTCAGAATTTGTAAAGAATGGATGTTGTGGATATGAAGAAACTGCTGCGGCTAAGAATTTTAAGACTGCCCATTGAAGCTCTGGAATATTCTTCCGTAAATTTTTCAAGGTTATTTCAGTAACTAATTCAAACAAAATTGGGGCATTGATGACTAAGTGTGTGAGTACTTCAAAAAGTCGTTCTGGGTAAGAAATTGAAGTGTCTATGTATTTCCATATATCTTTGTTGAAATTATGCTTCTCTATGATTTCAAATGAATTTGGCGTGTCTGCAAGCAATCCAATTGAAAAGTATATGACTTCTTGAGAATATGAATCAATTTTATTGATTGATTGCTTCAATAATAATATTAGTAATTCTAAAATCTGATTTTTTGTGGTTTCATCATCAATATGCTGACATATAATATAAATAAAGTGAGAGAACACAGTCTGAATTTGGTTTTCTGACCCAAATGCTCTATCAAATAATGGAATTAAAATTCTTTTTGCAATTTCGTTCGAAAAATCAGGATCCGTATTGACTATTAGATTCAACATTTCAATACATGTAGCAACCTCTTCAGTATTCCATTGATTTAGTATATCAAAGACTCTATCAATTAAATCATCATTAATTAAAAGGGATAATTCATCTTCAAATCCATATTTCATCAATCCTTGAACGCAATACAATGCAATTATAGAATCTTTATAGTGAGAATTTGTATATATCATACTAACGATTATTTCCATAAAATTATTAAAACAAATAATAGGATCACAGTACGCATTCTTATCATGTATACTTAAAACGATCGTTTCAAGCAATTTATGGGCATCATCGATACTATCTTCATTCCATAAATTTACAAAATTCATTAATTCCTCAGCAATATTAACCGAAACTACTTTATTAGTGTTTTCATCTGTAATGTGCTGCTCGTTTTTTTCATTTGGGGCGTATTGCTCGTTAAAATCCTCAAACTTATAATTCATTGAAAAGTGACAAAACAATGAAATTACTAGAACTTGATTGCCATCCACTAATGGAAGCATTTCGTAAGAGAGCAGCAGATATGCAACCAGAAGAAAGCGTTTTGTACCATTTATTGCTTCCGCCTGAATATAATATTCCTGCAGATATGATGAATCCACTTCTATATCTATTTCTCGAAAAAACATCCGAACCAGGTGTACTGACTCAGTATGATAACCAAAATTGCGTTCTTAAAGTTCAAAATTCTCACTTAATTCCAGTTTCAGGTTTTGACCACAATGAAAAGTTTCAGATACTTCAAACTACCCCCTGCACAACGTCTGCTGGATTTGGTTTTGATATGCACGAACTTGGTTCAAATCCTTTCATGCCTTCACCAATTCCTCCTTTGTGCAGTGAAATAGAAAGCGGCTACAAAAATCCAGAAAAAGCGTTAGAATTCCTAAGAGTGCGAATACGTTCCGATAAATTGAAACCTCTTTTAGATGATATTGAAAATCTGGCTCATAAATCTACAATTAACGCAAAAAACTGCCAATCAATTGTGCAAAACTTACAGATTTATATGGATAAGATCTGCGATGCTGTATTTGAAGTTCGTCCTTTTCATTATATCCCAACATTATTTAAAATGAAAACAAACTTCATCATATTTTACGCAGTCGTTAATCTATTTCATACTAAATTACTCAATGCATACCATGAACTTATGAAAGCAGATGATTCTATGGCTGAAGAGGCTGTTCAGTATCAATCTCCATCAAAAGCTCGTCCAGAATTAATTGATAAAGCAGGTGATTATATCAGAAATCTGCATAATTCACCAAATATTGCCGAATCAATTTCTTCAGTTACAAAATTCTTCGAATCAGTTGTTAACGCGTTACCTGATAAAAACGCAGCAGCAGATGACATCCTTCCAGCTGTTTGTGATGGGATAAGCCACGGTAGAAGCCTTTCTTCTTATATTGTTTCTACTTTTACTTATCTGTCAGAGATATGGCCGCAAGAAGGTCTTAGCGAAAGAATTACATATATATTAGTTACGTGCTCTATCGCAGCCTCGCATTTTGCGAATGGCGTAGATGAGTATGACGAAAATAATAATAAGAAAGTTCTCGTTCGCAACGAGCGCGATGAAACGATCGAATTTATCGAGAACTATTTAGATAGTATTTAAAAATTGTTTGCTATTTTTCAATTATTTTTTTTTATTTAATTTCTTTTAGAGACCATTGAACAGCCAAATGACATAATTTATCATAAGGAGATATCTAAGAGGAATAGAATCAAAATTGATAAAACAAAATTTAAAATAAGCCATTAATTTAGGTTTGCCAACCAAAATGAATGAAATAATTAGTATAGTAATAATTTTATTCGTAAAGAAAAAGATAACCACGAAGAGGTTGAAAGAATTATTCCTTTTTGACAAATTTAGTTTGGACAGAAATTTGTGCAAATGACACTGTTGCCCAGATGGACAATAAGATAAGAACGAGGACAGGAACCCAAGCATTAGCGACGGCTGGTACCCAGTAGTTATAATAAACAGCATCAGTATTTGGAGAAGTATATGGGACTATTAAAAACTTAGGGGTGTCATTGTGTTCTATAGTGTGTAAAGCATCTGTTATGTTGGGACATACTGTTGCCCAATTGAAATTCTTGTTAAGAATTTTGACGTCTTGAGCTGCATATGGATATACATAGAGTTCACCTCGGTTAGCACATGGGATGCTACGGAGATCACTCTGTGTAAGTGTGTAGTTGATTTTGAAGAGAGTGTAATTAGTCAAATTCACATTTTCAAGAACTTGTGACAATGATTGGTTGTTAAACTTTGGAGGAGTATCAAGAGTAACAACGGCTACCTCGTAGTCATATTGATATAATTTCCAGCCAAGAACAGTAATGAGGCTCAACATTTATATGTATTGGATTGAAAAGGTCTGTCAGGATATTTCAGTTTATCGTCCAACGACGATCAAAGGATATTTTGAATTTATCGTACTTCGAATTTTTTTATTTTCCCTGTATTATAGCGTAATAATTACCTATAAGACTGAAAATCCAAATTATTGTTTTGTTGATCGAGCAAACACAATTTTCGAAATTCTTGAATTCTAAAAATCAAATTTAGGGCTAAATATCCCACAGATATGATTCTGAGATTGAACTATTAACGTTTTAACATGGATATCAGCATATTATGCCTAATTATTCTTTTTACATCTAAATATACTCCCATCATATTAAAAGTCATGAAAATAGATCGAGTATTATTTTTTAAAGCTATTTCATTTCGACTTTTGCAAAATTTAGTTATTTGCGAAAGGCAAACCCAAATTTTAGCTAAAAGTGACAGGGAAAAAAACGTTTAGTATTAAAAAAAAGACCGATGAGAGCTTCGTTCGAAATATAGAGGGAACTGAGAATGCGCAACCATTCTCAGGGAATATTGGATGCTATTCCCGTTCCCTCTGTATGGAAAATTGAGGTTTTCAAAGGGAGTTAAAATAATATCAAATTGATACTAATTTACTTCAAAATACAAAAGTATTTGACAGCTAAAATTAGTTACTTTAGCAAGCCTATCAATACCCTTTTACGATTATTGTTACTTTTTCGAAATAAAAGTAAAAACAAATTTATACTAATTTACTTCAAAAAACAAAAGTATTTGACAGCTAAAATTAGTTACTTTAGCAAACCTATCAATACCCTTTTACGATTATTGTTACTTTTTCGAAATAAAAGTAAAAACAAATTTATACTAATTTACTTCAAAATACAAAAGTATTTGACAGCTAAAATTAGTTACTTTAGCAAGCCTATCAATACCCTTTTACGATTATTGTTACTTTTTCGAAATAAAAGTAAAAACAAATTTATACTAATTTACTTCAAAAAACAAAAGTATTTGACAGCTAAAATGAGTTACTTTAGCAAGCCTATCAATATCCTTTTACGATTATTGCTACTTTTTCGAAATAAAATAAATTTATTATCAAAAACCTTTTTTTTTCTTAGTAAAAATAAACGAAATTTTTTACCTTATGAACTTTTGATGGAAATATGCAAATTTAAAATAATAAAGAAAGCCGCGAGCGAAGCGATCGGCTTAGTTCGAAGATTTTGATTCAAATCTTTGCTGATCTGTAATTCGCGGAAGCCGCGAGCGAATCGAGCGGCTTAGGTCTAAGATTTTGATTCAAATCTTTGCTTATATTCCTTAAATTCTTTATGAAACTCGCAACAGTTCCATAAAAAATTTTAAATTCTAAACTGTCGAAATTACCGATCGGTAATCACACCCGTGAAGGGTGTGTCACTTTTTACAGGTGTGTCACTTTTAGCTAAAATTACCCCTACTCTTTGCGAAATTTCAAAAATCTTTTGATGCTTTGAAGACAAATTTCTCAAGAATAAAACTAAAAATCTAGGAGATTGATAATCAAAACTTCTTTCAATGATTTTAGAGAAAATATTAAATCTCTTTAAAAAAACCTGTTACATTGAAGGCCATTTCATAAAAAATTCATAATTCCAGATTCGCACAAACGATTTTGGGGCTAATATATCTTTCTTTATGGAATATAAAAATTAACGTAAAAATAATTTAAGTGTAATCAGTAAATAAAAAGGTTTATGATGACTCCCAGAGAAGTTCAGCTAACTTTTCGTTATCCCACTTATTCTGTTCAGCTTTGTTCTTCTCTGCTAAAGCCCATCTATCGCGTACTTTCTTTTCTTCTGCTTCCCTATTCTTCTTAGCAGATTCACGAGCTGGTCTGAGCATGGCTTCCTTCTTTCTTAATTCTTTCATTTGTTTAACTTTTTCTTTAGCTCTTTCCTTATCTGCCTTTATACGTTTCTTCTTATCAGCCATTTCTTGCTTCTTAAGTTCGGCAGCTTCCTTCTTAAGGGCTGCTGTTCTAGCCTTTTGTTCAGAACGCATTTTTTCGATTTTCTGTTTTTCAGCTTGCTTCTGAGCTGCTTGTTCTTCCTTTAAGCTCTGCTCAATAGAAGCAAATAACTTTTTACGTTCAGCACGCTCAGCTTTCTGTGCCTGGCTACGTGCCTTTCTTTCATCTGCAATACGTTTTTTACGTGCTTTTACGTTAGCCATTCTCCTTTGTTTCTCTGCCTTCTCGTCATCCTTGGCCTTCTTTTCACGCCTAAGACGCATTAATTTTTCCAAAGGTGTTTCGTTCTTACTGGGTTTAGGCATAATGATTATAACGTATTTAGAAATTGAGAGGGAAACGGTTTATTCTCTTCTAAACGAAGAATTAGACGATGTAAAATGAATCTACATGACATCCATATTCAGAATGTTAAAATAATAGAGCGTAATTTTTTTGTTTTGAATTTCCCGCCAATCTTGAAATTGCGAGTTTCAGCCATTACACTTACATCCGATAGAAAATGGAGCTACTATTACACGATGACTAATCAATATGACTTGACAAAAGTGAATTTTTTGGATAAATTTTATTGAATTTTTTTGAGCTAATCAGTTTCATCTATTATAAGTCATGGGAATTTTAATAACACCTTGGAGTATCAAATAATCATATGAAAAACATCAATTTTTTTGAAGATACAAAGTCCTTTATTTATCTCTTTTTTTATGAAAGATAGAGAAATATAAAATATTATTATTCAGACAGTATATAGTCTATAAATGGTCTATAATAAGTCTATTCGTTAGTTGCAACAGTAAATTCTGATTCTTGCTCGCCAGTTGTTGCTCTTGGAGGTGTACCTGGACGAGGCTGTAAGTTGAAGTCAGATTCGTATTTCATTGGATTCAAAATCGTGAAAGAGCAGAATAATTGATCACTTACGCTGAGAATTGCTCCTTTGTTCATGTATTCATTGCAGTAGTTTGGTGCTGAGAATACAGTAACAATACTCTGTCTATCAGGGAATGGAAACTCATATCCTTCCATAATTGCCTGATGAGCACGACAAACGAGATCGAATCCGAATTTTGTAAGGAAATCTTCAACTTGCTGTGCACCAAAGCAGTATGATGTACCACGTTCATTGTCTTCCCAATCATCAACATCCATATTAGGATCTGACCAGAGAAGATCGCAAAGAAGTCCTTCTTCGGGGACTTCTATTGGCCTTTCGATGTTTTTAATCTCATCGAGACTGTTTAATGATGGTGAAAGGCCTCCATGAACGCAAAAGATTTTTTCTTCGATGATTGCTGCGATAGGGAGTCTGTTAAATACATCACAGAACAATCTCCAGATGTCGGTCGAATAGTTTTGAATGCATTCATCATAAAAACCGTATAAACGATTAATATAAGAACATTCATGATTGCCGCGAAGCATGTAAAATGTGTTAGGATACTTGATTTTATAACAGAATAGCAAACAAACGTTTTCTATACTGTTTTGACCACGATCAACGTAGTCACCTAAGAAAAGATAATTTGAGTTTGGTGGATATCCAGTGCTATCAAAAACTCTTAGTAAATCTTGATACTGCCCATGAATGTCACCTACAATAGTGAGTGGAGCTTTAAGCTCTAGCAAACAAGGTTGTTCCATAAAAATATCGGAAACGTTCTTGCAAAGGAATTGGATTTCGGTTTCTGTAAGACCTGCAATATGACCCATGGGCTGATTCTTAAGTGCTAAAAGCTTTTGTTCAATTTCATCAAGCATGGAATATAAAACTTGGTCCTTGAAATGTTGCTATTTTGAATACTTTACAAAAATCTAATAACTAATATTGTTTTTCTATATTTATATAAAATTTCGGAAATTTTGGTTAAAATTTTTAAAACGGAAATTTGATTTTAAAAGTGACATTTTTTGTGTTAAGTTGGTCAGTTAGAAAATATTAATGTAAAGAACATTTATAGCAAATTAACTTTTCCTCACAAAATTTTATGATCCCCTAAAATTTTATGATTGACATCGAAATTTGTTGACATGGCCCAGGGGAATTCTCAATTTTAAATGACGCCTAGTATAGAGTTTCTTGTCCTATTTATTGCCTATGGCAGCAATTATTTACTTATTGGTGCTACACGTCAATAAATTGATTTTCCGAGTTGAGTTTAATGGCAATGCAAGATCCATTTCAAATAGGGGATGTTCTTCGCATTATGATGCATCCAATGCACTGTATCACAGATGTTTCTAAATACAGAATCAAATTGCTTCGTTAAACATTTATGAGATTTGTGAATTTGACTTTTAATTTGCCTGATAACATGTTAACAATTTATTGAGACTTGAGTTATGTATCATTTTTATGTGTGTGCAGTATATTTAACATCCATAATTTCGATAAATTTGAAGAGAGAGAAATTTCATGCGCAAAACAATTTATTCAAAGAATAATATTGGTTAAGTTATATAATTCGATCTTCAATAGAACATAACTATGAATCTAAAATTGTTTCGAAAAAATTCAAAATGACGTTTATAATTTCATCAAGAGAGACAAAGTTTATAAACTTTATTTCATCTTTGTGAAAGAATTTGTCATTGTTTGTTATGGACATTCATTCGTATATTTCAGACGAACAATACACCCACGGAAATCACATAGTAACAGTAGTATCATGGAATACAACTAATGATTTAATTGCTACTGGACAAGATAACGGAGAAATCGTAATTTCAAAATTAATTGCAAACGAATTTCATCATGGCGTTATTTCAATATCAAAAATCTACACGATAGTTGAGCACAAAGCACCCATTACATCGTTATCGTGGAATCCCATCAATAATAAATTGGTTTCGGCAGATCATGGGGGCAAATTAGTTGTTTGGACTGAAATGGATTCAATATGGGTTCCATTACTTATTAATGATCTTTCTAGAGTACCAATCCTTACTGTTTTAAATTCACCGAATTCAGAATTAGTTTCTATATTATATGCAAACGGAAAAGTCGTATGTGGCAACATAAATGGAAGCCAGAAATGGAATTCCGAGTTAGATTTCCTTCCAAAAGCAATGTGTTGGTCATCCAATTCTAAAAGTGTTTATGTAGCAGACAATCGCAATAATATCTACATTCTTCGCGAATACGGCACTAAGGTCATTAAAATCGACATATCATCTCTCGGAATTGAAAAACATACCGATCAAATTACGAATCTTTTTTGGAATAAAAGGGATGGTGGCACAATCCTTGTAACGTTCCGCAGTGGTGTTGTTGCGATCTTCCGTGAAAAAGATGAAACATCACCTATTACTGTTATTACAGAAACACGAATTACTCACGCAGCATGGTCACGCGATGGCAGCCGATTTGTCATTGCTGGGAAGAACCAGACTACAAATAAAATATTCATACAGTTCTATACTTCATCAGGAAATGTAATAAGAACGATGGAATTAGAAGGAAACTACATTTCGAGCATTTGTTTCAGTCCTGACGATACAAAGCTTGCTGTTTGTATAGATACGAAACTAACAATCATACAGACTGTTCCTAGAGTTCCATGGGTATATTTCATGAACACATTAGTATATGCAGCTCCTTCATTACAAACAAATGAAAACAAAACGTCAAATGTTGTGTTTTTCAATTCAAAAACTGCTGAAAAACATATTAAACAGATTGACAAGTTAGTTGCCATTGCGAACTCCAAAACAAAATGTGCAATTCTCTCTGATTCCAATGGAGAAGCATCAATTATAATAACAGATGAATTTGGAATTCCTAAATACAGTACATTCATTTCTTTTACGCCTCAACACATTGCTTTGACAGAAGAAAAGTGTATTATATCATCAGCATACAAATTATGTATCTGGAATTTCGTCAACAACATTGCGAAGTTCCTTTCTTTTGATTACGACATTACTTCTGTTGGCGCAAGATTAAATACAGTTTTTGTGACTTTGACAAATTGCGCATTGATGTCAATTGATTTGGTTACGAATGAAGAGATCGGACATTTCACAACACCTAGGCAGATAGAAGCTATTGACGTTAGTTCTGATAGTACGATGATATCTTTGATTGATGTTTCTGGATTCCTTTATATTTTGGATTTGAATACAGGAACATCACAAGAAGTTTTTCGATCGGAAACATGGGGAAATAAATGGGCAATTGACAGTCCAACTCTATTTGCAAGCCTTGAGAAACAGAATATATATATTTACAAAGGTTTGCAGCCAATAGAAAGAATCCCAACAATGGCAAGTATCTGTGAATTTCATTCTCTTTCAATTCTTTCTGTTGATTTTGTCAAAATTTTCAAAAATTCATTGAATCCTGATGTTTCTTGTTTCAACAGATACGACACGAAACCTATCAATGATATTCATCTCTTGTTGAAGAGCTATACACCAAAGATTGCTCAAGAGATTACTGACTACATCGCTTCATTTGATTGTCCTTTTGCTTGGTATTTATACGCTGATTTTGCTCTTTCTATTGATGATCCGGGATTGGCTGAAAAATGCTTTGGATTCGCATTTAGCAATGATGGAGTTGTCATTACAAGATGGATGAGAACAGTTAAAGACAAAATTGCTAGAAGAGTATACGCGCTTTGGTTTTTAGGACATCAAAAAGAAGCTTTAGAATTAATTTCCCAAAACAATAGAGATGATTTGAAACAAAAAGTTTTGAATTTGGAGTCGGAATTATCGAATCCAAGCATTGATTACTCGGAAAGATATAGGTATATCAATGGAAAATGGAAAGATGCGTTGAAATACTACCAAAAGAATGACAATAAGTCAATGATTGTCCAATGTTTGGCTAATTCTGATGATGTTGTTGGTTTGCAAGATTTGATGGAGAAAAGTGAGAAAAATTCAGAAATTTTGAAAGAAATTGGTGAAAAATTTGTTTGTCTTGGATCAGCACAACAGGCAGCAAATGCATTCATGAAGTATGGATCTCCACAAATGGCAGCTAATGCTTATGCTCATTTCAACATGTGGAAAGAAGCCTTGAAAATTGCAAACAATTATAAAGAAGTTGAAAGAAAATTAATTGTTTCTAGATTCGCAGCACATCTCGCGGACGCAAATAAGAATTGTAGAGCAGCAAGAACACTTATACATTGTAAGATTTACCATGAAGCAGCAGCTCTTCTTGAAAGAGAAGGTGATTTGAGAATGAGAAGAGGAATTGAGTATTTGATGGCTAAAAAATTGTTTGTTTTTAGCGCATTCAATGCAATGAAATCATTGAAAGCCAGAGGAGAAAAGATATCTATTTATAAAGTATGGCATAAAGCAGAAGCTGTTCATTACTTACTTTTAGCTCATAGACTTTTGAACGAAGGAAAATACGAAGATGCTCTTTTCCCTGCTGCAAGAATTTTGTTTGCTTATCAAGATGTTGTTGTAAGAGAGACAAGTGCTGCTTTATTGGCTCTTGCTGGATATCACGCTGGGTATTTCCAGGAATGTTCTCTTGGATTTGGATTCCTTGAGCATTCTGAAAAAATATCACAAAGAAAACGTGAAAGAATCGAACAATTGGCTGTTAATTTGTTCATGAAGAAAACTCCAGATGACGAGAAAACAATTGAACCTGTTGCATGCCAAGGCTGCGGATGTTTGGTGAACCCAATGAGTCCTTTGTGTAGATGCGGAATTCCTCTTGTTGCAAGCGTTGTTACAGGAAAACCAGTCAAGAAAGATGACAAACTCTGGAAGTGCAAACATTGCAGACATTGCGCATTGATGAATGAAATGAAAGATATCAAATTCTGTCCTTTATGTCATTTTCAAATTTAATTTTATATTATTTTATTTTGTTTCGTTTTGTAAACATGTAATGTATTTCTATCATCAGATAGTTTTTATGATATAACATATAAAATCTGATATTTCTTTAAATGAAATTCTATTTGAAACAATATTTTCATAAACTAAGATTTTATTCTAAAGACATATGAATGAATGGTATAAATATCTCATACTTACACCTTCATTGCATATTGAAAACATGTTCTTATTATCTGGAAGAGATTTCATTCAAAATAGAGTACATTTAAGGTTTTTGTAGAGACTATATCAAAAATATATTAATTTCAACATTTAGAAACATTATCTTTAGATATACTACTTATATCTTGGAATTGGCGCGAAAATTATGAAATCTACATTATTAATCATAGTTTTTCGATTGTTAGTAGGTATTTTTAATTAAAGTGTACAACATGACAAATTTTTAAAATTATATGTACGGAATCTACTAATGACAAATATAGGAATTGGAAAAATGAATGATTTTGCAAAATTTGCTTTCTTATCGATCACTATATCCTATGTGTAATAAGTCGTTGCGGTTTCGTATGAAGTGCACCATTCGTGGTTTGGATTTTGGAGAGAAAATCTTATTTTTGAGTGAAGTGAATTCAATCTGAATTGGCCCAAATAGTCTATATGTGAAATTGGAAATAAAAATGATTTGTCAAATTGCACAGATTTGACAAAGGTTATTCAAACGAGCCGAAATAATAAATCCATTATCCTTGCCATAATATTATTCTTAATATTCCCATAAAATTCGAAATGTGATTTCATGTCAGAATACTGGCAGATTGACACTTTTATCTCTTCATAGTATGCTGAAAGCGATTTTTGTTGCGAACAACGAACCAATAGTTATTGTATCAAAATACCAAGTTCCACCAAAAACTAATGAGCTCACTGAAGAAGCATGCAAGTGCATCCGTTCCGGATTAAAGCCAAATGAGTTCAAGCCGATCGTATATACACCACCACATACATTTTTCTTAAGGCAGACAGGCGAAGTCTGGCTTGTTTGTGTTGTAGAAGGCGATGCTCAAGCCATGATGTACACAAGTATCCTTGAGAAACTTGAAGAAATTTTAAACCAGTATATCGAAAAACCACTTACAGATTTCGGAGTCAAAGATAACTTCGCTCTTATCTATAGATTGATTGACATGTTTATTGATTCAAGTTTCCCATTCGTTGATGACTACAATGGTTTAATGCAATTTATCCCTCCAAAGAACATGGAAAAGGGCACTTTGAATCCAATTGCACCATGGAGAGCTAACGGCCCAACCTACAAGAAGCAGCAAGTTCTCCTTGATACAACAGAATTCGTTGATTACATAGTCGGAATCAACGGAAAGGTCGATTTAGCACAAATTAGAGGCGAAATCATAATGCAGGCAGAACTCAATGGCAGCCCGCACCTTTCTCTTAACTGGAAGAACTCTCCGCTCTTCGATGATGTTGCATTCCATCGTGCCGTCGATTACCAAGCATATCTTTCATCAAAACGCATTGATCTAGTTCCGCCACAAGGACGCTGCACCCTCGTTACTTACAGAATGCAAACACAAGCCAAGCCACCACTCGATATCAAGGCTGTAGTCACTCCAACACGCGGAAAGCTCGATATTCGTTTTACAATCAATGTCGAAAAACAGACAAACGACGTTGCAATCAAATTCGATATACCAGGAGCAAGAGATTCCACATTACAAACAAAGACAGGCGAAATTGTCCTCGGATTTGAGAACTGCTTATGGAAAGTTGGCTGTATGAAACCAGGAAAGCCTGCAGAACTTACAGGAGCTGTTAATTGTTCCGAAGACTGCAGACAATGCGTTTTCATCGTTTCCTTCAACCAGCAGGGATTACTCAGCGGTTGCGAAATTACAGGAAGAACACTTGAAGGTGTTAATGACAACTCTTTATTTGTTGGTTCAAAGAATACTATCAAAGCAGGAAAATTCCAGATCCGCGCTGGTATGCAATAAATACTATATACTACAAATCAAATTGCTGTTATTCCAAATACATATATCTCTCATCTTTTTAGTTTCCAATAAATAAATTTATTTATTTTAAACAATTTTTCAAAAGAACCCTATTTTATCAATATTTCCAAACAAAACTCATGATTTCTCAATCAAATTCTATAAAAACATTACAAATTTTTTTATATGTAAACTCATTTTTCATGGCTTATGTCTCCATTACATATAATTCTAAGAATATCATGAAACTCTCATTTACGGAATTAAAGAAATGAGGTTTATAAAAAATACGTTTAAAGTTGGGATGAGTTTAACACAAATTAATTTTTTACAGATAAACAAGAAAGATCAACAAGGTAGAAGTAAATAGTATTAGCAGGTTTTGAAATTAATCAAGTAAATTTTCAAGAGCCTTTTCATGGCTTTGAATAAGTTGAGAAGAGGCATTTCTGTAAGAGTTAAAGAGTTCTGTAAGGAGATAATTTGAACTGTTGACTAATGTATTTAAACGATCTTGGCCTTCAATAATTTCTTTACCGTAAATAGGATCCAGTAATTCTCCACGTTCTATTTTCCCAAGGAAATCGTTTTCTTCGAGAGCAGCAATTAATCCATTTAATTCTGAAGCAACGTTTTCGTTTTCTTTCTTAGCATTCAATTTCTCTTCATCAAGAGAACTGGAAACGAACTGTTCATGCTGAATTATTGAATTAATCTTACTCCAAACTTCGCTTAATTCCATTATTGTCACTTTTTTGCTTTATTCGAAAATTTCATCTTTTCCTAGAAAGAAAGCAATTTCAGACTTAAGGAAACATAATATATCTTATATTGGAAGAACTTAATCCATAGAAAGCTCGTCTACTGTGATTTTCCTTCTTGATTAGGCAAAATTGTTCAAATTATGAGTAATATAAATGAGTTTACTGATTTTTAATAACTCATTAAGCACATATATATTTTCTCCTATCTACTGAAATGATTTAAATTGGCAATCAACTTTTTTATTGAATAAATTTTAATTGCCACCCATATTTAAACTAAAATTTAATTGTCTCTTGAATTTTTCATATCCAATGATGATTACAATATTATTTGAGCTTTTATAAAACACTTCACATGTCAAGAAAGTTTTTTTGACTACTAAATAAATGGAAATGAAGACGGGAACCTGTCTGGATGAGAAGGCGGAAATGATCTGGGAATCTAACTCAGGAGCATATGGGCAATGCTTCGTCCTTAAAATCGGAGATAAATTTTAAGTATTAAAAAAATATTTCAATTCATCAGGACAAAAGATTGAACAAGTCTTTGAAGAAATGGAAGGATTTAAAATCCCACTTGCACCAAAATTTTTCGATACTTCAGTTAAGCATCCAGGCGAACCTTTTGATTGGGTTTTAATGGACTACATTCCAGGCGTCACATTAGAGAGTTTATTAAGGAATCATAAGCGTATTAGACTCCTATACATCCTTGAAATAATTACAGCTCTTAACCTCCAACTGAAAAAGATGGGAGAGAAAGGAATCAAACATCGTGACTTGAAACCAGGCAATATCGTTATCGACGCAGACTTTGTACCTCATATTCTTGATTGGGATGATGTAACAACAGGAGTTTCAATGACACAAAGCCCTTACCACGGAACAATTCGTTTTGCAGCTCCAGAAATTTTTGAAATGAAAAAAGAATGCGCATCCGACATTTTCTCATTCGGAGGCATCATTTTCAACATGCTGACAGGCAAAGCTCCTTTCGATGATGTCTACAACAATCTCGATTACATATTTCATTTTATTCCTGAAGAATATGATGTAGAAGATGTTGATGAACAAGAAGAAGATGAATATGAACAAGAAGATGATGAAGATAAAGAAAAAAAAGTTAAAAAGATTAATAAGAAAAACAAAAAGAGGAGTTGATGATTACTTCAAAACAAAAGAGGAGCTTGATGATTTGATCGCTGAACATCCAAAAGCGAATCGCCTTGCATTGGATATATTTTATGCCTATGATGATGATATTAAGGCATCAATGCATTTGTATCTAATGGATTTAGCGGATCAACAAATAATTGAAAAAATCAGACAACAAATTGAAGAATACAAATCATTGGATGAAACTACACAAAAAATCTTATCCATGATAATCGATCTTGATAATTGTTATGGTGAGCTTATTAGATATAACATCGAACCAATATTGATCGAATTAATTAAAGATGGCGCTAGAGATGAGGATTTAATATATGATGAAGAGTTCCTTCAACATAAACATGATAAAGCTTTGGCAAATATCATTTTTTATTGCTGGAAACAAGAACCAACAGACAGATGGACTCCCATACAAATTCAAGAAGAAATCAAAAATATTGTCCAATATTTAACTGATACTGAAAAGAAAATGTACAAAGAGTACTGTGATAAAATTGAAGACCTTGAGCAAAAAGAATACGGAACATTTGAAATGATCAACAAAGCAAGAGATGAGGGATTTTATTATTGTGATTACACTCTTGGCGACATTATCTATTATTTGGATAATAGTTTTGACTTCGATCGGATCACCCCTGATAAGTTCAAAGATTTTATAAATACAAGAACGCCTTATCCAAGACCATGGAAGAATGAATAAAAATATTTTTATTTTTTTACATTTTTTATTATATGATGTGAATAAAGCACATATATCTCAGAATTTTAGGAACTCTAGTACTTGATGTTCTCGTTATATGGATGGCTTTATTGCATAATTTCTCTGTTGTTATGCAATTTTTTTGCCAAATTTGTCACTACTTGTTATGATATTCTGATTCAATGACTAGTTTTGAATATATTGTCATCAATTCAAATAATATTCAGATTGGAAACGGTGAAGTTAGTTGTATTTCCCAGGAGCTCAAAGGATCAATTACAATTCCTAACACAATTGAATCCAAGACAGTTACAGTTCTTGGGAAATATGCATTTGATGGATGTAACATCTCATCTATCATACTTCCCGATACTATTACTGCCATAAATGATTATTGTTTTCGAAATTGTAGGGTTGAGAACTTCTCAGCTCCAACTTCTCTGGTAAAATTGGGAAATTATGCTTTTAGTACTGCTTTTATTAGATCTGCCGATTTCTCTATGACAAAAATTGAAAAATTTGGTGGAGTTGTCCAATTTGCTGATTCATTATTAACAAATATTACATTTCCAGAAACTTTGACCGAAATACCTGTTTGGTTCTGTAAAAGGTGCGCTTTTTTGGAGAATCTTAAAATTACAAAAAATATTATTTCGATTGGAGCTTCTTCATTCATCGACTGCTATCGATTAAAATATATTACCTCTGAAAGTCCATTTTTCATCGTATTTGAAGGAGTTGTTTATAATCAAGATTTTTCAGTCATGCACATTTATCCATCCAATTGTTCAACAGAATTATTACCAACCGTAAGATCTATAAGCAGTATAAAGGCGTTTAGCGGCGCAGATCTTGAAATTTTCACTTTAAAAATTAAAATTAAAAATGTAGGGCCCTCGTTATTTAGAAGATGTCCAAACATTAAAAGAATTGATTTGAGATGCGGGAATTTTAAATCTTTGCCATCTGGTTCTTTTGCAAGTTGTCCATTATTAACTGAATTGTACCTCCCAGATTCCATTGAAAATATCAATTCAAGATCAATTACTGACTGTCCTCTATTGAATACTTTGTACCTTCCCATGAGTTTAAAGATTGTTGATCAGGAGGGCGTTGTTTATTCTAATATTACTGAAGTTTACTATTGCGGAATCACTGATGTTGAGGGAATTCTACTTGCATCGGTTAAGGTCCACGTTACCCCACAATATGCGTTGAGGAAATTCATGGGAAGAACCCCAGTTGATACAAATTATCAATGTGAATCGTCTATTTGTGAATTTGTATATCCAGATGTTTATAAATGCCAGAGTGTTGCTCAGTGTGGCTACTTGACATCTCAAATAAGTAAATCTTTCATATACGTTTTTATTTTGATGTAAAAATTATAATCAACATGTTAAAAACATTTTTATAACTAACAGGCATAATCTTACCGATAAACAAAACGCGTAACAAAATAGTTTGTCCATTTTGATGATAAGTCATTGAAATTTTAACTAACTGCGCAATTCCATATTCAGTCTTACTGTTAGTTATCATCTCAATGCATGTTATTCTTGCAAATAACATTTAAAGATTTCAGATGCGCAATTATCCATTAAGAATAAGAATAACCAATATAATTCCGTTCATAATTTTATTTACTTGATGGAAGACATCGATTTTTTATGCCCAATTTGAACTATTGCTGAGATTTTGAAAATAAATCTTTGAGCTTTTTGTAAATACTCAAAATTAATCGACATTTCGACCTATTTATTCCAGAAACTAGGAATTATGAGCTTTACTATTAATGAAAGCCAATACTTAAGAATTCTAATTACAGATTATCACAAATTCTGCGCATAATCTGCAATATTAATGTTTCTCATACGAATTATCGAAACCATTAGCAGATTTCGAGAATAAACAAGAAACAATTTACATCAAAATAATTTTTTTCTAGTCAAATCAGTCCATTTACCAGCAAAATAAATTTATTAATTATAACCGAAAACATTTAATAAGTCGGTTTGGAAAACAAAATTTTCCCGCTAATAACAAAAGGCCAATCACTTTTGTTTTCAATGGACGCCGACGAAGTTAGTTACGTTGACGCTAATGAAGATAACTGGAGTCAAAATGATATGTGGATGGTTATCTCGAAATTCTTCGAGAACCGTGGTCTTGTTAAGCAACAGCTTAAGTCATATAATAGTTTTATCAATAATTGCGTTGATTCAGTATTAGACGACAAAGGCCACATCACTCTCCAGTCCGATCAGCTCCTTGCAAACAAAATCAAAATGGATTTCAACTCAAATGACGATGATGAAGATCAAGGCAAGACAATCCATATCTCTTTTGGAACATCTACCGTCCTTCGTCCAACTACTCCCGAAGGCAAGCAACTTACACCTATGATCAGCCGTCTTCGTAGTTTATCTTATTCGTTGATCTTAAGATCAGACATCAGAGTTGTTGTTATGGATAGCAACAAGAATATGAAGCAATTGGATGTCGATGGCGTAGAGATTGCCAAGGTTCCTGTTATGATCCGTTCTGAATATTGCCATCTTTCAAACCATCGTGACGACAGAGCAATCAATGATAACCTTAATGAGTGCGATTACGACCCTGGAGGCTACTTCATCGTCAATGGCTCAGAAAAAGTTATCATTGGCCAAGAACATATGGTTATTAACAAACCAATCTGCTATGCCCAGAAATCCATGGTCAAATACGATCTCGCTACAGAAATTCGTTCACAGCCAAAAGTTTTTGGTCGTCTTTCTCAGCCATTTAACCTCTTTTTACTTGCTCCAACTGCAAAACAACCAGAACGTCCAATTCATGCCAAATTATCAAAGACAGAGAAAACTATTCCATTATTCATCTTATTCCGCGCATTAAAGTTCAAGGGTGATAAAGAAATTCTCGATTTAATTTGTTACGATCCAGAAGACTCTGAATTCATCGATGTTCTTCGTCCATCCATCGAAGAATCATCTTCCTTCCTTGATGACAGAGCCTGCCTTGACTTTGTCGGTAAAAGATGCTCAATTGCCGCTGAAGAGAAATCTCAACGTCTCCGCAAAGCACAGAGGTTGCTTAACGAATACTTGCTTCCTCACCTTGGCGAAAAGGAGAGCGATACAACTTCAAAGGCATTTTTCATCGGATATATGGCTCATAATCTTATCAACGTCGTTCTTGGCCGTCGTGACCAGGATGACCGTGACCACTACAGTAACAAGCGTTTGGACCTTGCTGGTCCTCTCATTGGCCAACTTTTCGCCTTATTATTCGAAAAGATGATCAAATCCCTTACACAGCATCTCGAGAAGCGTCTTAAGGACGGCAACATCGACCAAATGGCCAAATCAGCAGCAGATCTTACAAGACAAGGCGTTTTGAACTTCAAATCAATTACATCCGGTTTAGAGTACTCCATTGGTACTGGCAACTGGTCAGTCCAACGCCAGGCCGGTTCCAAGGCTGGTGTCTCCCAGATGCTTAACCGTCTTACCTTCCTTTCCACCTTATCCAACCTCAGAAGAACGAACACTCCAATTGGCAGAGATGGCAAGCTTACTGGTCCTCGTCACCTCCACAACACGCACTGGGGATACATCTGCCCCGTCGAGACTCCAGAAGGCCAATCTTGCGGTCTCATCAAGAATCTCGCTCTTATGTCAATTGTCACTGTCAATCGCGAACTCGAGGCCGGCGATGCAATCACACGCATTCTCGAAGACACAGGAACAATTCCGATCCAACAAATCACTCCAGATCAGATCAAAGACAGTACAAAGATCTTTTTGAACGGCGCATGGTATGGTATCCACACTGATGCTTACGATCTCATGGAAACATTACTTTCCGAGAGAAGATCCCTCAAGATCCCGTCAGATGTCTCTTTCGTCCATCATATCCGTGACCAGGAAATCTTCATCTGGACAGATGGTGGCCGTATTACTCGCCCTGTCTTAATTGTCAACGACATGCACTTGACACTTAAGAAATCAGTCCTCTACGACGAGAACACGAACTGGAAAGTCCTCAGATACAAAGGTATGGTCGAATACTTGGATATCGACGAAGAAGAGACAAAACTCATCGCTCTTTCCCCAGCTGACCTCGAAGAAAACCGTAACAGTCCTACAGGCGTGAAGACTTACACTCATTGTGAAATTCATCCCTCATTGATATTCGGTGTTTGCGGCACAATCATTCCATTCCCTGACCACAACCAGTCACCACGTAATACATATCAGTGCGCTATGGGTAAACAGGCCATTGGTTTGTACACAACAAACTACATGATCAGAATGGATTCATCATCACACGTTTTGTGGTATCCTCAGAAACCATTAGTTGCAACAAGAAACATGCGCTATCTTAATTTCAACAAACTCCCTGCAGGTATCAATGTCACTGTTGCTATTTGCTGCTACACGGGCTATAACCAGGAAGACTCATTGATGTTGAATGCTTCTGCAATCGACAGAGGATTGTTCAGGTCATACTTCTTCAGAACATACAAAGAAACAGCTGAAGGTGATGGCACTGAAGGAGCTTCTGAAGTATTCACATTCCCTGACCCACAGACAGTCAAAGGAATCAAGTTACACGATTCTTCTAAAATTGACGCTGACGGTTTGGCCATTCCAGGCGCAGTTGTTTCTGCACAGGATGTCATCATCGGAAAGATCTCTCCGGACTCACCGACAGAGCTCGACCACAGACAGTACAAAGATACATCATGCGTTGTTCGTCCTATGGAAACAGGTGTTGTCGATTTGGTCTTGAGAACAATCACAAAGAAGAACTTGCAGTTGGCAAGAGTCAGAACGAGACAGATGAGAAGACCAGAAATCGGTGACAAGTTCTGTTCAAGGCACGGACAGAAAGGTGTCTGCGGAATGACGTACAGACAGGAAGACATGCCATTCACAAGGGATGGAATGGTTCCTGACATCATCATGAATCCTCACGCTCTTCCTTCCCGTATGACAATCGGTCACTTGATCGAGTGTTTGCTCGGAAAGTGCACAGCAATCGATCCACAGAACGCTGATGAAGGTGATGCAACACCTTTCTGCGGTGTTACTGTCGACGCAATCGCAAAGAGATTGCAGGACGCAGGATTCGAGAAGTACGGAAATGAAACACTCTACAACGGAAGAAGCGGAAAGAGACTCAAAGCGAAGATCTACTTCGGACCAACTTACTACCAGCGTCTGAAGCACATGGTCGGTGACAAGGCACACGCAAGAGCTCTAGGAAGAAAGTCACTCATCTTGAGACAGCCAGTCGACGGAAGAGCAAGAAACGGTGGGCTCCGTTTCGGTGAAATGGAACGTGACTGTTTGATCGCTCACGGTGTCTCAGCAATGATGAGAGACAGATTGCTCGAGAACTCCGATCGCTACTTCGTTCCTGTCTGCAAGACTTGCGGATTGATCGCTATCGAGAAGACTGATGGAACAATGGAATGCCCAGCTTGCCAGGATGAGGGAAGATTGGCAAAGGTCGAAATGCCTTACGCTTTTAAACTCGTCATCCAGGAATTGATGTCAATGTGCATTGCTCCTCGTCTTAACTTGATTGAAGATTAACTTTTTTTAGAAAATTTTTATATATTAGGATTTTTTTTATACAATACACTTTTATTTTTTTATTATATTATATATTTTCTTTTTGACAAAAAAACTTTTTTTGAATTTTTTTTGGGAAATCGTAAAAAAAGCAAATTTTTTAAATGCCCAGATTTTCCTTACTTTTACCACTCCCCATGTAATTTCTGGGGAAAACGATAATTCATTTTTTTATGGATGAATAGATCGTTTTCCTAGAAAGGACCTCATATCTCTGGCTAAAAAGAGTGTCAGATCCTAAATAGGTTATTGATCTAGTGTACAAATCCAATAAAAAGCCTATTTTTTTGGCTTTTTTGGTGCTCATTTTTTCGAAGATCTACATGAATATGGGGAAACCATCGGATTTTTTTGGTTAACCCACATCTTCATGTAGTCTGGACTATCTTTCCTCGAAGGACCTCTTTACGGGTGTAAAAACTCATAAAGTTCTCAAAAGATTCATTCTCGATCTCCATGCTGAAAGAATTTACAATAAAAAAGAGATCTACGCATCAAACTACAGCCATAAATGAACTGAACCCCTAAAGCTCAGCTCTTAGTTTATCAAAAACGTCGAAATCCTTCTCATTGCAATCAAATTTTCTCAATAACTCATAAGAAAAATCGAATTTTGATTAAGCCGATGTTATAGGTATCACAAATACTACAAACTTGAGCAATATCGAAATTGCCAGCAAAAGTTTGAAATTGCATTGCTCATATTTGTTTTGTAAACTAAAAATCTGCTTATATTATTCATTAATTTTTTTATATATTATTCATATACTTTAATAAAAACAATACTATTTCACCTTAAAAATGAATTTCATAAGTCAATATTATTTTTTTGAAAATGTATCAATTTTTGATTAAAACAACATGAGAATAAAATTTACGCAAAATTATTTTAAAAAATGGTTTTAAAAATTTACAATTGATTAAGAATAAGATTGCAAGAAGTTTTGAAGTTTAATTTTAAGAAAAAAAATTCGGATATTATTCATGGATCTAAGTAATCTGATATTTGAGTATCGGCACTATGCATAAAACATATATTTATAGTTTTTTTGGATTTTTATGATTTTAAATATATTCAAATTTGGCAATCCAATAGATTTTTAAAAAATAGGTAAATAAAAATAGATTACATATGCAGCAGATTTAGAACATGAAACAAATCTTATAGTGACCCAAAAAAAAATTCATGATCCAAAAAAGAAAAAAATTGGCTAAATGGGAATCAAACCTTGGCATAATGAATCATTATATCAGATGTTTCCACTACACTACACCGGCAGTTCCAAAAATACCCTTGGTGGTTCTATTTAATAGCTACTCCCAACGATAGGCGGTGTCCCCAGCTTTCGAGAGGTGGTAAAAGTAAGGAAAATCTGGGTAATAATTTTTAAACATCATCTTTAAGAAGATCATCTATATCAGCACAGATACTTTCTGCACTGTTAAAGACATCATCTTCGTTTGTTGGTGATAGTCTTTTTAGTAATCTGTTCCATTTTGTTCGATTTGCAACATCAATTTCTTTTTTTCCAAAAACTCTGTGTTCTTTGTTCATCGTCTCTGTTTCAGGAAATATTCTCCTGCAGCATGATGGTTTCTCAACTGAAACAGTACCATCTGGTCTTGTAAATAAGTATATTGCTCTTCCATGAACAATACTAGTATCCATTTATTTTTATTAGAAAAATCTAATTAAAGTGATGCTGGACGATTATTTTATTCTCAATCTCCACATCATAGACATTGATTAAGACATGCTTTATTTCGAAATATTATAAAATGTTATTACATGAATATGATATATGACTTAACATTTGCATATATATTTGTGATAAAATATTTAAAAATCATGGATAAGTTAATTTATGAGAGCCGCTATTATGAATTAGGAATTCAAAAAGGTTCCCCACTTTTCATCAGATATTTAGAAGCAATTAAATTTTATATTAAATAAATTTATATATTTTGGGCCATAATTTCGAGGAATGCAATTTTCTCCTTAATATTTATGACAAATTCAAATGTATAGACTTTAACTGATAAATTTAAAATATTTGGTGAAAATCCTAATTTTGCCAGATGATTTGAAGATATTTCTGTATTAATGAGGTAATATAGTTAATATATGGCAGAAATATTATTGATTCAACGTTATTTTATAGTTTCGTTAGAATTTAATTCTCGTAAATAAAATCTAAGGCGTGTTTCTTGATAATAAGGCATGAGATTACATAAAAACTATTTTAATTCCGATTATAAGGTAGTCACAAAATCTAAGTAGTGAGGCTCTCAAAAATTGAACCGTACTCCATACAAAATTTGTGTACCCTCACTACTTAGATTTTGTGGCCTTCAATTGAGAGGTTAGTTTTGATAGAGCACGTTATAAAATTAAAAGGGAAAAATAAATAAAATTTAAACATTTAATTATATATAATGTAAGGAGTGTAATTCCAAATTTTCTAAAAACTATTCAAATTTGAGCATTTTTTTGGAAATAGTAAATCTAATATGTACATCTAATAACAACATGATTCATCACCTTTTCAAGCTCTGCAGTCAATTTTTTGAAATTTGATTGAAATAAATGTAGCAAAAATTACATTTCATTAGGGAATATATGAGTTTCTCTGGAAACAGGCTGATAAATTTTAAATTTTGTCCAATCAACATGAATGCATTGAGAAATTTGGATTGATTTTCTGGTAGAATCTGGAACAATTCAACCATATATAAATGGATCATGTAATCATCATGAAATGTTAGTGTTAGAGTTCAAAAGAAACAGAATGAGTGGAAATCAAACACAATCTGAATAATTTTAAACGTATACAATCTTTAACTTTGTATTTTGAATTCTACATATATGATTGTGTAATTCGTTCTTTAAATTCATTTCCCAAAAACGTCAATTAACAATTAAATTTAGTGTATTTTAAATATATATACGTATTATATTTTATAAATTATATTAAATTCGCAAAATTTTAAGTTTTAAAGAAAAATAAAAAATGTTCAAAATATGAAATTATGCATAGGATATTAAAATTTACATGTTAGCAATCGTTTTGAATTGCTTTCAATTTTCATATTGAAATTTTTAAGATTTTTTTTCTGAAATAATAAGCAAGAATATCAACCTAAATAATATTAAATTCCATGCGTTAATTTCCCCTCAAAAGTCATTGACCGACTCTCAATCTAGATTTTGTGAGTACTTTATGAAAGTGAAAATTTGATAATCGAATTTAAGAGCTATTCAAAATTTTGAGTGTTGTTTGCAATACAAAATCATCGAAATATTAAATAATATTCTATATGGAATAATTTTATATCTCTTTGCAAATAAAATTGAGACAAACCGATTGTCATCGTTTTTCCCTAAATATCCAAGATTTATGCTAAACTATATATTATCTACAATTTTTCTCATATTGTTGAAAAAGATTGAACTCCGGTAATTCAATTTTACTCCAATAGCAAATGCGTTCAGCATCATATAAAAATGCAGGAAAAATTAATAAAATTGAAGTTTGGCCAAATTCTCAGATTTTAGAAATTGAGAACCCAGCGGCTACATTTCTGTTCAGATGTCGCTTAAGACAATTTCTCGCCTATTTGCCTATTCCCCAAGGTACTTGCAGAATGCTAGGGCGTTGAACATCAATACAGTCAACAAAGAAGTCGTCAAATCAAGTTATTCTATTAGAGGTCACTTAAATACAGTTTCAGATCAACTCAGAAAGAGAATGGCTGCAGGTGAAAAGCTTCCATTTGATAGCATTATCCCATGCAACATTGGTAATCCACTTGCAGTTGGAAAAGATCCATTAACTTTCCCAAGAGATGTTGTTTCATGCATTGAAAACACGAAATTACTCAACTCTGCGGACATTTCCGAAGAAGCCAAGGACAGAGCTAAGCAAATCATTGCTTCAACAGGCGGAAGATTTGGTGGATACACTAAATCTCAAGGTATTGAAATAGTTCGCCAGCACATCGCTGAATTCATGTACAAACGCGATGGATATCCATGCAAACCAGATGATATCTATCTTTCTGATGGTGCTTCCTCCGCTATTTCCTTCTTAATGACTTTATTGATTCAGCACAACAACGTTGGTATCATGACACCATTCCCAACATACCCAGTCTACACAAGTGAAGCAGCCGTTCACGGTGGCAAGATCGTTCCATTCTACCTCAGAGAATCCAATAACTGGAGTCTCGATATCGAAGAACTTGTTCGCGCTTACAACCTTGCCATCAAGGAAGGCATCGATGTTAGATGCATGGTCATCATCAATCCATGCAATCCAACAGGCCACGTCTTAAGACCAGAGACAATGAGAACAATTGTTGACTTTTGCGAGCAAAACAACATCCTTCTCATTGCTGATGAAGTCTACCAAGACGTTGTCTACAACAAAGAACGTCCATTCTACTCTTTCAAGAAGATTGCAAGCCAAATGAAATCAAATATCCAGTTGGTTTCACTCCATTCAATTTCCAAGGGCTTCATGGGCGAATGTGGCCATCGCGGTGGCTATTTCGAGCTTTACCACTTCCCAGAAGACGTAAAAGCCCAAATCTTCAAGATGGCAACTTTCGGATTATGTCCAAACGCTGTCGGCCAAGTAATTGTCGACTGCATGGTCCATCCACCAGAAGCACCTGAGAACAAGGCAATCTGGGAAAGCGAAAGGAACTCATACATCACAAAACTCCAACAAAAGTCAGTTAAACTTGCTGAATGCTTTAACTCACTTCCAGGAATCAAATGCAAACCAGCAGATGGTGGCTGGTACCTCTTCCCTGCTCTCAGCCTTCCTCTCAAGGCTCTTGAAGCTGCAAAGTCATGCAGATGGCAGAGGGAAGTGATGCCACCTGACTTCTTCTGGTGCTTGAAACTTCTTGAAGAGACAGGAGTTATTGTTGTCCCTGGTTCTGGTTTCGGTCAAGTTCCTGGAACATTCCACTTCAGATCTACTTTCTTGCCTGAAGATGAGAAGTTCGACCAAGTTATTGAGAGAATTACAAAGTTCCAGAACGAATTCATGACAAAATATGATTAATTTTTTTTTCTTTTTTATTTTCTTTTTTATTTCATAAAAAATCTTTCGACAATGTTAAAACAAATTATATATCAAATTATTTCTTTCTTCAATTTTTGGCCCTAATTTCTTAAATCACAAGAAAAAATTCAATGAATTGACACAAAAATAGTTCATTTTGATATTTTTGTATTTAGAATGTATATCAAAGTATTTCTTTGTGTTGAATATAGATACAAGGTGATGTGAATTTTGCATCCCTGGGATGGACGATACACCCAAAGTGTCACCTTTTTGGGATAACAAAAATTTATATATATGAGAGTTCTGCAAATCATATGCACAATATCTATTCTGCCTGACTTCTTGTATATAGGAGTCAGGCTGAATAGATATTGTGCATGTGGCAATATAAGTATTTCCGAGATTGCCATCGTGCGCTATAGTACACTACTTCTCCTTGGTCCTAGCTCGGTTCCAAGGATATCGGTGTTCAAGGATTTGGCAAGGTCCTTCTGAAGTCTCTCATTCGATGAGAGATTTCGGAAGAACCTTGCCTTAGAGTATTCCAACTCTTGTTCTCTTGTCCCTGAATAGTCAGAAAAGCTATTTGACTACTTAAGGCAGAGATTATCCGAGGTCCCTCATTTGATGAGAGGCCTCGGATAATCTCTGCCTTAAAGTTGTACACTTGTAGTCCATCAGAATGTAAGTATACACGGATAGGACAGCTTTCTTCTGAAGTCTTAGATTTGATGAGAAGCCTCAGAAGAAAACTGTCCTATTTTATAATAGGAGGAGTTTCAGAAGCTCCAGAGCTCCCTTTCGTAAGGAATAGGAGCTTTGGAGCTCCTGGTTCGAAGATGTGCTTCGCATCTTTCATCAGCATAGGATATTTATCAATTGGGACTCTGTTGATGAAGACTCAGGAGCTCCAAAGCTCCCTTTCGTAAGGATTAGGAGCTTTGGAGCTCCTGGTTCGTAGATGGGCTTCGCATCTTTCATCAAAAGAGGCCCAAATGGTAAATATCCTCTGCTGATGAGCTTCAGGAGCTCCAAGGCTCCCTCTCGTAACGATTAGGAGCTTTGTAGCTCCTGAAGGTAAGGTAGGATTGCTCTGATCTCTAATCAGTAGATGCCATGCCTCATTATGGACTCTACTGACAAGAGATCAAGAGCTCCAAGGACTCCCTTTTTAGCTAGTGGCATTCTCACCATTTAGTAGGATCGCTGATCCTACTAATGAAGTGATCACTTAATATACGTTTTGAATAAATTGAATTTTTTTACAAAAATTTAGTATTTTTTATAAACATCACATATATATTATAAATACGTAAATATATTCTTTAATTCAAAAAATTCAATTCGGTTTCGGGCTGGGTATCCCAGCCCCAAGTATTCAATTTTATTCAATTTTTTTAGAATTTTGGGTTGGGGTGCCCAGACCAAAACAAACTTTATATTTTGATGTGTAGATGCGTATGTGTACATCATTATTGCGTTATATATTATATTTTTAATGAAAAAATCTGATTCAAAAAAAATTATCACTAATTAGTTGATAATATAAAGAAAAAATATATAAATTGTATGTTTTGAGAGTATTTATCCACATTCACTCATATGAATTTCATTAAATAGTGTCTTTTTACTCCAAAATTTATTTTGAATTATTGAAATCAAAGAAAAAAAAACTAGAAAAATTTCTCGAAATTTTTATTTTTAAAAAAATTTTGGATTTTATATTAAAAACTGACACTGGGAGGACGATAGGGCTGGGATTAGAGATACCCCGCTCACTTGGGAAAAATACGGATCTATAGTGTTGAAAATTCATGAATTACTAATCTTAAAAAAGAATTGGCGAATTCTATTTATAGATTTTTATTCTAATATAACAGTATATTAATCTTTGTGCGATATTATATCTCTCATCAAATTTTCCATATTTGCACAGAATTTGAGGTGATAAATGCAATGTATGACACTCTGTATAGTTATGAAGGAAATATATTTCTCAATTCTGGATTACTTATTAATTTTAAGTATACTGAGTTTTTGATTCATAAATAAACATGAGAATTATTAGAGATGTTGAATATATAAAAATCTAAAATATATTATCATAATTCTAATTAAATAGAATATATTTATAATAAATTAGACTTCAACTCCTGATCCTGACTCCTCCAGTTCTTCGGAGGATTTTTCTTGAGATTTCTTGCAAAACACAAAGTAAACAATTAAAACAATTATAACAATTCCAAGAAGGACGCCAAATACAATGCCAGCTATTTGACCACCTGAAAGACCACCTTTTGGTGAAGGTGTTGGTATTGGTTTTTCTGGTGTTGGATCTACGGGTTCTGGATTAGCCGCTTTAACAAATGTAATTTTTTGGGAAACTACATTTGATTCTGGTTGATCATTTCCTTGTGCGAGTTTAACTTCAAGAGTATTTTCTCCCTCTTGAATGTTTTCAGGAGATGGAATTGAGAGTTGATATGAAACTGGATCAGCTAGGATATTTCTAAATTTAGATAATGTTGTAACTTTCGAATCATCAAGTTCCTTGAAATCGTCCTTGTTGAATCTATACATAAACTTACCTTCTCTACTATCGAAGTTTTCGAATTTAATTACTAAAACAATGACATCCCCAGTTGAATATTCTGATTTATCAGAATTAAATGTAGGACCATAAATATGAGGGGATGTTCTGAGGTGTATTACAACTTCCTTAGAAACACTTTGGCCGGCTTTATCTGTCAGAGTGAGTGTAATTTTGATATTTTCGTCTTTTGGAATATTTTCTTTAGTAGTATAAGTAAATGTGTATTTGGAGCCTTTCTTTTCCAATATAATATCAACAGCATTGTCTTCTTCAATTTGATATTGAGGTTGAGCAATTGTTGCATCGTCATCAAAGATTTTTGCTTCGAATTCTAATGAAACTGTTTGCTCCGCAAAGTATTGATAATCATCATTTTGGTTTGAATCTTTGAAACTTAAGATTTTTGGTTCAATACAATAGAAAATGTTTTCAATTTTTTGTGGTGAAATAATTTCGTCAGATCCTGTCTTAATTAATGCAATATAAATAGGGTTTTTGTCATCCGAATCGATAGAATTTGGTGCTGTAATAGTATACTGATCATTTTGTTGATCATAAGTGGCTTCATTTATATATCCGTCGATTTCTGAAGGTGGATGTTGTTGTTTAACAAATTTGAGAGAATATTGCTCTTTATCATTTTGGTTCCAATTTGTTGAAACTGGTAAGGTAACAGGATCTCCATGTTTAAAGTATGAGATTGGATGCTCCAAAATTGATAAGGTAGGTAATGGCAAGAGTAATGTGACTCCTTTACTTCTAACGTTATCCCTACCTTCTCTATCAACAACTTGGATGAAAAGATTGAAACTGCCTGCAGAACCGGAAGCTTGTAATTTGGCTGTATACTCTGTTTTATCAGAGATACCCAATAGTTCTGTGCACTGGCTTTTACTGGCAGCATCATCTGAGAATGTATGCTGAGTTTCTGTGTCGAAAGCATAAAAGCAATCTGCTAAATCTGATGATGGCGAAAGTGTGATAGTGATTGGATATGTATTACCAATTGTCAGTTCTGTGCCACCTTCTATTGTAAAATCGCTAATGGATGGTGGTCCATCTAAAACTTTCCTAGAACTACTTCTACTATACATATTTTTTAATGTGCATAAATATAATAGTAACATTATTATAAATGACTTAAATTTTTCTATTTTTTTTTCTGAATATCTCAATTGTTCATATTCAAACGATAGTCAATTATGATTAAAATAAATTTCTTACATAATTAAACTGTGTATTTTAATTTTGTTCTTCTTTCTTCACGACTCAATTTAACTAAACTTAAAATTGCAACGTATTTCTCTTAAATTTTACTTTCAATTTTCTTAGATTTCAATTTGATCTCTCAATTAATAATTTGTCGGCTATGTAATTCATTAATATATACTTTTCAATTAATACATATTTAACGTCATTTGATCTTTTTTTTATGAATCTACTTTAGCTCATATATAATACATTGATTTGAAGCTTAACTAAACTTAATTCTTTATTTACCTTTTTTATGCTACATTTAATTTTCCTTTTTCTGGTCATATAATCAATATCATAAACAATATATGTTGTAAATTGGGTTAAATTGCTTCCGAGTAATTCAATGTTCATTTTTGAGAAGAATAAAAGCATGAATCAGCTTCAATTTCAATCAAATAGTATTTTCAAATATAGAATATGTTTATATTGGAATATACTCTTAATTTTGAAATACTTGAACTCAATTCAAAGATGGATTTTACCTTTGCTTAAGTATTAGGCTTAGAAAAACTACTTATGAATAATAATGTAAAATCATTTGCTAATTACTGCTTATTTTATATTGCAGTACTATATAGAAAAAATAAGTCGGTTGTGATGATATCGCCCTGATTTAAAATATTGAAAACTCAAAAATTGGCGCTGTTTGCCCATTGGAAACAAAATATTAGAACTATTATTTGAAAAGTCAGTGATTTATTTCAAAAAGATATGGAAAAATTTAAGTTCAACGACTATCCTGTAGACTTCACAGTATGATAAACTGTATTTTGGGGTATAAGATCTAGTAATCCTTAAAATAATGTTTTTCAAGAGCTTTTTAATTGATGACATCCCATTTCATTTTTCGTGAAAATTGTTAAAATTATATTTTATTAAAAATATTGTTTTGGAAAAAAAAATATATTCTTAAGGTTTATTAATTCTGGATATAAGCTTTGGTTATGCCAATAAAAGTTAATTTTTCATTATTGAATTTTTAACATGGTGAAAATTCTAAAATAAAATAAATATGATGAGGTACTCAAGTATTTATCAATTTTTGAGGCGCCGTATCAAAAACCCGTCCAGTATAATAATCTCTCTATTCATTTTTGAGAGGAACTTGAAAAATTAAATAGTTAGAAATGAATTTTCGATTTTTTCTTTCAATAATCCGCTCAGGGATTGAAGAAAAAGGTTCCCATCATATGTCAGAAATTGAGATGAATTTCCAATTTCAGACAATTCGTGTAAAAATCTGAACCCCTCTTTTAATAAGGATATCACTTCTGTGATCTTTATATGATCAAATTAATATTATATAATTATATTTTTTTAAGACGTAGTTTTGATTCTATAAATTCAAATTATCACGATTTTATTTCGTTGATTTGAGCAATGCAATTTGCCATAACTAACTGCAATAATGTGTTAAGTAAATATTATTTGGTTTAAAATCATAACATCTCCTCCAAAAGTTTTCTCTAAACAAATACTCTTATATTAAAATGGTGCTATAATACTAAATAGTCTTTGATTTTAGAATGTTATTTAATATAACTCAAATATATTTATATGAGATCATATTATATTTATATTTATTTAGCCGAAGGTGTTATGCACTCGATTGAGATGTCTAGGAAGTTTAGATCAAAATAATTTTTGAATTAATGAATCCTAGGAAGCTTGCACATTCGCATCATAGTTTAGAAAACTTTACTTAACTCATATGAACCCGAGATTGTAATAGTAACGTGGGTGAGTTTCACCCAGCCATAAGGATCACACTTTTGAGAGTTTTACTTAGCATTGCCGATAAACTCCATGTAAAAATTTCTCAATTATTTTTCCGGTTTTGCCAGTGTATTTCCCAATATTTGAGATTTACTTGATTTATAGCACATTGTTTGCTGTCCTATTTTTTCCTTTTGAATTAAATGTGATAGAGCTGATAAAAAAATCTGTCAAAATGCAAGATTTGCATGAATTCAATTTGAATTCTGCAATATCACTTAGCAACATCAAGCCGCATCCTAGATCGAACTTGAGAGTTGTAAAAGACTCAAAATCAGATAATTTCTTCGTAATAAAAGTTTTCGATTCTGATTTTAATAAATATCCTCTGTTAAGCGATGCACAAGCTAGAGTATCTAAATACAACTCAATTAAGTTTTCTGGATTGCAAAAGATTTATCAATCAATAAATAACGAAGCAACAAATTTTACTCTTGTAACGCCATATAGGTCACTACTATCTTTAAAAAGGCAAATCAAATACAATCAGCTTATTGATAATACTTTTGAAGAAAAGCTTAGACTTATTTTTTTATTAATTTCATCTGTCTATGCGTTACACCAAAACAACTTTATACATGGCAATATCAAGCCCTCAAATATTTTATTTTCGTCATTTAATACCCCAATTCTCGCTGATTTTTCATTATCTTTATCAAAATCAACGAAAACAGGCGAATTTTCAGCTCCAGAATTAAATTATCGAAGTATGTTACCGACAATGCAAACAGATATTTACTCAATGGGCATGATTTTTAAAAAAATAATTGGAGCGACTCAAATTAGCCATGATATTCAAGATATTATCGATAAAATGATATCAAATGACCCATATACTAGGCCAAGTGCTGCTTATATCCTTGAAAAATTCATTCGAAATGGTTTATATGGTGCAAAAATTTCATCCGAAGAATTTTGTCATTTATTTAAGCCTCTTTTAATCCCAAATGATTTAAAGTCACTTCCAGTTGCAGAAAATAATGTAGTTACTAAGAAATTCGAAGAAATGGCAATTGATGAAGTTAATAACTGCCTAATTAACTCTTTTCACTTCTATATGGATCAAAATGAGCATCACTCATTTGAAAATTCTTTAAATATTCTCAATATTGTAAAAGAAAATCCATATGGATCTTATAATTTAGGATTAATATTGTCTAGAGGTGTAATTACTCATTCAAACATCAATTTATCATATGAACTATTTAAAAAGGCTGCAGATGAAAACATTAACGAAGCAAATGTGCAGATGGCAAAATTAATTCTTAGAAATCAAATAGAATGTCATTCATTTCAAGATGTCCAACATTTCTTACAAATTGCTGCCCAAAATGGCTGCTCAGAAGCTAACTACCAACTTGGAATTTTATATCAAAACGGAATTAGTGTTGAAAAGAACATAGAACTAGCCGCAAATTATTATAGATTAGCTGCTCAAAGTGGTCATCGCGAAGCACAGCTACAATATGGCTTAATGTTACAAAATGGATATGATATCCAAAAAAATATTAAAGAAGCAGCAAATATATACTCAGAATCCGCCAAGCAAGGCAATCCTGGTGCTATGAATCAATACGCCTTACTTTTAAAAGAAGGAATTGGAGTTGATAAGAATATTAAAGAAGCTGCAAAGCTTTTTAAGAACGCCGCTGATAAAGAAAATGCTGAAGCACAGAATAACTTTGCGATTATGCTTCAAAATGGCCAAGGAGTACCAAAAAACATCAAAATGGCCGCAAAATATTTCGAAAAAAGTGCCAAAAATGGAAATATTGAAGCACAAAGCAATTACGGATGGTGTCTTAAAGTAGGTGCTGGTGTAGAAAAGGATATTGAACTATCTACTAAGTATTTCAAACAATCAGCTGATGGTGGATCAGCAATTGGTCATAATTATTATGGATTGGCACTTTTATTGGGTCAAGGAGTTCATAAAAGTGACAAAAGAGCTGCACATCAGTTCAAACTGAGTGCGGAAATGAATGATGAATTTGGATTATTAAATTATGGAATGGCTTTATATGATGGAATTGGTGTAAAACAAAATTACACAATAGCAGCAATTTATATCAAGAAAAGTGCTGACAAAGGAAATAATCAAGCACAGTTTTTGTATGCAAATATGCTAAAAGACGGAATTGGAGTTGAACGGAATTATTCTGCAGCAGCAATTTATTATAAACTTGCAGCTGATCAAGGTAATAATGATGCTAAATTCTTTTATGCTTATTTACTTAAAAATGGATTAGGAATTGATAAAAATGAAGAAGAAGCTGAAAAATATTTTGCAATTAATTTGAATGAAGATGATGGAACAAGATTTTTCAATTTTAATTCTTATAACGCACATTCAAATAAAATGTCTGATATCAGATCAAAATACACATCAAACAAAGGTTTCTACAAACCAAAACTTGATATAAATCAGATGTTAAAGAATGTTGATCTTGGTATTGATGATGAAGAAAGTAAGAAATTCATTAAAATGTCTGCTGATCAAGGAAATGTTAATGCAATGGCTATATACGCAAACATCTGTAATAATCAAGATGAAGAATTGTTTTATTTGCAAAAAGCTGCTGAAAACGGACATATGGAATCAATTATCAAATTAAAAGTTCTCAAGAACAAACTCAAGCCAGAAGAGAAATCTAAACTTGCTAAAGAACTTTCAACATGTTCATCTGCTTTCTTCAAATTGGAATATAAACCAGAAAATGATGAAGAAAAAATCGAAATTAATGAAAATGTCAATTTCGATGTCAAAATCAATCAAAATCCAAATGAAAATGAAGAAAAAGAAGAAAATAATGATGATAAAGAAACAGTTAATGATGAAGCAATTGAATCATTTAAATTAGCAGCTGATATTGGTATTGCAGAAGCGATGTATCAACTTGGAAGATGTTATGAAGAAGGAAAAGGAGTAAAAGAAGTCGATTTACAATTGGCAAGCAAATATTACAAGAAAGCAGCAGATTTAGATCATATTGAAGGATGTTATAAATATGCTTTATGTTGTAGAAATGGTTTAGGAGTTCCTAAGAATGATGCTGATGCTTTGAATTATTTCAAGAAAGGTTATGAATTTGATCACGATCTTTCTAAATTAAATTATGCAGAAATGCTTAATGAAATTGGAGGAAAATCAAATATTGCATTGGCTGCAAACTTATTTAGAGAATTGGCTTATTTAGGACATGCTGAAGCGATGTATCAATACGCAATAATGTTGAGAGATGGAAGAGGAGTTCCAGTTGATCTACAAAGATCAAGTCATTATTTCTTGAGATGTGCAACAATTAACTATAAAGATAGTGGTTTGCAGTATGGAATTTTGATATCAGAAGAGAATGGAATTAATTTCTTTATTACTGATGTTTTGAATTACTTTTTGTTGGCTTTGAAAGAAAAGCAAACAAAAAGTGCAAAATTCATGTACGGATTAATGTTAGTCACAGGTATTGGAATGAAGAGAGATTTAAATATTGGTTTAGGTGCTTTAAGTGTGTCTGGACATGAAAGGAGTCAATTAATTATCGATTTCTATAAAAACAAAGATAAAAATCGAAAATTAATTGCCATGAAAAACTTGGCTGATTTATGTTGCGTAGAAGCAATGTATAGCTATGCGATGTTGAGTTTAAAGAACGGTAATGTTGATGATTATATTTCTTATAACAAGAAAGCAAGCGAAGTTCAGTTTATCCCTGCAATGTTTGAATATGGAAAAACATTGTTTGAAGGAAAATTAGTTGAAAAAGACTTGCAAAAAGGATTGAATTTATTGCAATTTTCTGCTGATAATTCAATACATGAAGCACAACTTTATCTTGCTAAAGAGAGAGATAATGGTGACAAGATAGAACAAGATAACGAAGAAGCTGCGAAATACTACAATTTAGCAATGGAAGGAGATTTAGTTGAAGCTTATTTCAGGTTAGGAATGATGCATTTATCTCAAAGATTGAATAATTCTGATCCTGTTTATGGCCTTAAACTCTTGAAAGAAGCAATGGATAAAGGTGATGATGACAGTGCAATACAATATGCAATCAATTTGCATTCAGGAAAGTTCATTGAAAAAGATTTAGATTTGTCAAAATCTATTTTACAAAAATTAGTTGATGAAAAACATAATGAAAAAGCAAGAGAAGTATTAAATGTTTTATTCCCTGAACCAATCCCAGTTGAAGAAGAAGAGCACAAAGAAAATGAGGAAGAAAAAGCCGAAGAAGACATTAATAATGTTTCAAAAGTTGACGAAAAAGACGAAGAGAAAGACATCGAAGAAGATGAAGCTCACTTCGTCTTTGATGATGATAGTGTTGGTGATGATGAAACAATTGCTGATTTCTCACAACACGAAGAAGATTTTAACTCTTTGAAATCAAGAGAAATCGATTTAGACATTGCTAATGAAGAGGAAGAAAAAATGGCATTAACTCCTCAACCTAAACTCAAAACAAGAAGAAGGAAGAAAGTAAGGAAACTAACAATGATTGATTCTCCGCCAGCACCTCATATTCTTAAGAAACCTCGTCGTTTATCTGACGATTTCTTGTCTCCTATTCATCATCCTAAGAAACTTGATGATAGTCAATCAACAAATACTCAAGGAAGTTTAACAGATGATGATTATCCTGAAGAGTTAGTTCCAAGAGCAAGAAATGCCAATTTCTTGGCTTTAACTGATCAAGATGTTTATAAAATGGGATCTCAGATCTTCAAGTTAAATCCATTAGAAAGAGAAACATCTTATTACAAACAGCCATCAATTGCTGATTTCTTTGGTTCTCAAGTTTTCGAAGTAAGAAAGACTGCTGCAAAAGGAAGTGCTGATGAACAGCTTAAATTAGCTCTTTTGTTGTTAGGAACAATTGATGAAAATAATGCAGAAATATCTAAAGAGAATTATCAAGAAGCAATGCAGAACTTGATGCTTTCAAGTAACAAAGGAAATGCTTTTAGCATTTATTTGTATAATTTGTTTTCCGGCCAAGAAGAAAACATTAAAGAAAGACTCATTGAAGCTGCAAATCATTTCAAGATGTTAGCTGACAATGGAGATCCTTCTGCAATGTTTATTTACGGATTGATGTTGAGAAATGGATTCGGAGTCAAACAGAATTTGGAAGGAGCCGTTGAATACTTCAGAAGGGCTGCGAAATTGAATCATGCTGATGCTTGTTATAACTGTGGATTAATGATAAGATTAGGGTTCGGAGCAAAGCAGAATTTGTCGAGAGCCGCTTATTATTATTACTTGGCTGCCAAACAAAGACATATTTACGCAAGTTATAACTTAGCAATTCTTCATTCAAATGGATGGGGAGTTTCTAAAAATGAAAGTTTGGCTGCTTATTATTTCGGAATTGCTGCAAGAGGAGGAGATGCTGCCGCACAAGCAAACTTAGGTTTGATGTTAAAGAATGGTATTGGTGTTGAAAAGAACATTTTTGGTGCAGTGAAATATTTCAGAAGATCTGCAAGACAAGGAAATGCCACTGGACAAAACAATTACGCATTGATTTTGTCTGAAGGATGGCCAGGTCATGATCCAAATCCTGAGAAAGCAACAATCTTCTTCAGATTCGCAGCTAAACAAGGAAATGTTTCTGCAATGTATAACTATGCAATTGCTTTATTAAAGGGAGTTGGTTGCAAGAGAAATCCTAAGAAAGCAGCAAAGATTTTGGCATTGAGTTCAAGAGAAGGAGATATTGACAGCCAGTTCAAGCTTGGTTATATGTTGTATAAAGGTGAAAGGATAAGGAAAGATCCAATAAGAGGTTTGCAATACTTGGCAATGGCTGCAAGACAAGGACATATTTTGGCAATGATAATGATTGGAAGAGCTCTCAAAAATGGAGATTTTATTGGCCAAAACATTGAATTGTCTTTGAAGTATTTCAAGGCTGCTTCAATTCTCGATGATCCTGTTGGATTGTTGAATTACGGAATGTCACAAAAAGGCGGAGAAGGTGCTGAATATGTCAAGAAAAGCGCTGATCTCGGAAATGTTGAAGCTCAATGCTATTACGCAGTGATGCTTTACAGCGGAAAAGAGATTAAGCGTGATGTCGAATCTGCGTTCTACTATATTAAGTTGAGTGCAGATCAAGGATATTCCAATGCGAAAAGACTTCTTCGTATCTGGCAAAACGAAGAAGAAGATTCTAATCAATAATTTATTTTTATTTGTTTATTATTTTAAATATGTTATTTTTATGGAAAAGAAACATGTAATATTAATATTTATGTAATATTAATATTCTTATTATTATGAACTAAACAGTATGCGATTTAATATTACTTTTGTGTATCATGTATGTTTATTATATTGGTTCAATCATTTTTTATAATGTTTTGTTTTATTGTTTTATTAGCCCAATGTGTTTTTGGTGCAGAGTTGTGTTGCTATTTGCTGAACCGAAAATACAGCATATTCTACCATTTTAGCATTGGTATTCCTGTTGGAATTGCTTCATCAACATTTATTTTCTTAATAACTTCAATTTTATTAGGAATCAATTTTATCAATGTATTTGTAAACGTTGGTATATTAGCATTTTCTATAGTATTTCTCCATATCTTCAACATGAAAAAAACGAAAATTTCATTATCAAAACCCGATTCATCAATGATTACATTTCTGACATTTTCAAGTATATTACCACTCCTCCTACTCAAGGATATGTATTTTTCGCAGAAAAACCTCCTACAACAAAATGTTGCCGATTATTTTACCGAAGAGTACATGTTAATCAAGTCATTTACTATTGGTATAAACAGTGGGTTCACAAATATCTTTAAAATACATCATCCAATTTGTTATAAATGCGTTTGTAGATCAAGATGGATTACAGCTTTACACACGGCCATGATGGTAAAATCTTTTGCATCTGAGAGAGTTGCCATACTTATTCCTTCTTATTTATATATTTTTTCAATTTGCTTGATTCATATGCAGTTATCTAATACATTCTTGAAGAATTCATTCTTATCTGTCCTTTCTACAATTGTATTTTTATTCGCTGGCGGTCTGGAATTCTTTGGTTTATTAATTCATGATTATCCACCGGAAACTGATTTCGTTCATCACAGAAGGAACTATGAGACAGAATGGCTTCATCCAATTCTTGAATATTTAGTACCTTACAGGCCATCTCAGCTTGCAACTGGATTATTTTTAACACTAATTTCGATTTTAACACAAGTTGGTAATAAACCGCATAGAAAACGTGATTTAATATTATGTGGAATTGTTTCTGGCTTGATTTTACCAGCTCAATATCAAGTTTTTGCAGCATCTGTCTTATTTACCACTATTTACTTATTCTATCTTCCTATTTCAAAGGATGATAATGATGGAAAGAAGAATAATATATTTGATATTGTTTTTTACTTTGTTCCTCTTGGAATAATTTCAATAATTCCATTATTACAATTTTTCCCAAGATCTAGTAACTTCAGATTATTATCACAAGATAAAGTATCAACACCACTTATCAAAAGAGGTATTTTCTTCTCTCCTTTTGTTTATTGGATTGAAAACTTGGGAGTCTTTGCAGTTATCACGCTTACGCTAGGATTATTCGTTATTGGTAAGAAATTGCAACAGCTATACTACCCATCTCTTGTTGTATTTTTCTTATTAAATTTCTTCAAACTACAACCAGTGGCAAGACAGAATATTTTCGTATTTATTCCGTGTTGGCTCTCAATAGCTTCTATTGTTTTCATGTCCACATTATCATGGATCTCTCAGAAGCCAAAATCCGAAGAATCTAAAGGAATTGCACTTGCCTGGTGCACATTTTTCTTTGTCGCGGCAATTATGTCATCTCTAATTGGATTACAGATGTGCCGTAACAACGTTTTCGAAATATCTCTTGAAGAACGAGATGCTGCTGATTGGATCACGCAGCATACATCCACAAAAGACGTATTTATATCAGATATCCAGAAGCCATATACCCCAGTCCCTTACTTATCCGGAAGACGAATTTTTGCGAGTAGAGTCGATATCTTGGAACAGTTTGATAAAACGGTTGATTGGAAAAACGTTGAATTTTCCAAGCTTTTATCAAACCTTTCTGATAAATCTATCGCAAAAAAGGTGAAATACGCACTTTTCGGGAGATCAACTAATCTGAATGAGAATTCGGGCTGGAAATTGGAATATCATAACTCTAGATATAAGATTTATTCAAGAATTATGGATTAATCTTTTTAATTTTTTGTAAGTCAAATTTGTTCTTTGACTTGAGTTATCTATAAATTGTTTTTATGTATAAATGAGTTTATTTGTTAAATTTTTAATTGAACAGTATCACAAAATAAAAATATTAGAAGAAATCGTAAATATTATAAAATATGAGAAATGTGGAACGACCGTGGTAAATATAAACAGATAAGCGTCACTTTTAACAGCATTTCTTCTCCTTTGGCTTTGAATCGGAGATTGTAATATCGATTCCATCGTCTTTTTGGCCCATTGCGACCTGTTCTTCTTTGTATGCCTCCTGCTTAAATGGATCTAAGCGATCAATAATATTAAGTCTTAAATCTTCAATTCCTTCCTTTGTTTTAGCGGAAGTTAAGAAAAGGGAATAGCCTTTTCCATCAGCATACTCAATGAAGCTTGTTATATCGACATCTTCAGCTAAATCGTGCTTATTTGCTGCTAAAATAATATTTCCTTGGCCGTTTGCTGAATATTCGTTAAATTTGTCAATGTAATCAATGACATCCTTGAAAGATTCTGGCTGTGTTAAATCAAAAACAGCAATGCAAAGCTGTGAATTTTGATAATAAAGTGAACCGAGACCTTTGAATCTTTCTTGGCCGGCTGTATCCCAAAAATTAACCTGTATCTCTTTTCCGGTGCTTGTTGTATAATTGTGTGGGAAACATTGCATTGAAGCTGTTGGAGCGATTGTTGCTGGATTGAATTGATCCTTATCGAGTCTGACAAGGAGTGATGTCTTTCCTACGTTGGCTGGTCCGACAAAAGTTACTTTGAAGCTGGGTATTTTGCTTTCAGCCATTTATTCGAAAAAAATGTTTTCAAATTTAGGCGGTTTTAGCGGTGAGCAGATATAATGAAAATGTTTACAGTACATAGAATTTTTTTATTCGTAAATATTTTGATTTCATAAAATTTTTCTGACATTCCAAGAATGCAATATCCGCTTTTTGCCAAAATAGAGATTTCTATTTTTGATTTCGATTCAAAAACATATTTACTGAAGGATATAGATCGGATCTGGCTGAATATGAGATTTGATGTCACTTTTGTCTGACACTTTTCGTTAATATTGGCACTTTTTTGATTCATGAATATTTTTAAACGGAAATCTAAAAAGAATTTAAAGAATGCAGAGCCCTGAGGACGCTTCTTCAAACTATACCTCGAGCTCTTATTCATCTTATGACTATGAAAATAGTATGTCGAGCGCAAATGGTGTTTTTCCTGATCCAAAAGCCCAAAAACAATATCAACAGCAAAATAACAAGAGTGTTGAAAGTCAACAACCACCGAAATATGTAAGTTACTTAGAATTCTCTGAAGTACTTAAGCAATTAAAGCAGTATCAGCAAGATTTCCATGAGGCAGAAGAAACGATCGATGCTTTAGAACAATCATTAAAAGCTGTATTATATACAGTATCTAATGTAACTAAATACAAAGTTAATACTATTGATGACGCACTTCGTTGCATTTCAAGTTTCGGTGATAACAAGGAATCAAATGAAAATGAACGTGTTAAATATCTTACAGAGCAACTTGCTTTGGCACGTGCTCAAATTATGCAAAACCAATCACCTTCCAATAACAATATCCAAATTCAAGAATTACAAGGAAAACTCAGAGATAGCCAAAGCAAGATTGCTTCACTTAATGAAGAAATCAAGAATATCTCTAATAGTAAAAACGATTCTGAAAGTAATTTACTTTCAATGAAAAAGAAGCTTGCCCAAGTGATTGAAGAGAATAATACACTTAAGTCAAAGCTCAAAGATAAAAAGTCTATCACTAAGAAAGGAAAATCATCAAAAGTTTCAAAGAAGAAAGGAAAAGCAGCAAAGAAGCTTCCAAAGAAGAAACCAACAGAAGTCAATGCTTTGATGGAAAAGAAGAATGCTGAAATTGCTTCACTTGAAACTAGAATCAAAGAATTGCAATTTGAAATCCAAGCAAATAGGGAAAACCTTATTTCAACATCAACTATCTCATCCGAATCATCAAGCCATAGTATTCTTCTGACTGGCCCTATTCTTTCTCAGTTCGAAGAGTTAGTTTCGAAACAAAGAGAAGAAATTCAAGCCCTCGCTGACCAGAGAACGATTTTGCTTGACCTTGCTCACACATTAGAAGCTAATATTGAAGAAGCTGAAGCTGAGCTTGAAGATGTCATTCAGGAGCGCGATGACCTTGAATCTGATCTTAATTTAGCAAAGAATGATGTAGACATCATTGAGAAGAATAAGGAAATTGCTATCCAACAGATCAGAAATAATATCCTTGAGATGTTACCTTCAGTTATTTCTTCCAAATTATCTTTGATTCAAGATCTTCCAGCTGAAAGGCAAATTGTTGAATTATTCGACTTCACACTTCAGGAAATGGCTGATATTACTACTCGCCAATACGATAATATTTCTGATGCTAAGATGCCACAAGTATTATCTCAATTAGAAAACGCCCTCAGATTTATTAAGGATATGAAGAGCTCCAACGATACAAAGCCATTGTTAGCTGACCAAGAGTTTGTCCGTGATATCCAAGGACAAATCAAGAAGATGCAGGACTTCATTGACAACATTCCAAAGGATCCTTATGTCAAAGAACCATCAGTCTTTGATACAAAAGATGCTGAACAGCAACTCAAGGCATTCCTTCATATTGCCGATGATAAGATTAACGAATCTCCACTTAGAGAGCTATTCGCTTTGTTCAGTGGATCTGTTATGGTCAGTAAGAAACTTATGCAGCGTGTCGCAACCCTTGAACCATTAAGAGTTTCGCTCGAGAAATCTAAATTAGAAAAGTCCGAGCTTATGAACCTCCTCAAGTCAGAAGCAGCTCAGCAACAGAAGCTTTCTGATGAATTGAAGGTTCTTACTAACAAGCAAAACTCTACTTTCTATCAGATGATTGAAGAATTAATCCAAATGTACAAGGAAGCAGAACAACTCAGAATTACATCCTACAGAGAACTCCAGACCATTAAGAATGATGTCAATGCAATTGAGAAACAAACTGTTGAAGATAAGTTCACAAAATCTAAGAAATTCCTTCAACAAATTGCACTTCTCAAGCAAAAGATCGATGAAAGAACAATGGAGAACGAAAATCTTATTGCTGAAAACGAAAGACTCAACAGGAAGGCTGAAGCTGCCGCTGCAAAGTCAGCAGAGCATTTCCAGAATGCAACATCTTCAAGAGAACTCCTCCAGATTCAGAATCAAAGAATTGAGGAATTACAGGATGTTTCCGCCAAAGTCAAAGTTCTTGAGAAAATCAGACTTGACTTAGAAGATCAGGTTGCAGAACTCAACCAGAAAGTTGCAACTGTGTTAACAGAGAAGTCAATCTCTGATAAGAACATTGTTGCTCTTCAGAAGAAGGTCACAGAATTAACAAAAGAAAAAGAAAACATTACAAAACAGTTGAAGCAGGTTAAGCAAGAAAATGCTGAAATTAAGAAGTTAAACAGCCAGATTCTCCAAGACATCAGAGCAAGAAACGAAAACTTGGACAACAGAATCAACAACGAGTTCAATGATATGCAAAACAAGATGGAAGTTGCAGAGAAGAAATATGCCGATGCTAAAGAAATAAGAGATTATTTCCTTGCTAAGAAGAAAGATTATCAGAAACAAATTGCTATGCTCAAAGCAAGCGAAAGAACTCTCAAAGTTAGAATAGAAGAGCTTGAGAAGACAATTGCACTTGCAAAGAAGCAAGCAGAAGATGAGTTCAACGCTAAACTTATCGCATTGCAAGCCGATGTTGCTAAAGAAAACAATTCAATGAAGGAATTCAACGTTTGCTGCTGCAAGAGATTAGTTCAGCTCATTGAATCTAACTTCTTGATTTCATTGAGTGGCGGAACAATCGATCTTTGGGATATTGTTAACATCCTTGAAGAGAACTTGCACTCCATCAGTGCTGATGAGCTCTCTAAAGTTACACATGACAACGCCCAAGTCAGAGCAATCCTTGGAACAAAGAAAGGAGAACCTGTTTGGGAAAGTGTCAGAGATCTCAAGGATGAATTCTCAGAATTACTTGAAGATAAGGATGAGCTTATCAATGAAATTGCTGACTTACAAGCTAAGCTTTCTGAAGCTAATGAAATGATCAACAAGCTCTTCGTTAAGAAGGATGATGCTGATGAATGGGAAGCTTGGGCCAAGAATATTTACTCTCTTACAAATGATGGTGCTGTTTCTGACAACTACAGATTAGCTCTTGAAGAGATGATCCTTTCAGGAAGTGCTAATAAGACTGTTGCAAGAAGGCTTGAGATCTTAAGGTCGACAAAGCAAATGCTCAATAATAAGAAAGTTGCAGCAGCAATCGGAGATAAAAATGTTCCATCACCGATGTCAATTAGACCAGCAACTATTGCATTTATGTTTATTAGGAGAATTCAAGTCTATTCGACCACACTTCCTGTTTATATCAAGTGAAAACTATTTTGTTGAATTTATGTTTTATTATAAAAAAATTAAGTTTTTGATTTTGTACATTTCCATATTTCTGATGTCTCATAGTACCTTCCATTGAACAAAGGAATTATTAATGCATTTGAGGAACAAAATGTCATTATATTGTCCTTGATTCACTTTCAAAACAGTGAAATGTTTTTGAAAATAGAGAGTATCGTTAGTTAGCACCTATTCATTATGAGTTGGCAATATTTGCCAATAATCCGAAATTAACCTTTTAGCAGGGTTTGAAGCATTTGACGTTAAAATTAATTTTACTATCATATGAAAATTAAAATTCTAAAATCACTTGTGAATTTGCCTAAAAAATATTCTGGCAAAAACAATTCGCATGATTAGCTCAATCTGCTAAAAAATCAGAATGACTGTTAGATTGCTAGTTCAGATCTTAGAACGTTTCAGGAGTTTCAAAAGCGTGTCCTATAAATTATAAACAAAAACTGTTATTTGTGATGAAATTGGTTGTACAATTGGAAAACATTTATTAATTTTGTATTATTGCAAATTTTATGATCATTACAATTCATTGAACGTTAAAGTTAAAAAAAAATAAGATTATGTTGCAACCATTGGAATTATGTCTGATCTCAAATAATCAAAATTGCGTATATCTTAAGTAAATTGAATTGATTTCCAAATAAATTCAAAAATTGAGAATTGATAAATATTCCTAATATTATTACTGTGCGATATTATAACAAAATTTCGATAAATATTATTAAAATATTTATTATTTTTGCCGTCTTCATTGGAAAATTGAAAGAATTTGTGAAGAGTAAGGGAAAAAATTATGTAAGATAATTTGTTATCCTCCCGAAGTTCCGTTTTAAATTGATTAAACGATCTAAAATATTAATGATATTAGAAATTAGTATAGGCAATCAATAACAATCAAATTAACTTTTGGATAAACGTGTTTATTATTATGTCCGCGGTTTTTCACAAAAACTCTTAAAATTTCAAGCTATACGGGTTTCAAAATAAATTCAGATTTTGAATAATACAGAATTTTCAACCAGATTGATTTCTATATGAAATCCAATTCTTTTGTTATTCATTTAGTCTGGTTATATTTTTTTGAGAAAGAACGAAACCGAATTCCCCAATTCAAAATTAGAACAGATTCATAATGGACGGATTACAAAATGGGGCACTCAGTGATTACACTTTCCTTGGATCACTAGGTCAAGGTTCATTTGCAACTGTTTTCCGTGCTCGCCACAATCCAACTGGAAAATTTGTGGCTGTAAAACAATTTCCAAAAGCAAAGCTTCAAGACCCAGATGATAGGGCAGCTTTTATAAATGAAATTAATATTCACAAGATTGCAGATCATCCTTTGATAGCAACTTGTTATGAAGTCGTCGAGAACTCAGATTCTTATTTCTTATCTATGGAAATAGTTGAAAACGACTCTCTTCTTAACTTCATAAATATACACAATGGTCTAACAGAAATAGTTGCGAGGAAGATTTTTTGCCAAATTGTCATGGTGTTGGATTACCTTCACAATACTCTTAATGTTATACATCGTGACTTAAAAGCAGAAAATATATTGTTAGATCTAAACGGCAACATAAGATTAATTGATTTTGGGCTTTCGAAGAAGATTCATGCAACGAACGCCATGATGAATACAATTTGCGGTTCGCCAGCATATGCAGCTCCCGAACTTGTTCAGGGTATTCCTTATACAAAGTCCGTTGATATATGGTCTATTGGCGTAATTTTGTTTGCTATGGTTGCCGGTTATCTTCCATTTGACGATGACAACATACACGCTCAATTGCATCGCATTGTTACCCGTGAACCAGAATACCCAGATACATTATCGCCAATATTAGTTGACCTGTTAAAGCGATTATTATGTAAAGATCCTTCACTTCGCATTACGATTAACGAACTCAAAATTCATCCATGGGTTCATCAAAGCATTGTCCATTGTGAGTTCGATCCTGATATTTTTAGCAATTCTTATCATATGATTGACCAACAAGTCGTGAACACCCTTAAGGACTTAAATATACCAACTACAAACTTAGCTCAAGACCTTATGAATGGATGTTTGACACGAGCTACAGCATCTTACAAGATATTACGTCGTGAAGTCACTACAAAGAAACTCAATGATATTTTTGCGCTACAGCCGATGCCACGTAAGCACTCCGTGTTATCCCCACGAAGATCAGCAGATACTTTACCAAAACTCGATTTCACTCCTACAAAACTTTCAGAAAGTAAAAACCACACAAACACACAGAGTACACCTGAGCACTACACGTCAAAGATTATCATTCCAAGGAAAATATCGAATAAACCTAATCCGAACTCCCCATTATTACCTCCTTCCCCTGCAAGGCGAAGGCAAAGAGCGATGAGCTTTATGAAGAACTCCGTTAACCCCGTAATGCCTAATATTGGCCAATCTATCAGCCCTCTTGTATAATTTGTCCTTTGAAAAATTAATTTAATGTTTAATTTTTTAAAGTAAAGCGTATATATTTGTTATGTCAGCGATCGAAATAATTTATTTTAATGATTAATTTTCATTTTTGAAAAATTGCCAACTAACATCCTCATTTGAAGGTATCTTTTTAGATGTAATGAATCATATATATGTTCTATGTGAAATATTTGCGTTCTGATCAGAAACCTTATCAGAAATTTGCTGCGGTTGGCTTTAAAAATCTGTATTTTTTTTGTATTCGGAATCACAATATGTTTGTATGGGATTACGTCTTATTTAATGGCTATCTGAAATCTTTCTTCGATGATGTTTGATAAAAAATCCAAATACAAAAATGGATTTCATTATGATTGAACCCTCTGAACAGAAAATACTTAATCTATTGTAGACTTTCTCTATCTGAAAAGAAGATAGTTGCTTTGATTATTTTGAGATATTGTTGATATTTATAGGAATTTAAAGTGAAATATCATCAATGGCTAAGCGACATCGAATGATTATCTTTTTAATTCATTTTAGTTCACAAATTCAAGATTGCATTCACATATTTAATTTTTTCATAAGTTTTGCTAAGGCATCCGATATACCACTAGCAATGGATTATAATTTAAAGCCAATTGAATCCACGAAAATTCCAAAAAAAAATCGGAAAAAGGAAAAATATTGTGAAAATATTAGAAAAAATATGTGAAAATCAATAAAATGAAATATTTTTGGAATTTTAGAGTCCACAGTATTTGTATATTTTTGTTTGAAATACACTTTTAGGCTATAAAATATCTCTAAATTCAAGAGAAAAAAATTTGGAAGATTTAATATAATAAAAACTTAAAAAATTCAATAAATTTATTAAGTATAATACTAAGCTTTCATATTTACCCATGTTCTAAGAAAAAATCTGATTTTGATTTCAGGTTTTTGTCAATTTTTATCATATGATTATTGCTTCATGCTGCTTCGGAGGTGAACCAAACAACTGCGCTCATTACGTCTCAACAAAAATTGGTCTTGCATTGTTTTGCGTAATTATTGCTCTTTCAATCATCTATTTTGTTTACTCTTTATTAGTATATAAATTTGACCTCAAGAAATATAAAATAAGATTTTTATTACAAATTGCACTGATAGCATTTTCAAGTTCAGTTATGGGATTGGAGTTTTTCGCAGACGACACCAATAATTATATTGGTGGTTTCACTTTTCTATTTGATTTTGCAGGACCATCTTTCTTGATTTCCTTCCTTACGATCTTATTTTACTATCAAACTCTTAAATTCGCGCAACAATTAAATATTAGCTTTGCTTTTGGAGAACTCACAAAATACATCGCGTGGGTATACTTTTTATCAACATTTGCTTCTACGATATTCATTTTACTTCTTGTCCGCTCCGAACCTTCAGTTACATTTACGTTTGCTTGGGGATTTTCGACAATTATCGATGATGTAATTTTCATATTCATTATTATCATTCCTATTTACAAGATCTTATTTTCTACCCTTCAGCACGATTCTCTCAAATTAATGACAGCGAAAACTATTTCTTCTATCGTTGTTACAAGTATATTTTGCGTCTGCTTAGTGGGAAGACTTATCCAATTAGTTTTCGATGCATGGCCAGCCGATCAAATCGATCCCGATAATGATGCATTGAATGCAATTGCAGATAGAATCATGAATCCAGATTACTTCGGATATCATGTTATGATACTGTTTGCCTGGCACTTCTTATACTACATATATCAGAATTGGTATTTCGACTCAATTCTCGTCACTGTAGAAGGAACTACGACTACAAATAGCGTCCAAGGATCGCTTTACATTGAAGCATCCAAGAAAATCGAATAAAAACAGTTGTATGTATATCGTTTTAAAATAATGAAAGAAACTTATAGTGTCTCGTTGTAATTTCCGATTTTTTTTCGGAAATTAATTTGAGTAATAACGTATAAAAAGGACTTTGATCTTAAATAAATACGGGAATGTTTAATATAAAGTAGTAAGCATTTTAAATTCAAAGATATATTCGTATTTAAATCAATAAACAGCATTTAGATCCACTCTGTGCTGGCTTATCTGTCTTCTTTTCTTCCTTCTTCTCTTCCTTGGCTTCCTTCTCCTTGCCGCCATCGGATGAGCTTGATTCCTTCTTCTTCTTCTCTACCTTAACATCCGCTTTATCATCATCTGACTTTGTCTTCTTCTTTTCAGCTGGGGCAGCTTCACGATCCTTATGTTTGGCATCGAATTCACTCTGTGGGACTTTCTGTTGCTTAAGGTTTGGAAGGTCGTCTGACATTTCTAATTTCTTTACAATTGGCTAAGCCTCGAACGATAAATCCAAAAAACGAATTATTATCGGTGGAGAAAATCGAATATGATTTTCTTGGATATTACTAAGAAATTAGAACATCTGATACATTTTCACGGTTCATCATTGAAATTGTAAGATGTAAGGAGATTTTTCCCAAAATATCTTTTTTAATTATTGATATGTTTATTAATAATTATTTTTGCAATATTTTTAAATTGAATGACCTGAGCAAAGACATTGAAAACTTGAAAAGTTGCTTGTTCTTAATATAATGTTATTATGTGTTATCTAATGAAAAGAAAAAAATAATGTTTTCAAATTCATCATGAATATTGTCGTTAATGAAAGGCGGTTTACAATTCAAAAATCTGATTTGAAAGAAAATACTACAATCGCAAGAAATACGCGCAAACTATTTTGAGTTTTTGCTGCATAAAAATAATTACATATTATTTGCTTTTTTTATTCAAGGAGAAGGAAGTGATTGTTGGAACGTTGCAACAAATCATTATGAGTTGTCAATGAAAACATGCCATTGCTATAAATATGATGATATGAATGAAAAGACATGCATTTACCCAATATTTGTGGGAAATTTGATCTTAGCTTTCGTCAATTCTAAATAATTTCTACTAGTGTTCTAATGTTTCAATAAAATATCACTGAGGCCATATAATATTAACTTTGTTATATTCAATGGTGCTTTAATAGAATAACAATTAAATTCTTTTGCAAATTACTGCAAAATATGATAAAGATAACAATCTCAGATGCAGTGTCATTGTGAATATATTGATGTTATGATCTCAAACTCGAATATATTCATATTAAAAATGATTTGCTTTTATTTTATAGCAACATATGACTTGATTAATCAAATTAATTTCATCAGTTTACAAAAGTTCTTTTACTATAAAGTACTACAAGAATTTGTCACAAGATAGTTAAACATGTCGATATGTTTGATATATTTTTGAAATTTTTGAATTTATGAGAGGAGTGATTGGAAATTATATAATGAGATGTTGTTGTGGACATCTGGTGCTTACCAAATTCTGTTTTTCAGATTCTTGCAAGAATTTTGATCTCAAATTTGGAGTGAAAACCTTATAAATGAAATAATTACTCATAAAAATCTGTCGCGATTTGATAATATTCTCCGATTTCTATGATATCAACAAAATTTTTTTCCTTCGAATAACTCGTTACATCTCTTTATTATTTTGATTGAAAATTTGATATGAAGAGATTTGCTTATGCGAGGACTGCAACACAAAGTGTACGGCCAGTTGCAGCTCCTCCTTCTAAAGCAGTTATCGTTATTCCCAAAGTTAAAACATCGGCTCGCTCTGGTTCAACAATTAAGATCGAGATTCCTAGAAATAGCAGCTTTGATCAGTTCTCAACAATACAAGAAGATGACAAATTCGAAAGCGATGATGATAAGAGAGAACTTATCAAACTAGGAATGCAACATTTGTCAAAACAGATTGAAATTACGGCACCTGTTAAAACATCAAGATCATCGAAGTCACTTGAGAATAAAGATGTCATATCAGGATCAGAGAAATCAAAATTTGCTCAAGAATTTATTAATAATTATACTTTATCAAATTATCAAGACCATTATGCATATGTAATACAGTCAGCTTTTCGTCTTTATAGAAACAAAATGCATTGGAGGAACTTTATCAAGCTCCGGACAAAGTATCATCGTAGAATTACAGAATTATTTTTTCATAATTGGAGAATCTCTGTGGTTAACGACCCAACGATTATCAAGAAAGAATTCAAAAAGCTAAAGAACGCTTGCAACCAACTAACTTTCGTTCCTCACGGAAGAGAATTTGCGGCTTTTCCATACTTTTACATTTCCAACCAAATTTACACTCCTAAAGGTTTTAACTCACAATTCCTTTACCAATTCGTTCATATTGCGTATACTCCAATGAAATTTAATTATTTTACAGAATGGCAAGAAGCAGCGAGGAAACTACGCCAAGAAAGACTTAAGTTTGCATTTATCTCATTCAGTGTCAAAAAGAACAGAGTTTTTGGCAATGTTTTGACAATATTTCAGAATTGGTACAGATTTACTAAATGGAAACGCTTAATGCAATCACAGCAACCTGCCAAATCAAAAGACAGTAAGCATTACATCACTCTCAACTCAACAGAAGTCAATGTTCACTGGAATGTCCAAGAACATAAACTAAATCAGTTCGAAAAACGCAAAGCAAGGGCCATCAACTACTCCAAGAAGCAGATCCTCTCACGAGCAGTCAAAGCCTTATACAACCAGTCAGTCAAACGTACAACAGATCAAGCTTTGGCCGCAAACTCGGATATCTTCCGAAATCTGCAACTCATGAAGCTCGCACACAGCGCGTGGTCGAGATATATGGAGATAAACCAACACAAAAGACAGATGCAACACGATATTCTCCATAATTGGTACGACTACGCGTACAAAAAAGCAAAATTGAAACAAACTGTCACTTTTTATCAACAACGTGAAAAACGGTTTTTCCTTCTGAAAATTTTGAATAGGTGGAACAAAGTTAAAGAGATCCAGAAGATCAAGAACCTTGAAGAGATGATGCGTATCCAGAAAAACTCAACACTTGCTTTACAATTCATTTTCATTTTGTTGAAACAAGGAGAAATTTCCTATCAATTGCGTTGTTGGCAGTTGTGGATCAGATTCACGAGACAGAGACACAAATGGCATCAGTTCTCAGGCTGGTCTGATAAAAGGAAGATCACAGAAGACTTGAATCGCGAAACAATTTGCGAACTCAAGAGAATATCGAACAACAAAATGCTTGGAAGAATTCAAGAACCAGAAACCGAAATAATTCCAAGAAAAACATGCATCAATTTGGAATCAACACTCGAAGAAGTCCACAGGATTGACAAGGAAATACAGTTCCATGTAAACGTAACAAAACATGGCTCAACTCAATCAATGTTGGATTTCTCAGCTGTCAAAATTCAATGCAAATCTTATGTTTCGTTGATGAGAGCTTTTATTTTGTTTTTGCACTCGAAACAGAAGTTCGACATTTACGGAACAATCCAGGACCAGAACTGGCAGCCAAGTGGTACAGAAACAACCACAACGGCTGTTACACAGAACGAAATGAACTTGACAATCGAAGAATTCACAGAAAGAGTTTGGAGCAACGCAAAAATTTTCAAACAGAATTTGCAAGCGAAATTGGCGCGTGATAAACCAATTGTTTCATTAATCCGCGCACACATCGAAGCTTGCAAACTCAAGCAAGTACTTCCAGACTTCAGAACTTGCAAAGACGGCGTCAAACTCAAGGAATCCCCTGAAAATCCTGTTTCAGAAGAAAATTTGGGAATTTTACTCAATTTTGAAAAAGTGTCACAGCGATTTATCGACAGTTTATTGAAGAAACCGAACAGGATTCAGACGAATCTCATGGAAGAGTACAATGCTGCCAACAAGACCTTCTCGAGGCGCTTAAGACAACCCGATGTTTTGTTGGCAGATTTGACAAGAATGAAATCTCAAATTTCATTCAATATCGTTTCAGACATGGCCGCCCAGAGAAACCATGATGCATCGAAGATCAAGAACGCAAGGATTGAATCATTCAACAAGGAGTCGAACAACGAGATCGACTTGTCAACAAAGAATTCAATGATTCAATTAAGTGGTTTATTTGGTCGTCAAGCATCAATGGCACTTTTTGACAGTTCCAGCAAATTTGGAATTTCCTCGAGCAGTTCTGCATTCGACAATTTCGGTGGTAATGGAGACACGATGTTCACTGCCTTGTATTTGAGAAGTAAAATTGGCGAATACACAACTGTCAGCGAATTAATTTCCGCTGTTTCGAAGTTTTTCTCCACTTTTGCACAGACACCATTACACATTGGAGGAAACATTATACAGTACAACTCAAAGACTATGTTTGATGGTGTCAAACTCGAGACTTTGAAGAAGAGAGTTGTCAACAAAAACATCAACTCTTTCATTCAAACATTGTCACAAAAAGAATTGGGAACAATGGCGAAAGAAGAAGTTCTCCTTGAATTCGCCAAGAACTGTGTTACTGCAATCATCACTTGCAACAGGAACTTGAAAGAAACGAAACTCGCTGAGTATTGCGTGGAATTTCCATTCATTGATTTGAAAGATATCGACAATGAATCTTCTGTTTTGTCTAGAGACAGATTGTGGAGATCCATCAAGAAGAGATTCCCTAAAATGGATACTTCAACATCAGGAATGTCCCTCAGACAATTGTCTTCTCACAACTCTGTAAACAGATTGGAAACAGTCGACCAAAATCTTTCTGTAAAAGATGCTTACATTTGTTGTTTGACTGTTCCTTTCATCCTTGAAGAAGATGCTTTGGCGGATTTCATGAGAGCAAAGATGATGGAAACTCAGAATGGAGAAGTGGTTACAACATGGTAATTATATCTTTAATTTTATATAATTTTTTTTGTTTTTGAAATTTTTGTATATTATTGCTTTTCAAATTTGATTCTAGACAATTTTTAAATTCGCTGAATGGCTAATGATCGAAACAAATCTTTAAATGAATTTTGAATATTTTAATCGTTGCAAATCCGATCGTTGATAAGCATTCATATACTTCATTCAAAAACTAACGGAGGACTATTTTATATAGAAACACTAAAGCTCTAAGCTTTTTGTATTTTGAATGATCTCATTTTATTTCAAATTTATTTAATGCAACACTTATTTGAATAAAGTCACTTATATAGAACTTACCCACTCACGTTTCAAATCTAGATTTTTGATTGACTTTTTTGCTGATGAACTTTTTTTTATTTCAATAGTGATCGAAAATAGATTCGAAATAAGTGTTATAGTTGGTTTTGAAAAATTTATGTTTTCAATTTTTTTGATCAAATTTTTTTTTCAATTTTTTTTATTTATGAGGACATCTATTCCCCAAGACAAAATAAATATCTCTCCAACAAGCATCATTGATCGAGTGGAGAAGGTAGTCTATGGAGATTACACTCCAAAACAATGGGGACAGTATGTAACTCAATTACTTCCAAAGAAAACTTGTGGCATCAGCTGGACAAGCAAGAAGTTTGCACTCCATTGCGAAACATGCCAGAATGACATTAATAGCTGTGTTTGTTTGAAATGTTTTCTGAATGGAAAGCATGAAGGCCACCAGGTGTCTTTCAGATATTCTTCAAACGCTTCTTGTGACTGTGGTGATAAGCAGTTATGGAAGGAAGAAGGATTTTGTCCAGATCATCCTGGCTGTTCAGAACATCTCGAAAAAACAGACATTCCTCAGGATTTATACCAAAAATACGAACTTGTTTTTCAAGCACTCATCAAGGTTCTCCCACTTTCATTCGATAATAATGAAACTAATGCTGCAGAAAGAATTGTCAATTTTATGCTCTTACATACTTCATATGGTGATGCAATTCGTCGTTGCTTTACATTAGCTTTCTCTCGCTATGCTGATATACCAAGAATTTTCGATAATATACATAATATTGGAAAAGCAGCTCAAAATTTCTCAACTTTACTTTCAAACGTTTCAAACGATCCAGTATTTAGAAGGGATATCGCTCCTAGGCTAATTTTCTGTCTTCCTATCTTTGTTAACAGATCAATGATTGTAAATCTTGAAGCAAAGGGAGGCAAGAAGTACAAAGGCGTAGAAGAAATCGAGGAATTCTCTAAAGGCATTTTCCACTGGTTTTCAACTTCAAATCTCGATCTTTTGTTCCGAAAAGGATTTAATTGGCCGCAGCAAGCCATAGCCATCCTCAGAGCCCTCTGCATATTATCAGTAAAAGCTCCGAATATGAATACAGTCAAAAACACTCAAATTGCAGATATTTTGGGCCAATTTGATTCCTGCATTGTTCCTGAGGAAGATCCAGACGCAATCAAGAATATAGCATTGCAAATAGCAGAGAGATTAGTCCAGACAGCTGGAATTCATCCATTTACACGACAAATGAATATAAAAGTTGATGATCCAAACCAAATTCAATCTATCGTTCACAACTTCGAATTTACAGTTGGCGGATTCATGACATCATTAAATTCAATTCCAAAAGCGTTTTCTCCAAAAGTTTTCGATGTTTTCGCAGAATATATCAAAAATAAACAACCGGAATACGGAAACGTACTTGATAAATCAACAGAGATCTCACAAGCTACAGCTTTATACATTCTTCTCGAAATCGAATTGAGATTATCGAATGATATACCGAAATGGCTTGACCATATGGCCACCATTGCAGGTATTACACGTACAGAATTGTGCAGCCGTATCGCTTGCTTGCCAATAAAGCATATTGCCGCTTCAAGATTCGCTCATTTCAATAAATATGTCAGAAACGATGATGAAACGTATATTTCGTTAATTTCTCTTTCATACAAGTACAACTTACAATACAGATTCGCTCCTCTTTTCGCTTTAGTCCAAATTTGTGCTGAATATACAGAAGATATCAACAGTTTCATGAAATATATGGCTATTACGTACGGCGTATTATCTGATAATGAAGAAGAAAGGTCACTTTCCCTTTCAATTTTCGTTCTTGACTCTTTATTCTTAGTTACTGACAGATCCTGCTTCATGAATGACTCTGGAGACCTCTTGGATTCAACAATTGTTGCTTTACTCAAGAGCGGAGACAAGAGTTACTCAGATATCCAATCAACACTCCCTAATATTAAGAATGTGGCCACGCAAATCCCATTACATATCAACAATCTCACTAAGACAATTACTACTGGCTCAAAGTCCCTCTTGACCCTCAAAGATTCCCATCCTTGGACTCTTGGAGTTCCATGGGTCAAAACCAACTACAATTATTCAATTTTGAATGAGTTTTCTGCCAAAAATAAAGAGATCCCATTTTCATTCCCATTACAAGATGATGACCGCAAAGGCCTTCTAAGGATACTTTCAACACCTGCTGTTAAATATTCCGCAATTTATTTAACAAGTACACAAAATACAGCTGATGGACAACTTCTCAACGGCTACCTCAACGTGTTATGCCAGTTAGAAGGCTATAATACCACTATTGTTCCATCAAAAGAGGCAATTCGCCCTGATATCAACAATTTCGATCAGAATTTGACACAATTAATCATCAATACCTACGATTTAGGCGAAAAGACAATGTCACTAACTGATCTTGCCAAGGAAAATCCTACAACAGCCGCTTTATTGGCAAAATTCGGAGTTCAAATCGGAAATACTCTTGACAAAGTAGCCCAGATCAAGAAGAACAAAGAGCGCGCAAGGGCAGCAAGAGAAAGAGCCATCCAATCATTGAACATCAACAACAATTTGTTCAATGACATGGAAGATGTCGACGACGAAGCCGATTTGAAGCAAGTCTGTTCCATCTGCCAGGAAGAAGGAACCGAACCTCTCAATCTCCCAGTGTTCGTTCATACATCTCTCGTTCCATCAATCATAGAAAAGAGTTTACGAACATTTAATACAGACCATTCGATTAAATACGAGAGCTACAAAGTCTGTACAGCATGCCAGCATATCTGCCATTCAGATTGCGTCATGAGGCAAGAATCTGGCTGTTTCTACTGTTCTCTTTGCAGAGGATTGCGAAATGACATGATTCCTCTCTGCAAATACACCAACTTCGACATAGATGAAGTCGATTTGGATGAACCAATCAACGGACCACAAGATTCAATTCTTAATTACACTTCATCTGTCATTTCACAACTGATTTCCTCCAGTGTTGTGAACCTCGAAGCAAGACACAGAATGAATCCAGGAGCATTAGATTCACCAGCCAATTCCATGCTGTATAAATCTCTTTTCGCAATTGCGTGGAAGAAAGCACATATGCCATCAGATGACTTGATAACGTTCAACAACAACAAACTCTGCAATCTCGTGAAACAGTTGTCAATGCAGGACAAACCAGGCCTTGAATACACGAGAATTGTCAAATCAATTTGTGAAGAAATCACTGATAAAGAAGAAATATATCCATTCATGAGGAGAGCAGCAATTCTTCAGGCATTGATATTCTCTTTGAATAAGGACCAGTTCTTTGAATGGGATGAATATTTAGAGTACGAAAATCTTTGTCAGAAATTCTGTATCGAACCTGTAAAAGATGTCGATATTTCTGTCATACCGTTCAAATTAATTAATCTTCCTCAATGTCCTGTTGAATTGTACAGGCCTCCTTTCGATGAGGACACGATGCCTTACGAGTCTGAAGTATATTACTGTCTGTTGGATAAGCATTTGTTGATTAGACAAAATGATCAACTCCAGCAGACATTGAATACGAGATATAAAGGTGCTGTTATTCCTGTCATTCAACTGACAAATGAAAAAGCTTTGTCTATTAAATACGTGTCAATTGAGTTGAATAAGTTCTTCGAAGGACCAAGAGCTTATTACTCATTGCTCGGACAGCCTGTGATTGGTTTGGAATCATCTGATATTTTGTCTCTTTCTCAAGACAAAGTTACTGAAATTGAAGATGATTTGTTGTCTGGAAACTTTACAAGAATTTGAAAATAAAGAATTTTTTATATTTTTATACTTTTTTAAATAAAATAGTTTTTTTTTCATCAATGAACATCAACTCAAAGATATAGGATGTGCATAAACCATGCATTGTTTGCTACTTGATATTTTGCTTCTTTCTCAAGATAAAGTTTGATAAATTGAAGATGATTTGCTGTCTAAAAACTTTATTTTAAATGTAGTAAAAAAATTTCATTAATGAATATCAACTCAAAGAAATGGGATATGCATGAACCAATATATTGTTTAAGCTATTTCAATATATTCTTTGGAGTAAAAGGAAATGATATTGAGTCACTCATCTTTTCAGCTCACCAATATTGTACAAATTAAAAATCCAATTGAGAGGATTGATGCAGATCGATCTACTCCAAGTTAAAGATAACTGCGCAGTTGTGTAGATCGGTGCAGATTGAAAATAATTAGTTATTATCTGAAGTTATGTTGATGTTTATTTGTAAACTATTGAAATTTTTTATAATGCTAAGGCAACGAGGTAAGGAACGCAAACCAAACAATTGCTTTCTAGATCTAGTTCGATCAGAAAAACCATGTATGGTGGACTTACAAATTCCATCAAATTTGCGAGATATATTTTATTCAGCACCAATTCTTGCTTCTCCAATAATTGATGATGATGCATACATGGAATTTAGTTCTCTAAGCATACCATCTCCAAAAAGTTCTTCAATTGAACTTCCAGATTTGCTTACTAATCTGGAAACTTTTCAACAAAAGCTATTGAATTATAGAAAAACAGACGAAGAATCTACAAAGTTTATTATCAAATACATTTCAGAACATCCAGTTCTAGGAGCAAGCGAATTCAACATTTGTGTTTCAATTCGTCCCAATTTATATCTTGACTATGCATATTTATACTCGAAACTTATTGAAGAATTTAAATTTACATTCCGTTCTTTACTTTTTGTTCCGAAAGAATTTTCAAAAATTTTAATTAAAGAAAACTACGAAAACAGTGTTAATGCAATGCAGATATCAAATTATTCTAATTCTTTTTGCAGAAATCCATATCCACATCTTGGCGTTTACAAACTTCCATTTTTAATTTCAAAAAATTACAGCCAAGTAGATGTTCTTGGCTTCATCAAAGTTCCTCTCACAACTGAAGTTATCATAAGTTTTATCAAAGATGATCTTGATTATTTCTTAAAACTTTCAACACAACAATCAGAATTTACAAATTTTGGATTTTATTTTGAAGAAAGACCAGGTGATTTATATTCATTTATAAATGTTGCAGCGTATTACGGATCAGTCAATATATTCAAATACTGCATTTCAAGTCAAACAAACTTTATTATTTTACCACAATTTGTTATTGCAGGTGGTTCTAAAGAAATCTTAAGAATTTGTGAACAACAAGGAATTAAACTTGTTGATTATGCAGTCATTGCATTATTATATAGAAGAGATGATATATATGAATGGTTGATTGAGCAATCAGAAGTAAATAGACCAAATCCATTGTATTATTGCACAGAAACATATTCTATTAAAAAGTTTTATGAATTTTGTCAACTGAACAAAAAAGCTCTTAACAACAGTTATTTCATTCCATTTTTGATTGAAAACATGAAAGAAGAAATCAAATTATTTGCAGAACATATCATTCCAACATATGACAATGTTTTTCTTACAAAAGATATCGAAACACATACAAATCTCTTTAAAGATGTAAAAAAGAGCAAAATAATTTCATTGTTTGAGAGTTTCATGTATAATGATGACGAATTTCACATGAATTTGATTTACGATACACATTTATTTGATTATTTCAGTTTATCTAAAGACACCATCTATAACCTTAGATTCAAATTCCCGAATATGTATAACAAAATACTTTCAGGTGTTGAAAAAAGCTTCGAAGATAAGGCAGATGGACAAGAAATAACCGATTATTTCAAAGATCCAAGTAAGATTAACGTGTGTCTTGAAATACTTGCAAGGAAAAAAGATTTGGAACTTTTTGTCAAAACTTTCATCAAATTCAAAGAATCTGTGTCTATTGAAACAGCTCTTGATTCTATCAAAACATTTGATCTTATTTGGACATCAGTTTTTTATTATTTTTCTGATAAAATCATCGAAAGTGATCAATACATTTCTATTATGGCAACACATATCAATTTAGAAAAAATGTCTTATTTAGAAAGTACATTTCAAAATGTTGTTAACCAAAGATTTGTTAGGAAAGATTTCGAGCATTATAACAAAAATTTGAAAACTTTTGTTCAAAAATCATTGGCTTTTATTGATAAATTGGAGCCAATAAGAATTTGTTATATGTTGATATTAGCTATTAAATTCGCTCCTGAATGCATTAAGAAATTCAACATCTTTGAAATACCTGTTTGCGAAAACTTGGATGATTACATTTATCAAATTGTTAATAACAAGAAATTTTTCTCACCAATTCTTGAAAACATTGAGAATTGCAAGTCATTGATAGCTGCTGATGCTCGTTTTATCATGGGAATGTCGAAGTATGCATCAAACAAAGAGTTCGTCGATTACGTCATCCATGAAATTGGAGACACTGAACATAAATTTTATATTAACAAGTTCTTAATGAATCCTGAAGTTAAAAAACATTATTCAGTTGAAGAACTTGTTACAAATGTTTCAAAGGAACATAATCTTTTACTCAATAATATCGAATTAACAAAAGAAGAATTCGATTATGTTAATTCAAAATCTGAATACGAATTGTTTAATAACCCGAAAAATGCAATTTATTATCCATTGGATAAGATTTTGAAACATGCAATGACAACTGGTATTTATGATTGTTTAGAACACTTTGAATTAACGAAAAATGATCTTGTTACAATTCTTAGTCAATGCCAGACCAAAAACTCATTTCCTTTGATAAGAAACGAAAGTTTCAAGAAACTTTGTGACACAGATTTCATCATTAATATGATGAATAGCAATACTAGAGCAATCAATACAGAAGATGCTATATTAGCTATGTATGAATTGATCACTCATCGCAAAGCAGAATTCCAAGAAAACAAAATCATTTCTTGGTTTAAATACATCATTAAATGTGATAAATTGACAGAATTTCTTAAGAATTCAGAAGGAATTCTTGACAAATCCACATTATTTGAAATTTCTCATCGCTATCACCATCCATTTGTCTTAAATGGAGTTACTCTAGATTTAGATCACATCGAAAAATTCGATAGTAAAACAATCAAAAGCATTTATGAGAATGTTAATGTTCCTCATGATTATCACATGAAATATCTTCTCCAAATACTTAAACACGAAGATACTCCTGATGTCATTGATCTCATTCTTTCACAAAGTAAGATGAACATTGACGTTTTTGTTGATAAAACACCACTCCAATACGCAGTTAAATACAATCATCCACAAACTGTTTTATACTTATTGAATAAAGGTGCAAACACAGGATATATCGGAAACCGCACAATTCTTACTTTTACTAAGGATGAAGAAATGAAGAAAATCTTGCTTCCTTATGTTGATATGGATAATCATCAGAAGTATTTGATTTCACTATCCAAAACTAATGATGTTGATTTCACCAATAAATGCAAGAAATTTGTTAAAGATAATGCAAAAGTCATCGATAAGTTACAGAAGAATTTCGAATTTAAGGAATTCATGGAATATCTTTTTACATGGGATGTTTCTCTTGAAGAAGCATTTTCATATTTAAGTTCAATGGTCACACAAGATAAATTAATTAAATCATGCGGTTTTGATAGTCTGAAATGCGCCACAAGTCAATTTTTTGCATCTGTTAGTAATGACATTGTTGCTAATGCTAAAATTGAATTTCAACTTTGTTATGGAGTTCTTAGAAGAAGAACTCAGTTTATTACTCCTGATCCACGACTTGGAAATTTGTTGTATGTTAGTGTTGTTTGTGGTAATGAAGAAGTTGTTTCGAAAATTCTTGAATGCGGTGTTGATCCAAATGAATACGAAGGTTACAAACATCTTACTAATCCAGGACTTGAATGCGTTCGCAGTGGTAAACTCAATCTTTTGAAACTATTAGTTTCACATGGCTTAGATATCAATCGTGTTTATTATCACGACAACACAACATTGATTAATGCATCTATTCTTAATCATCAGAAGAAATGCTTTAATTACTTACTAGAATTACACTGTGATTTAAGTCACAAAGTTATTCTTTCTCCATATATGGCTGCCATGTCCATTTCCAAGACAAATAACTATTATGAAAAGAAGTTGCTACCACTCATTGACATGTTTCAAGAAACATTTGTTAATCAAAAAGCTTCAAAAATCCACAAGTTCTAACTCAATATTGATATCAGCTACATTGATAAATTTCACAAGGTGTTCTTCCTAAATCTTATTTACCATTGAAGTTTTGTGTTTATTAAATATATTTTATTAGTTTTACTTGACAGTTTTTTTTTGAATCTTTTATCATTGAATCAATATAATTGCAATACCTCAAACAGATGATGAAATGATGTTTTGCTTGCATTTTTGATCAGCAATTTTTCTGAAACTGTTATTAATTCTTCATATACAGATCTTCTTAATTTTGATTTTCCTCTCAATATTTAGGAGGATTTTTGATCATGAATCATGTCATAAGAAAGGCATTATACGATATTGTTTGCATGCAATATGGACTTGTACAGAATATGGTATATGATGATTTTTTTTGCTCTATCAACGATTACTTTGTAAACTATTGAATTTTTATAGGCGCCTCCATGTATAGTTATGGCCCATCAACAAAGGACAACGAACCAAATAATTACTTCCCAGTTCCCATTAGATCAGAAATACGAACCATTCCGAGATTAAAAATACCTTTAGTTGTTTCGAATTTAGAACAATCATTTGCGCAATTAGCGGCTCCAATTATATGCAATTCTCCATCTACAGACAATGAATCTATAATATTACCATCTCCTATTCACCAGACAATTGAACTTCCAAGTTTTCTTACTAACTTCGAAACTTTTCAACAAAAACTACTGAATTATAGCAAAACAGACGCATAATCTACAAAATATATCATCAAATACATTTCAGAACATCCAACTCTCGGCTCAAGTGAATTCAACATTTGTGTTTCAATTCGTCCCAATTTATATCTTGATTATGCATATTTATACACAAAGCTTATTGAGGAACTCAGATATACATTCCGTTCATTTCTTTTAGTTCCACGGGAATTTTCAAAAATTTTAATTCAAGAAAACTACGAAGATTATGTTAATTCAATGCAGATATCAAATCATTCTCAATGCTATCCTGAAAATGAAGTGCCATATCTTTTTATTTCCAAACTTCCATTTTTAATTTCAAAAAATTATGACCCAAAAACAATTCCTGAACGTGGCATCATTTTACTTCCTCTCACAACTGAAGTTATCATAAGTTTTATCAAAGATGATCTTGATTATTTCTTAAAACTTTCAAAACCAGATACAAATTTTACAAATTTTGGATTTTATTTTGAAGAAAGACCAGATGATTTATATTCATTTATAAATGTTGCAGCGTATTACGGATCAGTTAATATATTCAAATACTGCATTTCAAGTCAAACAAACTTTATTATTTTACCACAATTTGTTATTGCAGGTGGTTCTAAAGAAATCTTAAGAATTTGTGAACAACAAGGAATTAAACTTGTTGATTATGCAGTCATTGCATTATTATATAGAAGAGATGATATATATGAATGGTTGCTTGAGAAAGTACGAAAATATCCATCAAATCAATTATATTTTTGCACAGAAACATATTCTATTAAAAAGTTTTATGAATTTTGTCAACTGAACAAAAAAGCTCTTAACAACAGTTATTTCATTCCATTTTTGATTGAAAACATGAAAGAAGAAATCAAATTATTTGCAGAACATATCATTCCAACATATGACAATGTTTTTCTTACCAAAGATAGCGAAACACTTACAAATCTCTTTAAGAATATAGAAGAGAAAAACATAATTAATTTGTTTTATAGATTCTTGGATAATAATGATGAATTCCACATGAATTTGTTTTTACAAACACATTCATTCAATTATTTCACTTTAGATACACATTCATTAGAAAAAATTAAAACAAAATTCCCGAATTTGTATCAAAATTTACTCATAGGTGCTCAAAACCTCTTAAAGAATGATGTTAGACCACCACATATTTGTAATAATTTTGTTTCTCCGTCGGACGCTGATTTTTATCTTGAAATAGTTGCAGAGAAAAAAGATATGGATAATTTTATCCAAATTATCAACGAATTCAAAAATAACGTCAGTGTTAATGCAGCTGTTAATATCGTGAAAACATATGATCTTATTTGGCCATCAGTTTTTTATCATTTTTCAGATGAAATCATCAAATCTGATAAACTAATTTCTGATATGATCAAACACATCAATTTAGAAAAAATGTCATATATAGAAAGTAAATATCAAAAGTCAGGTAAACAAAGAAATAGTTTTATAGATTTAATGAATTATAAGAGTTATTTCAGGACTTTTGTTCAAAAATCTTTGGCTTATTTGAATGAATTAAATCCATTGAAGATTTGCAATTTGATGATATTGACTTTTCAATACGCTCCTGATTGCATGAAGAATTTTAATCTCTTTCAAATAACTGATTGTCAAACATTAGATGATTACATTTATCAAGTTGTTAATAACAAAACATTTTTCTCACCATTTCTTGAGAATATTGAAAGTTGCAAATCATTGATAGCAGTTGATCATCGTTTTATCATGGGAATGTCTTCACTTGCATCGAACAAAGAATTTGTTGAATACGCCATCCCTTTAATTGGAAGAAGCGAACATAGATCATATCTTCACAAGTTCTTAATGAATCCTGAAATTAAAAAGCATTATACAGTTCAAGAACTATATGCAAATGTTTCTAGGACAAACAGTATTTTATTCGATTATATAGAACTAACAAAAGAAGAATTTGATTTTGTGCATAATGAAAATAAAAAAGCTGCTAACAGATTATATAAAAATCCGAAAAATGCAGTTTATGTCCCAAAGGATAAGGTTCTGAATTATGCAATGACTACTGGTAATTATGGATCCTTAGAGCACATAAAATTAACGACAAAAAATATTGCTTCGATTGAGAAACTATCGACTGCCAGAAGCTCATTTCCTTTGATTAGAAATGAAGATTTCAGGACAAATATTCATACAAATTTCATCATTAATTTGTTGAATAGCAATACTAAATTGATTAATACAGAAGATGCTATATTAGCTATCAATGAGTTGATCACTCGTCGCAAATCAGAATTCCAAGAAAACAAAATCATTCCATGGTTTAAATACATCATTAAATGTTACAAATTGACAGAATTTCTTAAAATTGCTGAAGGAATTCTTGACAAATCCACATTATTTGAAATATATCAGCGTTGTCACTATCCATTTAACTTAAATGGTGTTCAAATAGATTTGAATAACATCGAAAAATTTGATGGAAAAACAGTCAAAAGTATTTATGAGAACTTCCAAGTTCCACATGATTACCACATGAAATATCTTCTTCAAGTTATCAAACACGAAGATTCTCCTGACATCATTGATTACATTTTTTCACAAAGTAAGATGAACATTGACGTTTTTGTTGATAAAACACCACTCCAAATCGCAGTTAAATACAATCGTCCACAAACAGTTTTATACTTATTGAACAAAGGTGCAAAAGCAGGATATATTGGAGAATGCACATGTCTTAGTCTTACCGATGATGAAGAAATGAAGAAAATCTTGCTTCCTCATGCTGATATTGAAGAAAATAATAAGTATTTGATTTCAGTATCTAATGATAATGATGTTGATTTCCTCATTAAATGCAAGAAATTTATTAAATCAAATGACAACATAGTCAATAATATACATTTTCATTTTAATCATACCATGTTTGTTGAATATCTTTTTAGTTGGGAAGTTTCTCTTGAGGAAGCATTTTCATATTTAATTCCAATGGTCCAAGAAAATAAAATAATTTAATTATGTGGATACTTAATTTCTAATTACATTAAATATCAATTCAATGATAAGCTTAGTGCTAATATTGTTTCTAGTGCTACAAAAGAATTCCAACTTTGTTATGGAGTATTGAGAAAAGAACCACAGTTTATTACTCCTGATCCACGACTTGGAAATTTGTTGTATGTTAGTGTTGTTTGTGGTAATGAAGAAGTTGTTTCGAAAATTCTTGAATGCGGTGTTGATCCAAATGAATACGAAGGTTACAAACATCTTACTAATCCAGGACTTGAATGCGTTCGCAGTGGTAAACTCAATCTTTTGAAACCATTAGTTTCACATGGTTTAGATATCAATCGTGTTTATTATCATGACAACACAACATTGATTAATGCATCTATTCTTAATCATCAGAAGAAATGCTTTAATTACTTACTAGAATTACACTGTGATTTAAGTCACAAAGTTATTCTTTCTCCATTTATGGCTGCCATGTCCATTTCCAAGACCAATAACTATTATGAAATGAAATTGCTACCACTCATTGACATTAATCAAGAAACATTTTTCAATCCAAAAGCTTCTGAAATCCACAAGAATTAACTCAATAATTATTATTGTTTTTTAAAAATATTATTTTCTCTATTTTATTCATGAATATTTTTCTTCTACTAAGTAATATCATTCAGAGCGAGATATATCATCAATTTAAGTAGCATTGACTTCTAATTTGCTATCAAAAATGTGCAAAATGAACTATTTTTACAAGATGCTTATGATTTCATGTTTATAATTAATCAGGTGATGTCATTTTATGAAAACAATTCGGATTTAGAACCGTAAATCCAATCATTTTCTATTTGAACAGTTGTAAACTTTTTTTGTAAAAGATATAAATTTTTTGAGCAAAATATGAATTACACGTTAGATGACCTCAGAGAAGATTCATTACGTTGTCTTCGGTCAGAGTTAGGAAAGCTTTTCCAAAGGCAATCAAAGACAATCAAATTTGATCGAATAACATTGAACAACCTCCATTATCAACTTGCATTAACACTCGTTCAAATTATTAACTCAGATACTGAACCACAACTTCAGAAAGAACTTAATACACTCGTTGATTACCAAAAACAGCTCCAATTTTATCAAAACGTATTACGACACGAACAACAAGCTGCGGAAGAAGAGATAAAGAGAGCACGATTGGATACATCACAGCTCAGAAAGAGCTTTGAACTCCTTGAAAATGAGCTAATGGAACTCCAATTGAGACAAAAGAAAAGAACTGAATTATTAAAGAGCAAAACCGATGCTCATTATGCAGAGTTACAAGCAAAATCAGCTGTTTCAGGTAGAGGAAGAATGATGCTCTCTTCAACTCGTGATTCTTTAGCAAATTTGAAAAGGAATTATTCGGATTTAGTTAATAAACAAGTCTTTGAAATGAGAGATATCCAAAAGAAACTAACAAGTTACGTTAAAACATCAATGTCTCGTATACAAAATGATGCTTTATCTAATGTCAATTATAATCAACAAAAACAAAGGACAAATGACGCCAAAGCTACATTAAACAAGGCAAGGAAGCAATATACAGAAGCTATCACAGTGATAAACTGCTTATTCGAGCAAAATTTGCCTTTGAATAGTACTTCAGATTTAAGAACTGATGATTTACTTAGATTTGTTCGTGACAGATACAACACTCGTGTACAATCAGAAATTGACAATGTTAAAAAGGAACTGCTTTCTATTTTGCCAGATCTTCAATTTACAGGTATGTCAATATATGATGCGATCACTGAGCTTATTAAAAGAAGGATTGCTGAGAAGGAAGAATACTGCAAGAAGATTCTTCTTCGTAGCGCAAAGCGTGAAAAGAAATTAAAAGAAAAACTTGCTGAAACATTGTCAGAATTGAAGCAACTCCGTTCCAGATCATTTGCTGACTCTTCGAGAATCATTACCGAGATCAATACATTAAAGAACAATTATAATAATTCTCAAATGACATTAGATCAAAAAGTCATGATGCTTACAGAGAGAATCAAATCACCATCAAGTAGCTCATCATTTTCTTTTTCTCCAACTAGAGGATCACCATAAATAAAAAATATTGTTTGTATTTTTTTTAACAAATGAAAATTTTTAACATAGTTATAACAAAATATGGTATCAGACATAAGAAAAAACTTATTAAAACTCAATGATAAAATATAAAATTTCGATAAAAAAATTTGATCAGTAAAAATATCAAATATGCTTCATGTAAGTGAGAGTTTTCATCTGTAGAATTGGAACTGATAAGGAATGATTATGAGAAAAAAATATAAATTTAGAATAATCGTAAATCTTATTTTTGACAAAAAATAAATTAAAGATTTATAATTCGAATGCTTTGCCTGGCTCAGCAAGAATAGCTTCACGCTGATCAACAAGAGATTGTATTGGATTGACACGAGATGATTCAACAAATTCGCCTGCAAGAATAATTTCATCGAGAAGCATATAAGCGTAGTGGAAGCCGAAGATGATATCGACTTCACGAACGTTGCCGAAGAATGCATCGAGTGTTTCGACGTAAAAGTGAATGGCGTCGAGCATCATTGACTCGTTATCGTTTACATCGACGCACATGACGAAGTAAAGGGAAGCATATCTGTTGTAGACGAGTTTTCTATCTCTCCATTCGATAAATGTGCAGAAATTGGCTGGTCTGGATAAAATGGCGTTTGAGACTTCGCGAGTGATTTTATCTTTGGACTTCTTTGTCTGTGGCTCATACCATTTGGAGAGACGGGCTTTACCTTGGCGATTAAAAACAAGGAAGAAATGTATCATTGTATTTTTTTTGTATCGAGCGATTGTCAAACCGCCCAATTTCCCCCTCCAAGATTTTATCACAGCTAATTGCCGAACAAAAATCAAGAAGTAAAATAGGCATAGACATAAGAAAAGATTTTCATGATCAAATCTTAAAAATTCGATAAAAAATTGGGATAATATGAGCGATTTTCTCTAATATATTACTCGATGACTAAAATACTAACTACTATAAGCCATGATTCATTAATTTCATATCATTTTTATCATATCCCTTTACTTGACCTAGAATTCTCCATATCTTCTCAGTTATTATCTGATAATCATCTTTTTCCATCTATTATATTAAAGTATATCTTATTTGAAAACCATTTTCTTCTGTTTCAAATATCATATTTCACTCAAAATTCGTTCACTTTTATATTAACTTTTATTATTATAGATTGACAGTGATTTCTAATAGACGATACCTAAATTTATCGATAAAATCATTCAATTGCTTATTCTTTGCATATAATTCTATAAATTCTAAATCGTATTCATATCCAATTACAGATAAAGACAACAGTTGCATGCAAACAAACTCCAGAATTCTCATATATAAAAAACTTTAATATATTTAAAAGAAAAAATAAAACATTTTTTAGGTTTAAACAATAACAAGGATATCAAAGTTTTCACCACGAGGTGTAACACAAGATCTAACCCTTGTAACACTTTGAGGCTTAGATTCTGCTTTCTCTGCTGTGTAATTGACAGAAGTTGTCACACATTTGTCAATTCTTTCCAAAGCGGAGTATTCGAATCCCATGTCGAAAGCAGTCACTGCCAAGTGTTCCTGTGATACAAACAAAGGTGCATCATGGCATCTGTACAACAAAACAACCGGTTTCAATTCGAAATTATACATTTCTCCCACTTTTGCAATCATTTCTCTCAATTTTCTCATGAATTCCGCACCTAAAGTATGCATATTCCACGGTGTTGCTTCAGAGTTTCTATTCACTGTTGTAATTATCAAAGAACCTTCTTCTCTCAGTCTGCAGTAATTCATATTAATATTCATTAGCTTGCATAGTTTATCAGTTACCATCATTCTCATACTTGCGAGTTTATTTAATTCAATTTCTGGATTGTCAAATTCAGGAATTTTAATAATTCCAACATTAGTAAATCTTCCAGGACTTGTGTAAGTCGCGTAAGCCTTAATGAAAGAAGGATACGAACAGAGTGCCAACTGATCAATTTTCTTTTTAATTTCTTTCTTTTCATTCATATGACTTTGTATATTAATCAATGCCAAATAAGACAAATCCAACTTCTGACCATTAAACTTATAATGCGGGCAAACAACGAAATGCATTTGCATTGCAGTAAACAAATCTTCAGATCTAGGATTATAATCTTTCTTGTATATTTCTATTCTCTTTAAAACCTCATTTATCATTTCATTCGGCAATTTGCTGTCCATTATATGTATTCCATTAGGAATTTGCAACATTGGAGAAGCAATAGAACTCTGGAAAACAACAATTCCATCTTTATTGACTGTAATTATCGGCAAATCACAATCAGCAAACAACCAATTTTGTTGTACATCTTTATAAGCCAACTTCTGTCCTAAACTCTTAATATCACAATACTTAGAAACTTGTTCTAGAATATTCCTAATTTCCGTCATTTCGAACAAAACAAAATGTCTTGAAATCCATGTCAAAACGTTAATTACACTTACAATTAAAACAACATTCATTGTGAAAATAATAAATCTTCCAATATAGAAGAATCTCCATGCACGTAATTCATTAGTAGTATTATCCATATTCTCTATTGTCTTTAAAACTAAATTAGAAAATCCCGTAGAATTCAGTGATTTTTTCGATGACAAAAAATAATTTCCCATCAAAGACAAAAAATCATTTGGAATTTGTTTGACGTAATTCTTATATATCTTGTGATGATGTATTTCACAATATTGATCATCAGCTTCATAGAAATAAGTATCATTCATTGTTCTTAAACCTTGAGAAACATGTAATAAAATTCTTTCAATAGAAGTAATTCCACGAATATATTCATAATGATTGCAAATATCTCTACTTAAATGTCTCTTTGTAACAAAGATCTGCATAGTTATATAATGAATTGTTCAAACCATTAAATATTTCAGTAAAATTCATGTTTTCAAAAGAAATTTTCAAATTATTTTGATGAATAAACTGATAAACACTCTGCGAATGCTGTGATATTGTTTCTAATGCATTAAATCGTTGTTTGATCTTGTCAAAGTCAAAATTTTGATTCAAATTATTTAATGATAAAATTTCATAAGAAGAAACAGATTCAGCAAGGTACTGGATATTTAGAGTATCATTAAGATGTGTTGACTCGTTCAAAACAGCCTTCAAATAGTTCCAGTGAAGAAATCCAAACAAAATTATCAAAATTAAAACGTAAAAATTGAAAATTTTGAATGTTCTTGTGATTCCTTTAGCGTGGTTGCCATTGTCAAACCTTGGATGACCAAAATCTTCTATTTTTGGATAATGTGTCTTAAATAAATCATATACAGAATTATATAATGCCTTTGCATGTCCAATTTGTGCTGTAATCTTCGGTAATATCACGTAGTAGTTCAACCATGCACATTTCCATAGTTGTTTCTCATGTTTCTTGACATCATCAAATAAATTTTGTAATAATTGCTTTTCTTGGTCCGGCAACTTACCTGCGTGAGTATTTAACAGCTCGTACGCAACCCATATGATGAAATTGTCCGCTAAATCTGCAGAATTCGCTTGCAAAATGATCTTAGAAATATTTTGAAGTCTTGGATGGTCGTAATAGACAGCAGCAGTTAAAATATACCTCAGTTTGGATGGTGATGTCTGTTTCATCACTTTGTCGGTGAAATTGTCCAATTCTTTGAAGATTTTCTTTTTATATCCAATGATATAAGCGATTTGGAAGCGATCTGCTTTAAATAACTTGTAGATAATGGTTGGATATATCAAGAAATTATGGATTAATGAGATAAATAACGCTGGAATGATTAAATATAATCCATAAATTCGAAATTGAGGAAAAGTGAGCATAAAAGCGTTTCCAAACGCATTGTATAGTACCATTGTTAAAGAGACAATGTTTTGGAGGCGATATCCGTAGATTGGATAGACAAATAAATAAAATGAAGTAAATATCGAAATTCCAAGGGAAATTGATAGGCAAATCTTGCTCCCATCAAGGACATATGATGAAGTATGTAATGTTCCTACGATATAGAAGTAAAAAGCTAAAGCATGTCTCGGACAATTGCAAATAAGAGGATGAATGATCTGCATGTATGATTTCGAACTGATAATACAGAAAACAAAGAAGACTATTAAGATTAGAACATGTAAAACTGCTGCAACAGTAAGAGGAATCGTATATGCTTTTATTCCTGCAAGAGAATAGGAATTAATAAACGCTGTAATGATGAACGTACAGTATACTGTGAATACAATGAAGAATGATCGACAAATTACTTTAACATTGAAACTAATGTATTTTAATGAGAAATTCGTTGATAAAAAGAACATTAGGATGATCGCAAGTGATAGACTTGCACCAAAGTATACAACTAACATTCTTGAATAAGGTGTCACGGATTCGAAAGTTCCTGAAACTAAAAAAATTAAAATATCTGAGTATGTTAATGGATCTCCGACTTTCTTTTTCGTTAAAACAAATGTAGCCGAAATGTGATTATATAGATTGAACCAGAAAACAAAGAAAAGAGTGATACCAATTTTTGGATGAGTGTACAATCTGTGGAACATTTGATTAACGACAAAGTACATTTCCTCAACGCCCCTAAGAGATTTCATCCTTTACGGGCTTGGAGAAGGAGATGCTTCTATCATTTTCCGATCCAAAATCCCGCTGAAAAAAAAGTTTTACAATATAGTTTACAAAAAATTGATAACTGTTTCAATTTCAATTTTTCGCGAAAGTTATATATTATATAATTACCAGACAAATGAAATTTTCAAAAATTCAGAAACCATAATGAATTTGTTGACACCACACGAAATCTCAATAAGAATTTGAATTCATAATCATATATATCTAATTAGACATAAAATGTTATAGTTTTCTGTTTTCTGTGATGGAAATAGCATAAATTTAAATAATATCCGATGTAAATATTCAATTTATTCAAAATTTCTATTCATTACGGATAAAATAATAAATGCATTTATAGTCAATAAGTTTCTTATTGATTCAAAAAGAAAATTAGTTGCGGTATGGTTAATATAAATTTATAGTTTAAAAGCATTAATCTTGTAATTTGAAATGAAAATATAATTTTTCTACTGACTTATGGCTGATTAATGCGAAATAATCAAATATCTGCTAATGTTGTTATGAATAATTCATTCCGATCGGATTAATTAGCAGAATAATTTTGGGATATAAAAAAAATTAACAGTTATTAGTAAAACATACATACATTTTATAATCAATAAAAAATCTATATAAAAATAAAACACATAAATAATTAAAAATCAGCACCGTCATCGAAATCCATATCGATAACAAAAGCAGAAGGTCCATTTGCAGGTTTTTCAGGTGTCTTTGGCGGACTTGTATAAATAGAGTCCTCTGTTTCCTCTTCATTTGTTATACTTGCTCCTTCTTCAGGTGTCCAACACGAAGAACTTTCTGGTTCATCAGGAATGTCGAAGATGAATCCTCCTTTAACTTGTGTGTTGTATTCGCTTGTACTCATTGATGCTTCGCTGGAATCGAACTCCGACCTCAATGTTGGGTTTTCCATAACTTCGTCGATAGTTATGAAATCGTTATTTTCTTCTTTTTGTGGATTTTGTCTTCTGCTGTCATCATCTATCATCAGGGAGTTGTAGAGAGCAAGGCGCTGCTGTTTAATGGAACTCTGGGAGAAGTGGTCGGCCTCTGAAGGCATTGGAAGGCCGAAATTGACTTTGACAGATTTATCTGATTTTGGTAATTCGCCGAGAGCTTCAATTAAGTCATCTTTGATCATGGAACCGATCTTACTCAAGTCAGGATCACCCATTAACGTGTATGAACTGATGCCTTGTGAATGTCTGTTCTGTAATAATTTTTGGGATACAATTAACTGAATTTTCGTGATCTTCTTCGTAGCACGTCCTATACTCTCCCTGATACTGATCTCTCTTGTGATGTCCTTTATCGGGAATGGACACTCGACAAGAGTAGAACTTTGAACGACAAATTTGTAAAAGTGACGGATAAATCTAAATTTTGAGCCAGTTCCATCTATATGGAGTCTCCTTAGGGCTTTATTGGTCCGGATTACGTTTGTACAGATCTGCATACCGTAGGAACCGATCTGATGGCCCGAAATATCGAGTGCTTGAAGGGCTTTGTTCGTTTGGAGTGAACATAAGAGAGGAATTAGCTCTTCTTGAAGGCAATATGACTTGCTACCTTTGAGTTCAAGGGATATGAGGTTCTGTTTGGAGATTAGATATACTAATCTGTAGGAAAGGTTCGGCATTCCGTGTTTGAGATTATTATTAAAGGAAAGGAACATTAAATTGGGAAGGCTTGGGTAGGCACGGATTAGAGTGGTCAAGTCTTTCTCATTGCAATGGTTTTTGTTCAATCTGAGGCCAATTAAACGATCACCAATTTTTTCTGAAATTTCTTTAATGACAAACTTCATCTTTTGACCGGTAATCTTCATCTCATTGAAGCCTAGACGTATATTCTGGTAGTTGTGATTGCGGCCAATTGATTGAATAATTACAACTATTTTTTCTGCGGAGAGATCGCACTTTGTCAAGTCAAAATCTGCTAAGGATGCAGTTTCTGTGAATTTGCACAGTTCTAGTAATGCTTGGTCTGTAAATTTTACATCGTAAAGATGAAGAACGGATAAATGTTTCGAAAGATCGGCTATTGATCTTAGAATTGGAACGGGATTAGGCAGAGGACCAAGAGTAAGCTTCTTGAGGTTCGTAATATTAAATTCATTAAGAGATCTGACAAATTTTAGAAATGCATCTGTAGAAGAGATTCCAAATGTATTTCCGGATAAGCAAATCTGCCTAATTCCACGTATATATTTGTTATTCGTTAAACTCGTGAATAAAACTGTTAATTCTGCATCATGAAAATTACAATTTTCGAATCTGAGAGATGCAAGTGATCGAGTGTAGTTACTAATCGCTTGGAAGAAGGGAGCAACATCTTCTAGCGGATTTCCTGATAAATCTAAATACAATAAATTAGTTTCTGCGTGAGAATTCATTATTTTTGCCAGATCTGCTAATCCGTGGCTTATTTTGCAATTACTAGCTCGGAAGATCATTATGTTACTGTTGGAGGCAAATGAGCGTACTGAATTTGTTATAATGTCCGGACGTGATAAATCCGAGCAAAAAATTCCAAAAGTAAATGGACAATATCGTATTGTTTGAAAAAGTGATCTAAAATCTGTATTTTTGTGAAAATTTGAATCAATAAGAGCAATAGGCATATCATTGAAGTCAAATATAGGGCTTTGAGTACTCATAAGAGTATCAAAGTACTGAACGAATTCATGTTGGTATTCTGTGTTGTAAAAAGCCTTATATGAGTTTAAAGTAAGTTGAAAAGCCTGAGATGCAGACAAATTAGGCTCAATTCTGGGAAATTGATTGTAATCGTATGCTGTAAATGCAAATCTCTTTTCGGGTGGTAAAAAAGGTAAATTATAAACAAAGTTTTTGAGAATTTGTCGTGAAAATTTTAACGCAATCTGTGTCTTGATAAGAATTTTAGATTTGTCTGCAATTATTTCGACGCGATTTTGATCAATAACGTGTAAATTCTTGATTTGAAGAAAATGTATTGATAATACGCGCTTCAACGACTTACCAAATAGCGTCCTTTGAAAAAATGTTATCATATTTTCTGATAATGCAACTGCGCCGTTTTCATAAGATTTATCATCAATAGAAAAATTTGCAATAAATCCCAGATAAATCTTACGCTGGTTTTCAGGAACGCCTTTTTCCATTTGCTGTTCTTCATTCAAGGACAAATGATAATCTTTATCTGGGACTTGCATTTTCAAATTCAAATTGAGAGGCGGCAAGATTAATAATTGAGAACTTTATAAATTTATTTATAACCATTTTAGGATACAGTCTTATAGCTCTAAAATTAAATTGCATTTGAACGATAACCAGTTTTTGTAGTCAAATTAGCCAATTCAAGACTTTGTCTCGGAGGCGTTAGCTTTTTTAAAAAATTCATTTATAGGCATAACATTATATGAAAATTACAAATAATCTGTGCAAAGTGGGAAAACTAGAGTTTTAATTTCGGGTAGAAATTATCGATCAAAAGATTGGCAGCAAACGAATATGAATATCTGTTTTTCCACCTAAATATGAGTAAACTATCCATAAAGATGGATTCCCTCAAGATATTGAAATAAAAAAATTTTCAATACTCAAACACAGTAAGTAAAAATAGTAAAAATCACTAATTAAGATAGAGTGTATTATTCAGACAATTGTTAGAAAACAAAAGAAATGCAGCATAATGATAAAATTAACAGCATCCTTTTTTGACTTGATCCTTAGATGGATCAAGTTCGCTCTTAACATCTTCTTTGATCTTGATTATGCCTTCCTTGACACCTTTCGTGATTTCTATTGTAATCTTTGAAATAGCTTCTTGAATGTTAGCTCCTGTCTTTGCAGAAGTTTCTATATACTTGGCGTTATGGCGAAGGGCGAATTCTTCGGCCTCTTCCTGAGAAATGATACGGTCGGGTAAATCGATTTTGTTTCCAACAAGAAGAATGACGGCATTTGGAGATGCCATCTGGTTGAAGTCGTTGATCCAAACATCCATGGCATCAAATGATTGTCTGTCCTTGACGTCAAATACGACTAATGCGCCAACGGCATTCCTAAAGTAAGCTTTAGAAATGGATCTAAACTTTTCTTGGCCTGCTGTATCATTAATCATTAATGTGACCTCTTCACCATCAACAGTTTGTTTGATGGCAAAATTATCTACGCCGATGGTTGGTTGGCAATCGTTAATAAAATCTTCCCCACGGAGTACTCTTGCAATGGCTGACTTGCCAACAGATGAACTTCCAATGAAACAAATCTTGAATTTCAGGTCTTTCATATTTTTTTATGAAAATTTTTGAGTGACTACTGTTTGTTCGAAATTTTGAAATACAGCGAATCAAATTAATGTGAAAATTTAGTAGATTGCCAGTAATCATCGATTTTTAAAACTCTTATTCAAATTGTTTTAGAAAAATTTAGAAAATCTTGAGGAGAATTCGATAGAATCAATAGCCCAGCTGCATCACATGAATGTACATGAACAAATAATACATTTGGAAAGAGAGTTATTTATAAATAAACAATAACAAGTTAAAATATATCTAAAATTAAGCATTATTGTGCTCTTAGAGTCAATATATTATAAATTCTTTTTATTGCTGATGCAATGATAGTATTGATGTTCAGTAAATAGTGATAAACATAACAAAATTATTTGAAAGAGAAATGCGTTGCGATAGACATCATTTTTTCTGCATTATAAAGGATCAATCTTCCATCTAGTCGACGAAGCCTCAGAGAAAACTCTTCACTAAAAACTTGTGGCATTTCTAACGGAATTTCTTGCAATTCTTCATGAAGTAACACTAAAGCAGCACATAACATGGATTGTCTCATGACAGGAAGATTACCACAAGATAACGCTGAAGCTAAAATTAAAGAATTAATTTTATAATCTCTCCAACGCGTAAAGAAGATTCTAGAATCAGATAAAGCGAAATCTAATGTCTTATAATTCCTATCTGTCAATATTTCAGCGGTTGATTTTGAAATATTCTCTAACATTGTGAAAACTTTTAGAGATTCTTGTTGAACAGAAAGAGTTCCTTCTTTTATTTTCCTGTATAATGTCAACAGTGGCCAAAAAGTCAATATTTCTGCTTCTTCAAGCGTAACTTCCCTTGAATCACGAGTTATCAATGAATCATCTAATAATTGGTCATCTAAGTAAATTGCGACAATAATTGAGAGCTCAAATTGAAGAGCTTCATCAAACTTGAGGTCTCCAAACAGAAATGTAAATAAAGACATCGCAATGTTGAAAATTAGTTGTTTGTGCAAATTTGAAAATTTTTCACTAGTTATCCAAGATTCGAGATCATGTGTGAACTGCCTCATTACAACAAATCTGTTCCACTCTTCTTTTGTTGTCAATTGCCAGTGTTCACGAATTTGTAGATATTCTTTCGTTTTTGTTTCTTCTGGCTTTGTTAATAGTAATCTATCAAATAAAGTAGGTAATGCTTCATCAATTACATTGAATTTTGAATATGAAACTGTTGATAAATCAAGAGTTTTAACTTTTTCGAGAGTTAAGTCTTCAAATTTTGTAGATGGTATTACAGGGACAATATTTCCATATGTATAAGCGTCAACAGGTCTAATTATAACTGGTTTAACTTGGTTCATATTAAAATTGAATGAATCTCCAGTCTTTTTGAGGGCTTCTGTAACTTTTCCAAGAATACCACCTCCTGATTTTGATTTTAATTGGATTTCAAAATTTAATGGGTTATTTTCTGCTGGATTTAAGATTATATTATTTCGAAGAAATTCAAAGAATGCGTTCATATCAGATCTGTTATTAAAAATGATACTTCTATCTGTAAATTTGCTCTTGAACGTGACATTTAATGTATTATCTTTTGAAATTGTAATGGATTGAAATTGTGAAATCTTTTCTGTAACTATTATACCACCATGCTCATCAAAATATGTAATACTTAAGTCTACTCCGTTAAGTGCCAATTGCATATAGCCATGCAAGCACTCTTTTTCATCCAGTACTAATGCAACTCTTGTATACATAAAAAGTAAAGAATAAATCAGTAATTCAGTATCAATCGAATTTTAGTGCGACATCAAAATAACTAATCATTCTCAACCGAACAAAAATAATGAAGATTTCAAAAAATAGATGAAAAAGATCTCAACTCTAAGATATATATAAGAAAAAGGACTATTGAGTTTATGAAGCAAAACTGGTGCTGTTAAAACCTATTATGGAAAAATTGAAGATTTTGCCACAAACTTACCAAACAAAAGCATTTTTATATTGATTACTTGACAGCAAAGCTAATTTCTTCAATAATATCGTTTAGATAAATTTATTGTCTGCCGCATTATGAAGGGCAGTTTCTCCATTGTTTTTTTTTGGATTTAGCCAATTATCTGTGATGCAAGATGCTCTCAAATGGCTTAAGTATGCAAATATGATGAATAAATGATTCATTTAGTTTAGGCAAAAACAAAATACAACTATTGTTGAAAAATTTTTTGGAACGCGCGGTTTTTCAGAAAAAATTGAATTACCCCATTCAAAACTAATGTATATCTTAATCAGCTCTATAATTTACCAATAAACTTTAAATGGATAGTTGGCAACTAACATTTGCATTGGAAGGATCATTAAAAGCTGATTTTTGAAACAAGCAAAACAAAATGATTATATAATACACTTCTAGATGGGTAAAATTATATCATGAGGGAAAATTCAAAGAAATCGAATGATTGGTATAATAAACACAGAAACTACTTAATTCAATGCTATATTTTCATTACATACACTAATAATGTGCCAATCATCATACTAGGAGATAATAACAATGTGGTATGAAATTTGATCGTATTTTGTTTTTGGTAATTAGAGCTTATACCTAAATAATCAGGCACAAAATTTTTCACTTTATCTCATAGATGAACAGGCAGAGATGATGGTTATATTTTGGATGAATTCGAAGACACTATTGGCCAAAAGCTTGTCATTTGAATGCAATGAAGTCAAAGAATGCCAATATGGAAGCATAACTTAAATTGGTCGATTGTGAGAAATTTGACATAATCTCTTAGAGAAATATGCTTCTCAAAATTTGAATCGACGATAAAAACGATGAAATACCCACACAGTGCTCAATGTCTGCCAAGGCCGAGAGCATTGTTCCTATTCCATCAGATTCTGGTAAAGGTACTCCAATACCTAATAAATGGGTTTTCTGGTACTTAATTCCTTGCAAAGGAGGCCAAAATGTCCATTGGAGCGAATATCTTCATCCACTTCATTCATTCGATACGATTGAAGGTTTCTGTAAACTTTTAAGCTCTATCGAACATTTACATAGTTTGTTAAAAGGCTGCAGATATTACGTTTTCCGCGAAGGAGTAAAACCACTCTGGGAAGACCCATCTGTAAAAGATGGTAATGTAGTATCCATTGAAATGGATAAAACTCCAGAAAATACAGAAAATATAGAGCAGAAATGGCAGGATATCATTATACCAACATTAAATGAAGAGCTTGGGCCAGATGTTGTAGGAGTCGAATTTGCATCCAGAGAGACTTCTTGGAGAATGGCATCTTGGATCAAAAAGGACTCCAAAAATATTGATAAAATTTTCGAGTTTTATCAAAACGCGTTACCAAATCTATCAAATTTAGTAACAGTATCAAAGGTAGGAAACTAGAGAACTTACAGATTGTTTTACTATTTGTTTTATTTTTCAGAGATATTTGTTATTCTTTAATAAACAGTATTGTTGTTAATATTTGAATAAAACACTCTAAAATGATTACGGATTTCGCTAGTTTACCTTTACTGATAAGGTGATTATTTATTCTCTTATCAGAAACCTTATTGACTAGTAATTAAAAAAGGATCAAATAAAAAACAGCAATATATTTGGTTAATAACAATTTCATTCATTTTTCTTATAATGAATTTTGAATATTCTTCACCTTATTTGTTTTATGATGGCGTTTACTATTCCGGAAGACCAAAGCGCTTTTCATTAGATAACGGTGTCGGAGGATGGTTCTTTATAAGAATTGCATCATTGGTCAGTTTATCAGAAATAGAAGTCCTAAATAATGATTATCAAATGCATTTCTCAACAGAAAATATGGTATCCAAAGGATGGTTCCATGCTTTTATGAATGAAACACAATATAATTTTTTAAATTCTCAACAAAAATATGAAATTTATCCACAAGAAAAACCAATTAGCAAACGATCAAACTCAATTGATCTAAAGAGCGAATTTCTTGTACAAGCTACAGAAAATTGGCATCCAACCAATAATAAAACAAAATCCCAACATATATCCAAAAATATTTATGTAGTTTCAAATCTAGAATCACTATCTATACTCAACAATGATTATAGAGTAGCTTCATATAAGCCTTTGGTTAAAAGAGAAGCTTTAAATCGATATGAAGTTCCAGTTTTACTAAATGGAGAAACACAAACACCAGAACCAAATGGCGTTCCTCTAGGAAGCAGAAAATTATACAATTTTGGCTTAGATGGCACAAATCAAATTATTAATATCGTTGATAGCGGAATTGACGAATACCATTGCTTTTTCTACGATAGCAAATATACCATTTCAATCAATTCTACAAATCTAAAACACAGAAAGGTTGTTAGAATTGATGAATGGGTTGATACACAAGATGCAGAAGATGGACACGGAACACATGTGGGAGCATCAATAGCAGGATATCCTGATTGCGAAGATTGCGGAATTAAGCTCTACAGTGGCGTTGCAAAAGGTGCAAAATTATATGTCACAGATATCGGCATTTCATCGATCAAAAGTGATGTTTCCGGCAACTATGACCTTGATCAAACCACTCAGACCATGAAGCAGCTCGATTCCGGTGTTTCTTGCAATTCATGGGGATATTCAGCCGAAGTTGGCCAAATCGAGTACTCCTACAACCTTGAGGCCGAGAAAAACCCAGAGATAGCATTTGTCTTTGCTGCAGGCAACTCTAGAGATCCTTTGACCGTAACTGTTCCTTCAATTTCGAAAAACGTCATTACAGTCGGTTTATCATCAAACGCTCCTTCATATTCCATGGAAATAAATGAAGGAAATATATCCCTCAGCGATCCACAAGGTTTGCGAATTCCTTTGACTCAATCTTCAAATACAGACTATTTTAAGATGACTGCTGGAACTCCTATGACATGGCTTAGCAATCTTTCGGTTGTTGATTACGCAGATGATGCTGATTTCCAAGGAAAAATCGTTAAAACTTCAAATAATTTAGATGATATTTCAAATTCTTTAGAAAGAGGTGCAAAAGCGGTCATCTCTGTAACGAAAAATGAACTAAAGACACAAAAATCCCCTGTTTTCTTCTCTTCAGAAGATTTTAACGTTGATCAAGGTTCAATTTTACTTGAATCATACTCAAACAAAGAATTTGAGGTCTCCTACATAGAATCAAGAGGTCCAGCAAGCAACGGACTCCTCAAACCAGACGTTGTTGCCCCTGGACACCCATTAAAATCGGCAAGAGCAGGAGATCCTGAAAATCAGACAAGAAGAGAATGCACAATCGACACGATTTCACGTAAACAAGGCACATCAATGGCAACACCACTCATTGCAGGCTTATGCGGTATCATCAGACAGTATTTTGTCGAAGGTTGGTACAAAGATTCGAAGAAAAATTCGGCTGAGAAGGTTGTTCCTTCATCTGCGCTAATGAAAAACGTATTGGTAGCTGCTGCATATCCAATAGGATCTATTACGCCTAATTTTAATGCGGGTTTCGGAATTCCTGTTTTATCCAACGTAATTAATCCGGAAAATCCAGATATTAAGATGCTTTTCGTAGATTACATGAACGTTAGTTCATCAGAACATTACAAAACTACTATAAAAGTTACGAAAGAAGGAAGACTTTCAATTGCTATGTCATATCTCGATGCAACACTTGAAAATTATGTAGCTCCGTTGTTCGCAGACTTAGATTTATTCGTAATCGATCCTGATGGCTACGTAATTGTTGGCAATCAGTTCAATTCTTCTGCAACTGAACAATTTTCCAACACAGAAAGGGTTCTTATACACGCAAAGCCAGGTAATTATGAAATCCATATCACATCTAATGAATATACCATTCAAAGATCTGTCCACACCTCTGTTTTCGTATCAGGTTTTGTAGATAATTCAAAATCTCATGCCCTTCAATTTGAAAAAGTGACAGAATGTATTTCAAAATGTGACAACAAAGGAACATGCAGTAAAAATGGTATATGTCAATGCTCTGATGGCTACTATGGCTATAAATGCCAGCAAAAAGCCATTTCAATTAATTATAATTCTGGTAAAAATTATACGATACCTCCAAGAGAGCCAACAGTGATGTATTTCAGCTCCAATGCATTGGCTTTCAGATCTTCTATATCATTTACGGTCAATGATTACAAGAAAAAGCCAAGAGATTTGATTTGTTTCTCTTCTAAGGTTCCAAAAGGAATTGCATCAGCTGATCAATGTTTTATTGCAGAAAATGAAACAACTATGAACTTCCATGGCTCGATATTCTCATCTGCTGCTAAAAATGTTTACATTTACGTGTATCAAATGTCACAACAGCCAGCAACGATGTATCTTGCGGTTAGTGCTCCAACAGGATTAGTTCTTTTCAGAGACATCATCATTCCTTTCCTTATTGTTTTGATAATTATCATGATTATCATTGTAGCAATCGTTGTTTACTTCAGAAGAAGAAAGACAAAGATCGAAGAAATTGCTGAGAAGCTGGATGATAATACTAAAATGAACGAAGACACGCAAATCGCAATTGATGTTTAATTTGTAATATTTTGTCATTTAAATGTTATATTATAAATTGTCTATTATATCATTTCTATATCAAACAAGGATTTTCTACATTTTGAACAAGATTTGAGTGAAATTAATTCAAAATTATAAAGCATCAGATAGAATACTACTAATTTGAATTATAAATATGTCTCTATACTAAAATCCAAGAAAAAATAGGTGTTAATAAAAAATTATTTAATAAAATTAAAAATTAATGGAGAAAATCATATTACAAGATGTTCACTTCAGTGGGATACTGTCATCACCCAACTTTATTTTGAAATCACGGTTTAGGAAAAGTTCACCGGTTTCACTGTTCTTGTAATAGTGAATTCGCGCCTTTTGGCCATTGTACAATTCAACAGACTTAGTCTTGTATTTGCACCACATTTGATTGTCATTAATTAGGTTCATCTCATTTTTGAGAGCTTCGTTCTTCAACTTGGAGAATTTTATGATTTGTGTGGAAGAATCAATTGCTTCTTGTGTCAATTGACCTGTTCTTGTGAGTAAACCTGCTTCTTCAAATTGACTATGAAGGGTTCGAAGTAATCTTTTGTTTATATTTTTCGAAGTTATTTGTCGAGAAAGAGCTCTTGAGAGTCTAGAGAACTTTGATATAGATCCTGCATATGCAGATATTCCAGCGATATCAATCATTGCTCTTGAAACTTCAACAAAAAAATTATATTCTTCATCTAATGGAAGATCAACAAGTTCTTGCTTGAATTGATATCTGAATTCGACTTCTTCGTCATCATTGAATAATTCAGCATTCTGGATATAGGCTTCACCTTTATCGCGTACATCATTATATACGCGGCAGAATTCAACAATTTTGTTTCCAATCTGTTTGAAAACATTAATTGTTTCATCAAAGTAAGATTTCTGATTTTGAGGAATGACGCTTGAAAATGCATTATATTCTTCTATAATGCGATTCAATTCGCTTGAAATTGTGTCTACTTCTTGCTTGATTTGAGTGAAGGCTTGATCTTTTTTAACAATTGTTTCTTTGCTTGCAGTTAATGATTTTGTCTCCGTTGCAATATTTTTCATCCTTTTGCGAAATGTTTTGCAAGCATTTGAAAGTTTCTCTTTGATTTCCTTGAATTTTTCAATATTTCTCTTCAACTTTTCCAATTCATCTTGCTTGTTTTGCTGCGACTCCTTTTCACACTGTTCAGCTTCTGAAAGCTTGGCACGGATTTCATTGAATTCATTTATAGAATCCATAAATCCGATAAGTTCATTTGCATTAGTCCTGAAGACGTGTTGATTCTTGTATTTGATTTCTTCAACATTTTCTTCAATGATTTGCTTTGCAACAATTTCTTCTTCACCTTCTTTGCAAATTCGTCCAGCTGGTGTCAATCCAACAAATGCATTTCTTTTTATCAAGTCACAACCTACTTTAAAGTAGAATTCTTCGGTTCCTACTAGACTGGCAATATTATCAATGTATTTGTTAATTTTGTCTTCTCTTCCAATTCTCACATCGGGGCTTGTGTTCTTAACTTCATCCATTATTTTAGAGCAATTCAAAGTAATGCTTGCTGAAAGAGCGTGCTCTTTGAACAAATCTGTAAATGTTTCTACTGTTAAATTTCCAGAAACAAGCATTGAAACGATTTTTGCCTTCACTTGAGAACCCAAAATCAGAGCATTATTGCACTGAAGGAGCAAGCGGTTAGCATTGAACTTAGCAGGAACATTCTGACTTAAATAGCTTTTACTGCCATTATAAAAGCCATTTACTATTGGTAACAAACACATTGCAGACAATCCTGGAACAATTCCTCCATACTTCAGGAAATTTAATGGACTAAACATAACGGAAAACCCTTTGCTCTTAACATGAGTTTGAGTTATATTTTGAGAAGCTTTCATCGAAAATTCTTTTGTGTAAATTTCTGCCGAATCAACATCCCAAATTCCTTCAAGATGAGTGAAATCATTATCAACAAATAGAACACCAACTTTCATATGAGATTGAACAGCTGTTGTTTGTTCAGTGTTGATTGTTGTTAAAATGTTATGATAACCAAAACTTGAGATATATCTTCCACAAAAAGTTTGAAGAATGAATTGTGTTGGATCAGATAATTTCGAAAGATTGGCAAGTTGTACAAATTGGGATGCTGTTTGAACAGAGACAGATGCAAGATTTAACAATGATGGGACTCCATCTTGAATCGAATGAGTGTTTTGCAATTCTTTCCATGCATCAATGAGTGGGTCTGCTTTTATCTTTGGAGTAATTATTCCTGAAGAATGAATTTTCACAGTAGATTTTGAATGCTTTAAATAAACTTTGTCTATTAAATTCTTCTTTCCAATATTCAGCTTAAGGATATCTCCTATTGCGCCTTCAAGAAGAAAGTTACCTTTTCCAATACAATTTATTTCTTTTCCTAAAATCACTGATGGTAAAAATATTTCTTCATCGGAATTAATGGTAATTTTCGTTTTGCCAACACTTGCTCCAAGGAATCTTTTTCTTTTAACTTTTATTTTCTCAGTTATTTTCTTGCCGATTGCTCCCTTAAACTCGATGTCGCCATGAACTTCTAAATTGTCAAAAATCATTTGTGTACCTAGAGAACTTGTCTTGAATGTATGTAAAACAATTTCAGGTGCTTGAATCAGAGAACCATGAGGATCATCAACATGAATCTTTGACCATTTATCTGCATTATAAATGTGAACGAATTCAGCTTGACATCTATGATTAATGGTATCATATGTAATCCTTTTGCCAGCAGACAATTGTGTTGCTTTTTCATTGATACTTCCATGCTTTGCAATTTTGAAAATCTCGCATTTTGCATGATATTGTGAACAAATAAGTTTTTCTGTTTCCATCGTGCGACTGGGACAGAAAAACATCCATTGTTTCTTGAATTCCTTTTCTGCGACACAATGATCATTAATATCTCCATCTGTCCTTAAAACAATATTATTGGCAACCAATTGACCGGCTTTATTATCTATTCCTTTCTTTCCAATTACAACTAAATCACCTGGAATGTCTATTATTACGGGGGTAACAGAATCTTTTTGGTAATGATGAAACATGGAATGACTTTCAATTTTCGAAACAGATGGCTCAATAATAATGTTTGAACCTGCTTCCAAAGTCAAATTTTTGGCAGATATATTATGATCATGATGAATTGTAATATTACAACCACTTGCAATTCTTAAGGATTGAACTGCTTTAATAAAGTTTCCTTTTTGTTCCAAAGCATACGGAATCATTAAAATTGGCTGTCTTCTTTGAATTGTCCTCGTATTGTTAGTTGTTTTGTCAAGAATATTAATTTCTGTGTACTTGTCACTATAAAACAATGCAATATCGAGAGTCTCTGGATCTGGATGGTTTTTGAGCCAAATTCCATTCTTTTCCAATTTAAGAAGGATATCATATTGCTTTTTCGGATTATTATTGAATCCATAGAATGGACGAAGAACCAATTCGATTACTTTTGCCATTAAAAGGTCTGGAATATAAGAAATGAATTCCTTTTGATTCTTTTCAGTTCCTTTAATAGCCGATGTTGATGGATACTTGACTGTGAATGAACAATCTGATATTTCATTCTTTTTTGGAATGTATCTCTTATGAATATAGTCCGGTCCAAATATGTGTTCATCAAAAAGCATGAAGCTCATATTCATCGCCATTCCAGTAATATCAACATAATATCCGTTTGGAGTGATCTCCTTCTTTTCAGCAAATCGCCCTTTAAGGATTGCAGAAAACCTTGTTTCGATATCAATATTCTTTGCTTTGATATTCAATTCATTGAAACTCACCCTGGTGATATCAAGGCGAACAATATTATTTGCAACAATAGAACCTTCACTGAGGAGCTTTCTTCCATTTATTATAACATCCTGATTCGATACTATACTTCCAACGCCATCTAACTCTTTCATTTGAATTGAGATCTGGCCAAGGGAAGATATCGTTCCACGAGTATAATATGGAAATTGATCAAATTTAAATTGATATTCAAGCTTTGCATTGAATAAATTTCCTGTTTTGATATCAATAAATCCCTCTGAGATAATAAATCCAGCAAAATTGACAAGTTTTTCTTTGGAATTGATCATTGCAAAGTTCTTTCCATATATTGTTGCATAAAGATTGGTAGCCCTGTTGCACTCGACTTCAACACCTCCAAGGCTCATAAGTGATGCATAAAATTGAGGAACCAAAAATGGAATTTCCTTTTCTGGACGGACAATGAGATATTCATAATCGAGTGGTAATCTCATTCCTTCACATTCATTGATGAATTCATTACATTTGATCTTAATAGTTTGGAATGTTTGAATGGTTCCTTTGTATGATTTAAATATATCACAATTACAGTTGAAATGTTCAAGAATGTTGAGATGTCCTAATATAAGAATACTTTTTGCACGAATATCCAAGCTATAGAAATAGTTAATTGATTTCTCTTGAATTTGAACTCTTTCTGCATTAATTATCAAATGTGTTGAAATTCCAAATCCTTTAAAGAAGATATCTTTGATATCAAAGACTACTTCATTGCAGCCTAAGAAATCAGGGATGTTTGAATCTTCTGTGAAAATTATGCAACATGAAAAATGAAATGTGAAACGCTTTGCAAATGCTTTTGTTCCATATCTATTAATAAGTTCTTTTGGAACATAAATGTGAATATTGTTGTCTGATCTGATTGTTCCACAATTGTTTATCTCTCCAATGTGAAAGATAACATCATCTTGAAGTTCTAATGTCGAATCTACTGAACCTAAATAATAAAGCTTTGGAAAATCATGGACTATTTTTGGATCACCTTTGTAATTTCCATCACTGTCCTTTGTCAAAATAAGAACTCCATCAGTTTGGATGTTTTCTAATTGAGTATATTTTGTAAGTGACATCATTAAGGATGATTTCTTGAGAATGAAAATACTCTTGATATTGATAAATTCATCTCCGTGTAAGAGTGTCATTGTTGTTGATCTATTTAGATAAAGATCAATAATTTTGGGAAATCTATCACCTATAACTGATTCGCCTAAGATTTCTGAAATATCTTCTATATTTTCATATGTTGTATTTGAATCAAGATAAAGGTAAGCATCTGGAGAATTCATTATATATTTCAAATCTGGAGATGCTTTCATCAAAACTGATTTTCCATGGTTGAACAATGACTTAAGATGATTAATACTTGAGTCTTCTGTGATATTTAGTTTGCCATCTTTGAAAACTGATATCTGATCAATTTCATCGAATTTTGCCTCGATCTGCAAAGTGGATCTGACATTGAGTTCACAACATGAGATAAAACAATTTTCATTTGTAATTTTCTCCATTTGTGGAATATTTTCAAGCTTTTCTATTCGATCAGAAATAAGGCATTCTTCTGCCTCACTTATGATCTTTTGGGCATGAACTATACCAGAATTTATCAGAACTGTTTTTTCTCCAAGAAATGAAATTGTGCCATTTGCAATGAAGATGCTGAAATTAAATAAAATTCCTCTGACTTCAGCATGTTGAACTGTGAGTTCAGAATAAAGTTGGACATTGTTGTTGAATATTGATGTGTTAGTTCTTAAGTTTCCATTTAGTATTGTGAAATTAGTTAGGAATTTAGTAATTTTTGCCCTAATACTACTGTTATTAGTTGAAGAAAATGTATCACCGCAAAATGTGATTTTTCCATTTGAGCTTTCTAAAGTTCCTTCATTGAGTGTTTGAGCAATTGAAGTAATCTTCATATCTTTTTGAGAAATGATCTCACCATGATTGTGAATAACTTGAGAAACTGTAAGACTAACATTTTCGCCACTGATTTTACCATTATTAGTTAAATATTTGGATAGGATTGACAGATTTCCATATCCAACCAATGTAGAATCATTTGATCCATAATAATAAGTAAGATTATCAATTCGATCACAAAAAACATTACAGGAATTAATAATTGTACCACTGTTAGAGATAATAGAATCAACATATAACTCTCCAATGTTATGAACTATTGTTTTATCGAGAAATAGTTTTTCCACTATAAGCGATGCATTTGGATTTAAAATCAAGAATGCATATTCGTAAGGAGAATAGTTCGAGTGTGAAACAGTTAAACTATTGAGTTGAATGTTAGATTCGTCTAAAACAAGTACCGCTGTTGCCTCAATAATTAAATTTGACTGTGGAACATTTTGCAGAACAACCTGATTAGGAGATATTATTTCAACTGTTTTATCTTTCATGTTTTCATTGCCATTAATAATGATATTTCCATCGTGAGAAATTATAAAATCTCCAAGTTCAGGTAAACTAATGCAAAATCCTCTGGAGAGTTCAGTATTGACTGGTTCTGTCGGAAATTGACTTTCTTCTGGATTTGAAGTTTGAATTGTAACTTTTTCGATTAATTCATAGAGTTGTGTAGTTCCAACTTTAATTGGTTTGGACAATAAGAAAGTTGATAAAGCATGATTTAAAATTGTACGGTACGACCTTTCACCATCAGGTTTGGTGAAAAATTGTTTAATTTTCACAATTAATCCTGCTTCTTCTCTTTCTTCCTCATCATCCCGTGATAAAGAAGCTCCGATTATATCTATTACAAAATCAGGGTCTCTTATTTCGTTCATCATTATGTTTTTTGAAGTGATAAAATTTTCAAAGAAAAGCCCCTTTCAAAAAAAAACTGAAAAATTTAGGAAAGAAAAATTTATTTAAATATGAAAGTATGATTGTTAATGATAATAATGAATGTATTGTCAGATTTAATTTTTGAATTGGCAGACAATTTTCAATTTTTAAAAAATGTAGTTTATATTAAAAATGAGTTTCAATTTCAACTTTTTTTATATTCATTTTTTTCAGAAATTTTCCATCGTTTCACAAATTCTTATACCTTGAATAACTTGAAATAAGTTATATTATAAGGGTTTCGTTTTGCTAAAATTGTCACTTTTATAGCATATTTGTTTTTGGATGTTTTGCGAAACCAAAAAAAAAACTATGATATACAATGTGTGTGTAAAGAAAATACTTTATTTACTAGTTAAAAAATCATTTGGTATTGATCAAGTTATTTTTTCTGGATAAGATATTATATGGATAATTGGATAGAAAATACAATTATATAATCTTGTACCTGGTTTAATTAAGCTAATTGTCATCAGAAACTTGTAATTTTTATGAATTTCAGATTTTCTTTTCATTACTGCTTTTCTTAATAGGTCAAGTTCTTATTTACGTTATAAAGTATGATATTTACAAATATCAAGTTATCATGTTTTTTGAGAAATTATGAGAAACAAACAAAAATGAAAAAGATAGGAATAGCAATGAATAGTGATGTGGGTATAGAAAATGTAAGAGATATGAATGCAAAGCAATCAGTATTTAGGATATTGACCATAGATTTCGAAAAAAAAATGCTGCATATTGAGCGAAAACTATGATTATATTATAAGGCTGTCATTTAAAGCATAATGAAACTATTCCCTTTTCATTTTAATCGAATAAGATAGTAAAGATTTTTGAATTAGCTAGAAACTGATGAGATGTTTTCACAAATCAGATTTTTAATCTCTATAATGCATAATTCACTCAATATCTCAATTTTGATATTGCGAGATATTTTTGCTATCGGTTTCGCAATTTTGACACAATAGCAAGAGGGTTCTATAAGCATTATTATCAACGTAGAATCTGAATATCATATCAGAAAATGTCGCAAATCTGACATTTCCCCGACCAAATAGCAAAAATAATTGAATATTTTTCGCAAAAACTTTAAAAATCGATAAAAATATGAAATATAGATATTAAAGAGACTTTTTATATAATATTCATAAAGATTTTCCAAAAATATGATACCGCAAAATTAAAAAAGTGACGTCTTGAGTGGAGTCAAAGGTCGAAATTGCTAGCTAAATGTTTTTTTAGCGAAATTGCGTATTGTACGTTTTTTTCGCAAAACGAAACCCTTATATATTATCAAGTATAATGCCTATTGAAAAACAGCAATCAAGTAAAATACAATTATGCTTAAATTTCTTAATTTTCAATTCAAACATTCTTAAATTTGAGTTTAACAAATGATATGATTTCACAGTCAACTATATCAGGCATGTTTTCATGTCAATTCATGATTTAAAAAAATTATTTTAGAGAATTTCCCAAAATTCCAATTGTTAATCGTCAAAATAACAGTGGATATGCAATTTATGATGGAATAGATAGTTATATATATATTTAACGAATTCATAGTTTCAAACAAAGATAATTTTAATTCAAGATTGAAAAAATTTATTGCCAGCATATCGAATAGAATTATTCACTTAGATTTTGATGTACCATTATATTATTTTTCAGATAATTAATTTTGGAATAATAATTTATGAAATTTCATTACTTTTCTTTGTTTAATAACAAAATTATGAGGTGAATTGATCTATCAATATGCAATGAATATGATAAATGATGTAATATTGGCCATTTATACTTGGTTTTAACATTTTGATTTTAATTCTTTACGAATAGTTATTTAAATTTTAAAGTTTGTATAAGACAAAATTCTAAATCATATTGATAATAGATTAATGGCATGCTCACAATATTTCATTTGGATTTTTTTGAAATATTTCAAATAATGCGATATAATTGAAATAATTGCAAAATCTGTATAACAATATGCTTTTTGATTGATTTGACTCTTGAATTTAACAATTTACCATATAAGTCATGACTTTAATAAAATTGAGCGTACAGTTACGACATTTATGAATAAATAACTGCTCTGGACATGAACATAAGTGTCTACATTGAAATGTGACCAAGCACCCATCATAAATACATTTTCTGTTAAAAGTTTAACATTTCGGTCAAAATTCAAAACAGAATTGAAAAAGTATTATTATTGGTTTATCATTGTAATGTGATTAAAATAACACTGATAATAATTACATTCAAAAATTGAAAATTACTTTCAATTTTCCGATGATGATAATGAACAATTGCTTAGAACTAAATTATAAGGCCATGTGCTAGAAGAATGCTTCATAAAAAATACGTTACGATCAAAAATTATCAAAATTCGATATAAAAACCGTTGATCGCATTCAATCAATTTTGAGTACATTATTTTTTTCTCAATATGCCTCGAATTCTGTTCACTTAAGAAGAAGATGAAAAGCTTAGGAATATTATAGAAAAAACATATAACAGTAATAATGAGATAGATTGGAGTTACGTTGCAAATCAAATGAAAACAAAAAATCCAAGACAATGCAAAGATAGATGGTTATTCTATCTACAGAAGGGAATAAACAAAAACAAATTTTCCAGTTTAGAAAACTTTCTTTTGTTACAAAAAGTTGATGAAATCGGACATAAATGGAGAATTATATCTTTATTCTTTAATAATAGAACGGAAATTTCGCTCAAATTTCAGTATAGAAAGCTCATGCGATATGGTGCAAACTTATCAAATGTTCTTTCTCTCTCATTAGATCAAAAGAAGAATAAAACGGTGCAAACACACAAAGAAGTTGATAGATCTTTAGGGGATCGAGTAAATTCTGAATATGAATCACCTAATGCATTTGAAGTATTCGAATCATATGATTTTGATCAAATTGAAGAATTTGATGCATTTTATTTTTAATTTTAAGTGCTTTATTAAATAATGTTTTCATGTTTTCTGAAATTTGAATATTTTTCGTTCAATTTCATGCGATTAATTTTGAATCACCTTCTGTTCGGTATTTGAACAAAAATAGTAAATAATTATATAATTTGGCTTTTAATACATTATTATCAAGCTGAATAAAGTAAATAATGCAATAATTGTATAAATTTTAAGTCATAATCAAAGTCTATTCTATAATACATACTTGTTTCTAGTTTCAATGTAATGTAAAAGTTGTGTCAAAGTTCTGGCTTTTGACAATTATCTGGTTTGAACGACGTATCATGAATATTTTGGATTTATTGATACTTGTTAACTATTTCATTGTAACAAGTAGTTATGCAATTCTTTGGTTAATAAGTGCAAAATATCTTAGCCTTTTTACTAATTCAATTGCTTTCCTTCCAATTTTAATGCTGAAATGGCATGTGTAATATATTTGAATGCTAGAATGGCATACTTATAATGAACTCAATGTTTCTTTGATGATGCCTTCCACTTTTGAGCTGAATTCTTTGATAGCTTTTCATTTCGGGATATTGATATAGAAATGTAAATAGTGATAATATAGGGTGTCCAAAGGTGTGTTTAGCACAAACCTGAATACTGCGAATAGAAATAAACAAGTTACATATATATAAAGTTTATTTAAATATAATCATCATTGGATTCAATCACGCGTTCGCAGCGATCGATCCAGGCTTGAAAGACACGCTTTAAATCATCATGAGAAAATTGCTCAAATTGCTCTCTTACAAAATTTTCAAGATCATCTGGACTCGCGAATTCGCGTCCTTCAGCTCTCTTTTTTAGCGTGCCGAATAAATAAAAGTCAGAGGGTGCAATATCAGGTGAATAAATTGGGTTTGGAACAACTTTGACATTGTTTTCCACCAAGTAATTCATTACCTTATGACTTTTGTGAACTCTTGAATTATCAAAATGAATTGCAAACTTTTGTTTTTGTTGTTTGGATTTCTCAAACTCATCAGAATTGATAATTTGAGTAAGAACATTGTCAATTAGATACTGAGCATTCATCGTATTAGGTTTTTGAAGAATATCAATTGCGATGATGTCATTCACGCCCCAAAAAACCGACAACATAATCATTGGTGTGTCAATTTTTTTCTTCGGGAATGTTTGCGGATTTTCATCCTTCGGGATCCACATGATTTTGGCTTCTGTTGCATATTGAAACCAAGACTCGTCCCCTGTTACTAAAAAGCGAAACTTCTTGGATTGATACGCACGCAATATAGAGAGGAGCTCTTTCGAAGATTGGACTCTAGATTTTTTTTGAACTGAATTAAGGTTGTGCGGAACCCAACGTGTATACGCTAGTTTGTAGTTCAAATAATTGTGCAGATAATAACTGACTGTTGTACGTGGTATCTTTGTCATCTCCTCTATTCTTCTGAGTGATGCTCTTGGGTCTTCATCTAGCACTTGAAGAATTGCTTTGATTTTTCTTTGATCCGGCGATTTTTTGTCAATTTTTATGATGGGCGCCTTTTTGTTCATGAAGTGATACATCCTAACATGATACGTTACAGTGGAATAGCTAGGAGCATCCATACCGAAGCATTTTACCAATGTCTCGTAGATTTTTTACAGTCTTTGCATTTTTTTGCAAGAGCGAGGATGTTTTCTTTATGATTCATTAAAAAAATGAAAAAAATCCCGCCAAAATTTCCCGCGAAACCGCCTCTTGTCTCAAAATTCATTTTATATCCCGGCATGGCGCCAAAATACAACTTACTCATCATATACATATATTCATATTTTTTATTATATATTTATAATCAGCATATATCTCCTTTAATAGTCTCATATAGAGCGCTGTGCTAAACGCACCTTTGGACACCCTATATATTAAACTCTCTTGATAGTATTCGAGCTCATAAATGGTATGCCAGCTTGATCTTGTAGAATTTCAGCAATAATATGTTTCAAATCAACGCTTAAACTATTGGAGTTTCATATTTTTTAGAAAGCAACCAGAGTATGATAACAGAGTACTACGTCATTTAGTTTTATCCAAAAGGAAAGAAATTGGCACATATTTGTAATCAGAATTCATGTTTTCTGCAAAAATGCCTTGAATTAGAAGTATAATATGATATCATTTCTTCTTAGTTTCTTTGAACGAAGCATTTGCATAATATATATCACATTTTCTGTTCTAAAAACGCACTTGAGAACCATTTTTAGTTCGAATTTCAGTATTCAAGCAGTAATTTGATGATTATCTTAAAACAATCGTATTGTTATAGCATTCCATCTGAACACATTTAAATAATCGTGTGGATAACTATTTCAGATACACTTTGTAATCTTCAATAAAAAAATATATGTTCTCCCAGATTATTAGAGTTCTTGATATAGGAACTTAGTGATTTATATATAAAGTATCCACATCAATGCTATATCTCATGTTATTTGCTCAAACACTCAAGTAAAATTTTGGATTAAAATTAATTTTCCGAATTTAGTGCTCGATTTGCTTTTTTAATAATGTCCATATATCAAGTAATTTGGTAATTAAATAAGGAGGCGAAAATTTTTGTCTGCATTCATGGTCTGGCTAGACCAATAAAAAAAATTTTTTTTGAATGGAAAAAACCAATTTTTGAAAAAATGGCAACACCAAACATCCATTCAGTCAACTGGTATCCAAATGATCTCCCAAACCCATCAGATAAAGTTATGGTCAAGATCACCCGTGTCGATGAGCTCGGTATTTGGGTCCAACTTCTCGAATACTCAAATCGCGAAGGTATGATCCCTCTTGGCCAATTCACAACAAGAAAATCCAGAAAAGTACCAAAAACAATCAGAGTTGGTAAAGTTGATACAGCTATGGTTACAACAGTCGACGTAGAAAAAGGAAATATGGATTTAACTCGTCAAGGCTTAAAGGAAGAAGAAATTGCAGCCAACGAAAAGCGTTATAATGATTATAAGAACCTTATGAATCTTCTTGCTTTTGCATCTACACAATGCAAGGTCCCACTTGAAGAATTAGTTCAGACAATTGCTCACCCACTCACAAAGGAATACGGAAATGCTTATCAAGCCCTCCAGCAATCAAATACAAAGCCAGAAATTCTTGATGACCTTCAAATTTCTGCTGAGGTCAAGGAATCAATTCGCACCCAAATTCAGAGAATGTTCACACCACAGGAACTCCGTATTCACTCTACATTCGAAGCTGAAGTTCTTACAAAGGCCGGTGTCGATGCTCTTCGTGAAGCTCTTGTTGCTGGCTACGAAGCCGCTCCAGACTCTAGCCTTTCTATCTCTGTTATTGCTCCTCCTGTTTACTCAGCTGCCCTTAACACCCTCGGCGCTGAACAAGGTATTGAAATTCTTAACAAGTGCCTTGAGATTATTGAAGAGAAAATCACCGCTGTTGGTGGCCGCTTCAATATCAAGGAGGCTCCAAAGGCAATCAGCCAGAAGGAAGCTCAATTACTCCAGCAACAGATGGAAGAAATGGGCAACGACGCCAATGCTAACGACGATCTTGATGAAATGGAACGCCAGGGTCCAGAGTAATCAGATTATCTATTAAATTATAGGAATTAAATAAATTAGATATTTTTTAATAAAATTTTTAAAAAATGTTTTTTTATCTAATAATTCAGACAAATTAACTAAATGATTTGGTATTCAGTTGTTCTCTTATTTAAAAATAACAAAATATCTGATGAAATTATGAATAAAATTCAGAAGCTCTAAATGGGGAAAAAAAAAAAAAAAAAAAAAAAAAAAAGGTAGTGGGGCTTCCAGGCACTTCGTGCCTTCTAGCCCTGAGGATGTTTTGTCAAGACTTCTTCATCGTAAATGTTTTGTCAAGACTTCTTCGTAAATGTTTTGTCAAGACTTCTTCATCGTAAATGTTTTGTCAAGACTTCTTCGTAAAGACTTTGTCAAGACTTCTTCATCGTAAATGTTTTGTCAAGACTTCTTCGTAAAATCAGACAAAAATATATTTTATGTTAGAATGTTAGATCTAACCTCTTTTCTAACCTCTTTTCTAACATCGTAGAAAACTCATGATTTCATCGTAAATGTTTTGTCAAGACTTCTTCGTAAATGTTTTGTCAAGACTTCTTCGTAAAATCAGACAAAAATAATGTTTATGTTAGAATGTTAGATCTAACATGTTTTCTAACATGTTTTCTAACATCGTAGAAAACTCATGATTTCATCGTAAATGTTTTGTCAAGACTTCTTCGTAAATGTTTTGTCAAGATTTCTTCGTAAAGACTTTGTTAAGACTTCTTCGTAAAGACTTTGTCAAGATTTCTTCTTCGTAAATGAGTGTAAATGACCCAAAAATATATTTTATGTTAGAATGTTAGATCTAACCTCTTTTCTAACCTCTTTTCTCACCTCTTGAATTTGTCAAGATTTCTTCGTAAATGTTTTGTCAAGACTTCTTCGTAAATGTTTTGTCAAGATTTCTTCTTCGTAAATGAGTGTAAATGACCCAAAAATAAAGTTTAGGTGAAGAGGTGAGATTTCACCTGTTTTTTCACCTCTTTTCTCACCTCTTGAATTTTCATGAAATTTACACCAAAAATATACTACTAGGGTCATTTACGAAGAAATCTCAACAAAGTCTTTACGATGAAATCTTTACAAAACATAGACAAGAAAGTTCATGAGAAATTAGATGAAGAAATCTCAACAAAGTCTTTACGATGAAATCTTTACAAAGTCTTTACGATGAAATCTTGACAAAACATAGACAAGAAAGTTCATGAGAAATTAGATGAAGAAGTCTCAACAAAGTCTTTACGAAGAAGTCTCAACAAAGTCTTTACGAAGAAATTCATGAAAATTCATGAGTTTTGTATGTTTTAGACCATGTTAGAAAACATGTTAGAAAACATGTTAGATCTAACATTCTAACATAAAATATATTTTTGCTGAATTCCGTATGAAATTTCATGAGTTTTGTATGTTTTAGACCATGTTAGAAAAGAGGTGAAAAAAGAGGTGAAAAAAGAGGTGAAATCTCACCTCTTCACCTAAAATATATTTTTGGGTCATTTACACTCATTTACGAAGAAGTCTCAACAAAGTCTTTACGAAGAAGTCTTTACAAAACATAGACAAGAAAGTTCATGAGAAATTAGATGAAGAAGTCTTAACAAAGTCTTTACGAAGAAGTCTTAACAAAGTCTTTACGAAGAAATTCATGAAAATTCAAGAGGGTAGAAAAGAGGTTAGAAAAGAGGTTATATCTAACCTTCTACCCTAAAATATATTTTTGGGTCATTTACACTCATTTACGAAGAAATCTCAACAAAGTCTTTACGAAGAAGTCTTAACAAAACATAGACAAGAAAGTTCATGAGAAATTAGATGAAGAAGTCTTAACAAAGTCTTTACGAAGAAATTCATGAAAATTCAAGAGGGTAGAAAAGAGGTTAGAAAAGAGGTTATATCTAACCTTCTACCCTAAAATATATTTTTGGGTCATTTACACTCATTTACGAAGAAATCTCAACAAAGTCTTTACGAAGAAGTCACAATAAAACATCTGTCAAAAGCCGCTTTTTAACTTCACTTAAAATGCCACGTAAGCTACGTAAGAATATACGTAAGAGGAAGAGAGCATTGAAACATCCAATAGTAAGACTAACACCACAACAACAGTTGCAACAACAAATGCTGAATGACCCCACTATGTTGCAACAAATGTCAAGCAATCCTATGCTTTTAAACCGAGTTCTTGGTGCACAGAGTGGAGGTTTAAGAGCGGCACTTTTAGCGAAAATGGCAGGCTATGGTGGAGCTGCAGACGGAACAGCATATAACCCTCAAAGTCAAATGAATTTGAGTTCACTCAAAAATCAAATAACAGATGTCAAAAAGTCAAACATAGACATACAGAAGCAAATAAGTGAAAACGAAAAGAAACTAGAATATGACAGACACACAAAGAAACTCAATGAGTTAAACGTAGAGAAAGAAGAAAGAAGAAAGAAGAACAACTGAAAGAACTAAGTACAGAGGAATATGCGAAAAAAGTGTCAGAAAAAGCAGCAGAAGTAGCAAAAATGGAACAAGATGTCATAAATTTGAAAAACCATACTACTCAATATAAAGTACTGAAAGATGAAGAGATAAAACAAAAAGCCCTGAAGACATATATGGATAGCGATGAGTATAAAAAAGAAGTTGAAGCAAATGTAAAGGCAGAAAAACTTTTACAGTTGCAAAACCAAACCGTACAGTATGAAAACTTAGCACAAGAAAGTAAAAATAACGACGCAGCCATGCAAAAGGCAATGAAAAGCGCAGAATATATAAAAGCTAACAATGACTGGTTAGATGCCCAAGCCAACGCTAAAGCAGCCCAGCTTATAGGGTCAATAAGGACAAAAATACAAGCGGATGAAGATAGTTCAAATGAAGCTTTAACAAATGCTGACTTTAAGAACGCTTTCGAAGCTCTTCATAGTAAGGTGAAACAAGTGAACGACTTCTCATCTGGAAAGAAACTGAAGTCTGAAGGTTTCGACAAAGAGTTAAAAGAAGTAGCACAAAATATGACGAAAATAACAGATGCAGCAACGAGACAGGCAGTTCAAAGTGCCTATGACGCCGTTAGAGCAACTGTTGTGGAAAGTCAAGAAAAAGAGTTACAACAGACCAAAACAGACCTAGTAAATGCTTTCTTAAGAACGAAAAGTCAGGTAGGACACTATGCTGCAGATGGAACATATGTGCCAGCTGGTGGAACTTATATACCAGCTGTTGGAATTTATATACCACCAAACCCTCCAAGAGAAGCACCTGCACCAGGACTACCTAAAACATTTACATCGTCACATGGACACAGACATAGGCATGCACCAAAACCAACACAACAACCAACACAACAACCAACACAACAACCAACAGTTCAAAACCCTGCACAACAACAACCACAACCAACAGTTCAAAACCCTGCACAACAACAACCACAACCAACAGTTCAAAACCCTGCACAACAACAACCACAAACAGAGCAAGGACATAAAAGAAGTAGAGAACAAGGAAACCAAGAATTCTTAAAAATGCTTAAAGAAGAGTGTGGTTTCCCAGATACTGTTGACTTTAGTGACAGATATAAAGAAGCTATTGGAAAGTTCAAGGATGGAAATACTGACCCGAACCTATTTAGCTTTATGGCTCAGCACCAAAAAGGATATAATCTCAAACCTGGAAAATACAAGCTCGCTAAGGGATATGATTTAATAGCATATCATCCAAATGACATGAACGAATTTACTCCGAGATATTTGATGTCAGAGCTAAATGACAATTCAACTTTCGTCATGAAACGCGTAAAAAAAGGAGACGGAACGAAAGAACAAAAGCTTATGAATGCGGATGACGTAGATAGGGAAATTGTTGAAAACGGTCTCGGAATATATGAAATGCCAGCAGATGAGGTACAAGAAACTCCACAGGAAGAACTAGTTCAGATACAACCAGACATGGAAGAAATAGTTCAGCAACAACAGCTAGAAGAGCCTGAAGGAAACGAACAAGTCCTTCCTTTGGAAACTAACTTCACAGAACTAGATGAAGATTTGGAACAGCCGAAAAATCTTGACCCTCAACAAGAGTATGCGGAGAATATGGAATATTTCCAAGAGTCTAAAAAAAATTCGGCTGACATAGTAGAAGAATATCGAAAAATGTTTGCCGACATACAAAAGACTCCAACATCAGATGAAAATATCCAGCATAGAATGAAAGTACTGAAAGAAAATGTACACAAATACAACAACCCTTTTTACTTACGAGCATTTAACGTTCAATCTTCGGATGAACTCGGTGAAGATAAAAGGTTAAATTTCAAGAAAACATATAGAAATGAAACATTGTTTAAAGTTCATTCAGAACCTAACCAAGATGGAAACAAACCTACTTTTGTTTCTGCAGACGATGGAACTACAATGAGATGGGGTCATAAAGCTAACCCGGATAGGTGGTTCATAAACTTACAACCACAATTCCAAGAAGTTGTAGACGCAATGGAAGTCAATGGTGAACCAGATATAGCTGGTATTTTAAGCGCGGCTTTAATGCCATTGAAAGATATGAAAGATGCAGATATTTTGGACCAGTATGAAATGAACATGGCTGATGGAAATATAACACCTGACGTTCTAGAACATTTATCTCAAAGAACTACACAGAACCATAAAGATGGTATATTTGGTGAAGAGTTTAGAAAGAAAGTTAGGGAGAGAGAAGGAAGAGAACCTATTGTACATGACCTTGCAAATGAAAGTTTACAAAATGTCATAAAAACTTACTTTGCAGACAATGAACCGAGAAGGGATGAATATTTAAGAAAACTCAAATGGACAGTACCAAATGAAATGTTAGTATTGAAAAACATGTTCCTTGACAAAATAAAACCAACTACAGAAATAAACGACGCAAGACTGAAAGATTGGGTAAAAGCTTTCCCATTCACAAAAGATATAGTTGGTAACATGGAAAGAAAACCAGAATGGCTACAAAAACATATATTTGGAAACGAGCTTATTCCATATGGACAAGCTCTGTTTGAAGAGCTTGAACCAGAAACTCAGGAAAGAGTCATGCAAACAATACGCGAAGACTCAAATACAGACTATGACAAACTCTTTCTAGGATATAGGTTACCTGAGATGGGCGACCAGAGCCAAAAGGCAAAAAGGACATGGGAAATTTGCAACATACTAGATGAACATAATGCAAAGATGCAACAACTTCAAGCAGAGGGCAATGAAGGAAAAAGAAGAGTTAAAAACTCAGTCAGGAAGAAAGTAAAGCTTGGTCGGAGTGGGTTCTATTATGACATATAAATCCAACTATTCTATATTTTTACTCATATGAAATGTACGCCGCTCAGAATATAACGCCAACAGTTTTGGATGCCATGAATGGAAATGTTTCCGAATGGTATAACGAATGCGACAATGCCATTAGAAGGTCAGAAATAGTTCCTGGAACTTACGAATATACAACTGCTGTTTCTTATGGAAACGTAGGTGAGTTTGGAGAAGGTTCTTCAACAACAGTAGATATTGCTTGCGACAGGTTTCATATAATTTCTATTGACAACTCTTTCTTATACGTGGAACAAGACATTGAAATAAAACCTTCTGCCAAGTTGTCTGACAAGAAAAAGGTTGCAATGGAATTTTCTATGTCGGATACCAATATGCTCCAGAAGTTTTCATGGGATATAAGATATATTCTAACTCTGACTTAGTTCAAACAGTAACATGGGCAACTATGAATGGTTCGCTTTGAGAAACTCAGTACAACCACAAGCTAGAGAACAAACAGACCAGTATGCAAACTATTGAGAAAATAAGAAGACTTGACCCTAACGTTCCAGGAGTTTATGTTGACCTTTCTGGACAAACTGCAGCAGCAGTAACCAAAGTAAAACTGAAACTTAGAGTTCCTTTGTCATCTTTCCTCATCTTCAGGTTTTTAAATACTTGCCAAACTGGGCAGGAAAAATTTCTATCGAACTTACTCCAAGCAAAAATAACTTAGTCATTGCACCAACACAAGACCCATTCACTCTTACAGACGTAAAGGGAGCAAATCAAACGTCATTCGCCGAATTTTGCAAAGACAAAGTTGACTTAGACTTTGGTTTCTCAAACCTCAACACTGAGTAAACTACTACTTCAATGCTGCTGGAACTGCTTGGGACCCAGTTAAGTTCACATGCGAAAAATTTGAATGCAAGAGAATAGAAAAAGCAGACTTGCAGTCTATATGTTGGACCCAGATATTTCAAATGCTTTAGCTGCCAAATATATTGCAGTTCCACTTATGTTCCCTATACACCAAATATCTGTCAAAGACTTTGCAGTGAAGTTGGAAACCAAAGTGCTGACCCAGGTGCAAGAACAGATATTGCTTTAACAACTGCAATGAAACATGCACATACTATGTTTGTACTGTTCAGACGAACTATAAATGACTATTCTTGCTTCTACAACCCTGGTATTAAATACCATATAAACATAGATGGCAAATACTATCCAAGAGAAGAATATTCTACAGTTGAGGATATGAGGTCATACAACTTGACATTAGATGCTATGAACTTTAACAACAACTTCACAACAACCATTAACCCTGAAATGCAAAGTTCTATTATGCCATATGTGAAAGTATGGACCCATACAGGAGCTCAAAACACTCAATATACAAATGGAGACCGTTCAAACTTTTGGCTTGGCATTCCATTTGCTGACTCAGAAGACTTTATGGGTGGTATTTCAACTGTTGGTACAGTTCAAATACAATATACTGGTGACAGAGACGGTCAAATGAATTGAAAGCAAAGAAGTTTACAAAAAACCAATAGCACTTTTCACGGAAGATGCTCTTTTGAAAATTCGTTCGATGAAACCTGCTGGGGCTCCTCAGATTGGTATAACGACAGCTTCCATCGAGCAGATTTTGGCAGCAGGTCAGTAAGTTGTTCTTGAACTGACTTCTCTCCGTCAAATATTGACAGTACGCCAGTTTTGACATAAAATTGTATTATAAACTTTTCCTTTAGAAATATCGGTCAGTTTTTGTTGTTATATTTTTGTCTGCTTCAAGAACTTTCACCATCTCGCGTTATACCAACTTTCTTTGCTTTATGAAAATATTTTGGTTCAGCAAAGACTGCTATTCTATAACATTTTCCATTGTTTGTATAAAGAACTATTCTGTCAATGAACTTGTATTGTTTGTGTGTGTAAACTTTGTTTTGCTTCAATTCGAAGAGATACTCAAATACGTCCATCTTTTTATTCTAAGTAAAATGTCATTTCCGAAAAATAGAAGCGTAAGTGTTTCAAAAGGTTTAATGGCGGTGGCAGATGTGAAGTTAAATTCACCAACTCAAACAAACAGTCAAAGTGTTTGTTGTCAATGTCAAAGAAAGAGATGTTGAAGTGGGGAAACCATACGAAGACGAAGATGGTATAGCAATAGTTCCTGTAAAAGAACAACCAACATATCCTGAAGTTAGCAGAGACTTAAGTTCTGTTGCAGATATTCGAAACGACTACCAACAACTTAAAGACAAACTTAAAACTCAGGAGAAGATTTGTCAAGCTTTAGGTATAATGTTAAACTTGGTCGAACACAACCCTGTAAAAGTGAACTCATATGTCATCGCACCTCATGAAATTTTGAAAGAACTATTGAAACTTTTGACAGAGGCAGACGATATAAACATCAAAGAAATAGAGCCTGACATTGCTTGCTGTGGTGTTTCATATAATGTCATTGACAAGATATACGTTATGAAAGGAGGTGAAACGTTGAACTTAAAATATAGTTTCCCAGACGTCATAAAAATATTTGACGAACACAACATTTCATTAAAATTTAGTTGCTAAGTAAATGGCAGAAGACATAGTGTTTATACTATTACGACTAAAAACCCTGAGTCATATAATTCTATAACAACAACTTACAAAGTCCTCAAGGACGATATTGTAAACTGACCTTAAACACGATGACGATAAAGCCTGTTTTGCTCTTTTGACACCAGAAGACTTTGTTGTTGTGAATGGTAAAAAATACTTCTTTGAAGATACTTACTCAGATATACCACCAACAGGTTTTGTTGACTTATTTAATACTTTAAGGACGGATGTAACATGTGCTGCAACTAGAGCAGGTTTCATTATGTTTGGATGTCCGACTGAGTTTAGTATAAACGATATGAGCTATAATACAAAACTTATATCTGGTTTTTACTACCAACAGTTTCCTATAACAGGAAAAGGTGTCATACAAGGTTTGTCTGTTCCATTGACTTTAAGTACACCTATTTTATATATTGTTTCAAACTTAGGTTCAAAGTGCTATTCGAATATCGACAGAAACTACTATGACCAAAAGATACTCATGCGTATAAACAACACATTCTCTGCTGGTTTGCCTATTGTTCATTCGAATGCAGAATTTTCAACCTTAGTGAACTCAAACACTTTGGCAAGTATAACGTTGACATTAGTTGACGCAAACTTTGTTCCTGTAAAACTTTTATGTCCTATGTATTTGTCAATGACGGCAGAAAGTTTCGAATTGGAAGATGCAACTGGTGAAAGTATTGTATTACAAGAACAACTTCAACAACAAATAGCTCAAGAACAACAAATGGAACAAATGCAACAAATGGAACAACAAAGTCAAGAATAAAAAAAATATTTTTTTTTATTTTTATAAAAATGTACAGAATAGACGTTTCAGATTTTTATGACTTCCAAGCGTTCAGAAATATGTGTCCATTTAGAGACTATAACAAAGCAGTCGAGAATTTGAAACGTTTAGTCATTTATGTCGACTCTGCCCCAGAATGTTATGTCATGAAAGAATGGGATGTTGTCTTTAACAAACCAAGAGCGACAATAGTTTCAGAACAAGAATGTAGACAGAAACTTAAGAAAATAAAAGTCGTACAAGTTGGCATGAAGATGTTAGATGCTTGGGATATCTTATTGTCAAAGTTAGAAGATTTTTCAGTTCGAGGTATAAAGTTCTATACACCATCTCCAAACTTCTATTCTATCTTCACTGGATATAAATACGAACAAGTAGAATGGAAAGAAAATATTATAGAAGCTTGGTTAGACCATGTCAAAGAAATTATATGCAATGGAAACGAAAGAGTCTATGAGTATATCTTATGTTGGTTTGCAAACATCTTACAATATCCAAGTGCTAAAAATGAAACTGCTCTCATTGTAATTGGAAAACAAGGAACAGGTAAGAACACTTTCTTTACAGATATTTTGTGCAAACTGTTAGAAGGTTATTCGAACCCGAATATGACAAACTTAGAAAACATCTGCGGTAAATTTAACTCTTCAATTGAGAATATGAAACTTATAGTATGTAACGAACTTCAAAGTATAGATACAACAAAAGTTTTGAACTCAGATGCTTTGAAGAGTCTTATAACAGACAAAGTTGGAGTTGTTGAAAGAAAATATAAAGACCAAAGAGTTTGTGAAAATGTTGCAAATTTCATCATGGTTTCAAACAATGCCGTTCCGATGAAGTTAGAAAGTTCTGACAGAAGATATGTAGTTGTCAGAACGTCAGATTCTCATATGCAAGATACAGAATATTTTGACGACTTAGCAGAAACTTTGACACCTAACTTTTACAACCACTTGTTCTCATATTTCATGACATTAGATATTTCTAAGTTCAATCCAAGACAAATTCCACATACCGAAGAGAGACAAACATTGTTAGAAGCAAACAAGAGTGTATATGAACTGTTCATAGATGAAACTGACTTTGTGTCATTAGATGAAAGGTCATTGTACGATTCGTATAAACAATATTGTCAAGAGTATGGTTATATGACAGCGTCTAAACGAACATTCTTGGCAAATGTCAAAAGTCTTTTAGACATACAGAACGGCGTATATACAAAGAAAAATTTTTCTGAGTAAATTTTAAAAAAAATATTTTTTTATTTTATTTGAAATGTACGCTGAGTTTGTTGGAGAAGACCGTTGGGAAACTTGTTTGTTAGATGAGAAATATGAAATTCACTGTTGTGAGTCATTTGAAGTCAGAAACAAAAAGACAAAAAGAGTTTTAAGCGAATGTGAGCGAAATAACGGATATGCTATGATGAGTATGAGTGGAAAAAAATATTTTAAACATATTGTCATTGCAACTCATTTTATACCGAACCCTAACAATTTACCTCTTGTAGACCACATAAACCGTATAAGAAACGACAATAGACTTGAAAACTTACGCTGGGTCACTTGTTCTGAAAACAGTAAGAACATAGGCAAATTTGGAGATATTGTATTCGAATTTGTCGACGAACTAGAAGATGAAACAATTGAAATTACAGACTATGGTAAGCATACGTTTGAGTTTTACTACTATAGCGAAGAACAAGACTCTTTCTACTTTTATACCGGCGTAAACTATAGAAAATTACAAGTATGTTTTACTAAGGCAGGCTATGCTCATGTAAACGCTAGAGATACAGATGGAAAATGCGTTCATATATATCTTAACAAATTCAAGAAGCTATATGGCATACCATTTTAAAACGTTTTTTTAAAAAAAAATATTTTTTTATCCGATAGAAAAGATGACGAAATATATTTCAGTAAATAAGTACATGACAGAAGTCAAAGAAGAACTCGACCCATTCATATATTTGAATATTTACTTCTACCATTTTGAAAAGTCTACATATGACAAAGTTTGGAACATCGAACCAGTTAAGTTTGCTATTGTGACTAAAAATGGTGCGAAATTTGAAGACTTAGACATAGAAGGTTTGTTAACAGTCAAAGAAAATTTTGACAGAAGGTTTTCAAACCTTAAAGAAGGCAAAGCATACAAACTTGTTATACCTTATGAACCAAAGAAAGCAGACGACTATGAATATTATGAGTCTAAGATAGTTGAAGTTCAAGGTAAATTGGGTAAAAAGATTTTAGAGTCTAAGCCAGTGTTTGCTCCTAAAGAGGAAGAGAACATTGACATTGACCCAGAAATGTTCTAAAAATAAAATTTTATTTTTACATGTCAAATTTCTTTTTCTCTGGAACTGGCTCTGGTTCTTTCTTCTCTTCTTCTACTTTCTTTTCTTCTACTTTCTTTTCTTTCTTTTCTCTCTTCTTCTTCTTCTCTGGTGGAGTTATGTCAAATTTGGCGCAACCATATTTATGTAAAAGTTCTTTGTCCTTTAATAGCTCTTCTATTCTGTTTCCTATTTCATCTTCAAGAACAGCGCATGTGTCTTCTTTGCATTCTAAGAACTTTTGTTGGACTTCATCTTTCCAAGAGGCGTCATCTCTGTCAACAAGTCTGTCATTGACAAACTTAAAGACTTCTCTGCCTAATGTTTTATGGTTCTTGTCATATTCCCAGAAACAGAACTTTAGAACAAATTCACCTTTCTTGTTTACACTATGTAAGATTTTATGGTCGACAGATGTTTTGCTGTCGAAAAGTTTGTCTCGAATATAGATAGCGAAATCGCTAGACATTTTCTAAAAGATAAAAATTTTAATTTTTCTAAAAATATGTTAGAAAAAAAGTTTGCTGACATTGACAAGAAATTTGAGAATGTTTTGAAGAAGAACAAGAGGAAGTTAGAAAATGCTCAGATAAAGCCTATACATGACAAGTTCCTATTTGCTCAGAATGGTATAACAGGTCTAATTGCACCGCCTGGGTCGGGTAAGACTTTCACTTATCTTAAAATGGCTGCACAACAACAAGAACTAGATGAGAAGAACCCATTCTATGAGTTAGTAGTCATTTGTAGTACTTCTGGTCAATTCGATCAAACCGTAAATTCGTTCAAAGATATTATAAAGAAGTCTAAGTTAGTATGTATAAAGGATACTGAGTTGTTAGATTGGATAAAGAAGTACCAAAGAAGAGTTTTGAAGTACAATGCTATAAATGAGTATATAAATTCTAAGTTTAAAGACCCAAATGAGGAAATGCAGAGAATATTAGAGAAGAAACACTTCAGAAACAAACAGAAAGAGATAGAATACATTTCGAAGAAATTGCAATCTTACGATTGGAAAACGTACCCTCATAGATGTCTTCTTATCTTAGATGACTTTGCTTCTCATCCTTTGTTAAAGAACAGAGAACAAGATATGTGTCGAATTCTTAAGAAGCTCAGACACTTTAACATCTCAGTTGTCATTTGTGTACAGACAGCAAAGAGTTTAAGTAAGGATGTTAAAAGAATACTTACTGATATCATACTTTTCCCTGGATTGTCCGAAGACGATTTCATGGAACTTATGAAAGAGTCCATGGCAGGTAAGTTTGACAGACATGAACTATGGGAGAAGTACAAAGTCATACAAGACCCTCATACTTCTTTCAGAATTCATATCTACGCAAACAAAGTTCAAATTGTAAAAAGTCAAGCTTGAAAATTAAATGTTTTAGTCTTAGTCTGTTGTGGTGCTGGGGCTGTCGGTTCTTCTGGTTGGGATATGGACTCGGTTGGTGGTACGTCGGACATTCGTTTGTGTCTTAACCGTCTTTGTTCTGAAACAATATAATATTGTCTTGAAAAAGTACAACATTGTCTTGAAAAAGTACAACATTGTCTTGAAAAAGTACAACATTGTCTTGAAAAAGTACAACATTGTCTTGAAAAAGTACAAGACTTGTTCTGAAAAAGTTCAAGACTTGTTCTGAAAAAGTACAGCTGTACTCAAATTTGAGAGACATTGTACTGAATTTATACAACATTGTTCTGAAAAAGTACAATATTGTACTGAATTTATACAACATTGTTCTGAAAAAGTACAATATTGTACTGAATTTATACAACATTGTCTTGAAAAAGTACAACATTGTCTTGAAAAAGTACAACATTGTCTTGAAAAAGTACAACATTGTCTTGAAAAAGTACAATATTGTACTGACTCAGTATGGAGCTTGACCCCTTAGACGAAGCAATTTATCTAATTGAGGTAAATGAAACCGTGAAGGAATATCTCAGCAAGTGCAAACCAAGCAAGCTTGAAAATTAAATGTTTAGTCTTAGTAAGTCTGTTGTGGTGCTGGGGCTGTCGGTTCTTCTGGCTTTGGAAGACATTCAGGAAGAGGAACGTCGGACATTCGTTTGTGTCCTGTCGGAAGGAAGAACTTTTCCAGTTGTCGGGAAAAATTTTTCCAGTTGTCGGGAAATTTTTTTCCAGTTGTCGGGAAAAATTTTTCCAGTTGTCGGGAAAAAAGTTCTCAATTTTCGAAAATTTGAATGGTTTACGGACGAACAACAGGAAAATTTTTTCCAGTTGTCGGGAAAATTTTTTCCAGTTGTCGGGAAAATTTTTTCCAGTTGTCGGGAAAATTTTTTCCAGTTGTCGGGAAAATTTTTTCCAGTTGTCGGGAAATTTTTTTCCTGTCGGAAGGAAGGACTCGGAATGCCAGAAGGATTTGACAAGGCAATTTACCTTATAGAGCTACCTGAGCCATCTGAAGTCAAGCTTGAAAAATAAAGAGTTCATCTACTCTACTTGTTTGAAGTTGTCAAAATACTCTGTTATTTTTTCCTTTAACAATGGCAAATCTTCTTTGAAGGTAAGTATTGTACAACCTTTAATATCATAGTGTGTTTGAGGTAACGTATCTTGAACTATTTGTTTCACATCTTCATTCGGTGTCATTGAAATCGGTAAGTTTTTCGCGATAGAACCAATTTCTGTCAGATTTGTAAATCTTAGCAAGGTCGTAAAAGCTTTTGTTGTTTCTTCTGACTAAATGCAACATAACCATATCTCTGTCTTCTTCATTTTCCATCTCTTCAGTATAAATCATATACTTATAGTTCTTTTCCTTTCCTTTTGGTACCGAACGTGGTATTCTTTTCTGTATGCTTTTGTCTTTTGCTTCAATGACTTCATCTTTTGCTTGAAGTTTCTTTTCCATCTCTTCACGTTCTTGTCTATGAATTTCATCTAACATCATGAAAATATAACAAGCGTAACGAGGCGAAGCCCACATTGCAACAGCATTTACAAGAAGTCTATGAACATACCAACCTCTCAAACCATTTGGCAAATTTTGACGATTTTCGTACGGAATCTCGTTCCGCGGTTTTCTACCACTCGCAAACATATGAGGAAATTCTTCTAAAAGTTCTTTTGTCTGTTGGTTTTCAAACCAATGACGTGCTTGCTTTGTAGAACGAAGAGTATTCAAAATACTTTGCATTTGGTACATGTCATCTTTGACTGAACGAATGAGACGTAACTGTTTGTTATACTGTATGTACTCGTATTCTTCATTTATGGCTTCATGGACTATAACTGTTGTTGTGTTCTCTGTTGTTGACATATCTGTCTTTACATACAAAATAAAAAAATAAAAAAAATAAAATTAACTTTATTTTTTCTATCTTGTATAAAAGACCAAAAATAAACGCTTTACATGTATTTTTCAGCAACTTCGTCAAGAAGTCTGTAAATATACCATGCATAACGAGGAGAAGCCCACATTGCTATTGAACTAACTAGGAACTTATGAACATATATACCTTTTAGATGCGATGGTAAGTTTTGTCTGTCTTGGTACATCTTTTTAAGTTCTACATGTTCGAACTCACTCAAAAGTTCATGAGTGCTATTTAATTCAAACCAGTCTTGTGGTTTCTTAGTATCTGGTGTAGCACATGCTGTCAAAATACTTTGCATTTGGTACATGTCATCTTTGACCGAACGAATGAGACGGAGTTGTTTGTTATATTGTATGTACTCGTATTCTTCATTTATGGCTTCATGAACGATAGCAGTTGTTGTGTTCTCGGTTGTTGTCATATATGTTCTTACATACAAAATAAAAAAAATATTTTATAAAAAACTAACTTTATTTTTTCTGTCTTAAGGAAACTCATGAAATTTCATACGGAATTCAGCAAAAATATATTTTAGGGTAGAATGTTAGATCTAACATGTTTTCTAACATGTTTTCTAACATGGTCTAAAACATACAAAACTCATGAAATTTCATACGGAATTCAATAAAAATATATTTTATGTTAGAATGTTAGATCTAACACGTTTTCTAACCTCTTTTCTAACATAACTATTTACAAGCGTTTTACATGGTATATGTTGCGATGGTTCATGACTTTAAACAGTTTTGTAGCTTCTATTTCTTCTGTCAGTACATCGAATGTTTTCACAATGTCGAAAGTTTCTTTATACTTCTTCTTGACGTCAGATAGAAGGAAATCGTCAGCAGTTGGATAGTTTTTGTTCAGAAATTCTAACATGTTCATTTTATCTTCTGCTGGTTTTTCTGCTTCTTTCTTTAAATCTGCATAGTCGTTTCGCATACGTTCTATCTCTTTGACGGAGTAGTTATATTTCCTCATTGCTGCTTTACATTTTGAACATTGCGGGTTCATTTTAGCATTGTACATTGAAATAAAACCAGCTAGAACAACCAAGGCGTCAATGGTTTTCTTTAACTCAAAAGTTGCTGGTTTTATCTGTTCGTTCCATACTTTACCTCTTCTATCTTTATCTCTTATCTGCCATACACATTTTGCAACTAACGAAACAAAGTTGTCGTAGGTCTTAAATTCTTCAGATTTATATATGTCAGAGATGTTCTTATATACCATGTCGCAGTCTTTGTCCATGACTTTGTGGTTGCAATGAAATCCAAGAAACTCATAGTTAACCTTTCGTATGAACTTCTTTATTTCTACTGAGTCAGTTGCTTTGACTTCTATTTCATCGAATTCAGGAATAGTAAGCTTTTGTTGTTGTATTTCAGGAAGTTTAGGTAGATGGTCAATAATATCCTGCATTTCATAAAGATATTGTTCATTTGTTTCATCTTTCGCACTACAGTCTAAATCTCCTTGGAGAAGTTCTTGCTTTATCTTCTGGATTTCTGTTTCGAAAGTATATGAAGAAGGAATGAAGCTTTTCATCTCTACTAACATTGAAGTTGGGTTCATAACTAAAGAGTTTGGTGCTGTAGTTGCTAACATGTTCTTACAATAAAAATAAAAAATATTTTTTTAAAAATACTAACTTTATTTTTTATGTTTTTTGTGAAAGTGTCAAAACTCATGACAAATTCAAGAGTTTTAGACCATGTTAGAAAACGTGTTAGAAAACATGTTAGATCTAACATTCTAACATAAACATTATTTTTGGGTCATTTACACTCATTACGAAGAAGTCTTGACAAAACATGTACGAAGAAGTCTTGACAAAACATTTACGAAGAAGTCTTGACAAAACATTTACGAAGAAGTCTCAACAAAACATTTACGATGAAGTCTTAACAAAAAATATACGATGAAATCTATTTCCTGTGTTGTTGTCAAAATGTCATGTTGTCACACTTTTTCAGAGAAGTTAAAATGACCGAGTGACCTGGTCGCCTAAAATATATTTTTTTCTATCTTAAGGAAATTCATGAAAATTCAAGAGTTTTAGACCATGTTAGAAAACGTGTTAGAAAACGTGTTAGATCTAACATGCTAACATAAACATTATTTTTCAATACTTTTTCAGCACTTCTCCGTAGTTATATATGAAAGACAATTCGAGATAAAAGTCGTAGTACAATGGAACAATATGTTGCACACCATTTGTTGTGAACCAAACTTGAAAGTCAGAGAAACTGTTACTAGGTGGTTCGTAGAATTTAGAAGCAAAGTCATAAAAGTCCTTACCAATACAAAGAAAACTATTGTTGCTTGAACTGAAACTTGCATGACACATGACATTTTGAGGGTCAAACACGTTTCTATAAACTGTCAAATCTGTTGGTGGGCGTATAAACCAGAACGGACCGTCAGGTGGTAATGGTTCGTTCTGGTTTAGTAACCGAAGAAATTGTGCCCAAGAACGTTTGTCTACTTGCCAAAATAAAAACTGTGTATCTCTTGGAGGGTTATTTTCAATCCTTTGAAATGAAACTGTGGAGTTCATCTTGTCATATTCTAGTTTCAGATAGTATGTTCCATTTAGTAAAGAATCGTATTTTTCTTGAAATTCCCAGTAGTATTTGTTTATTTGAGTTTGAAAGTCATTTAGAGTTTTTTCAAGATTTTCGTCTGAACGAACTGTAAAGATTCTCATTTCATCAAATTTGTCTAGTAGACCATCATGACCTCTATACCGCCCATGAAAATATACTGCGAACATAAATGCGTTAGTTCTTTTTGAAAACAAAACTCTTCTAAATCCTATTGCCTTTGCATCTGAAGGACTTTGAAGCCAACGAATTGGAAAGTCAAACCTGTAAGATCCAGATGAAATTTCTTCATCTGAAATATTCCTACCAGCGTTTGTAAAGATATAGTCTAACGGTTTTGTATCTGCTGCTTTTGTTCTTTGTTTTTCAACCTGAAACATTTAATATATGTAAAAATATACTATTTTAAAAAATGTTTTAAAATGGTATGCCATTTCATATTTCTCATCTAACAAACATGTTGTCTGACTGCTCGAGGGTTAGGTTGGTACCATTCAAATTTTACACTTGCAATTCCTTCAATTGCATTCAAAATGTCTGAGTCGGAGTCAACCATTTGTTCTCTCTTTGTAGTCTTGAAAGCGTCAAGAAGCATTGCAGCTGTTGTGACATTGCCATGTGCATAGTATATATGACCGTCCAAATCTGTTACTGTTAGTCTGAGATTGTGTCCTTTCTTATTTCCGTCTTGTATGGCAGCAAGTACACCCATGAAGCCTTCTTTGTTCTTTCCTTCGTCAAAGTTTACTGTAAAGGTTCGACCAGATGTAATTTGACTTCTAACTTCACGATACTTTTCATATGCATATCTTGTTCTTTCCATGGGAGCATGTTTGTCTTCACCTTTTCCTTTTTTCCTTCTCAAAGGATGCAATTGTTCGTCATGTTTCCAGTAGAATCTGGCAAAGCCGTCGTGTCCTTCAACTTGAGGTTCACTAACATTGAAAGGCAAGTTCATAAGACGTTCTTCTTCTAACCTCTCTAGTCTGTTTGGATAATTGGCGCGCGCTGTTTCCAAGTCCATCTCGTAGGTCAGACCAGCCAGTTTGTCATAGACTTTTATGGGTCTTCCCTTCCTATATTTAAACTTCTTTGAAACTTTCCAACCATATCTTTCTAACTCTGCTTTTATTCTAGCAGATTTTCTATCCATTCTATACGGGGGCATTTTTATAAAAATAAAAATATACTGTTTTAAAATGGTATGCCATATAGCTTCTTGAATTTGTTAAGAAATATTTTAACGTTTTTTCCATCTGTATCTCTAGTGTTTACATAAGCATAGCCTTCCTTAGTAAAACATACTTGTAATTTCCTATAGCTTACGCCGGTATAAAAGTAGAAAGAGTCTTGTTCTTCGCTATAGTAGTAAAACTCAAACGTATGCTTACCATAGTCTGTAATTTCAATTGTTTCATCTTCTAGTTCGTCGACAAATTCGAATACAATATCTCCAAATTTGCCTATGTTCTTACTGTTTTCAGAACAAGTGACCCAGCGTAAGTTTTCAAGTCTATTGTCGTTTCTTATACGGTTTATGTGGTCTACAAGAGGTAAATTGTTAGGGTTCGGTATAAAATGAGTTGCAATGACAATATGTTTAAAATATTTTTTTCCACTCATACTCATCATAGCATATCCGTTATTTCGCTCACATTCGCTTAAAACTCTTTTTGTCTTTTTGTTTCTGACTTCAAATGACTCACAACAGTGAATTTCATATTTCTCATCTAACAAACAAGTTTCCCAACGGTCTTCTCCAACAAACTCAGCGTACATTTCAAATAAAATAAAAAAATATTTTTTTTTGAAAAAATGTTTTATTTTAAATGGTATGCCATTTCATATTTCTCATCTAACAAACAAGTTTCCCAACGGTCTTCTCCAACAAACTCAGCGTACATTTCAAATAAAAATAAAAAAATGTTTTTTTCTTTACTTAACATAACCACCGGCTGCCATAAGTCTTTGACGCCAACCCATACCAGCTAATGAAGGTTGACTTGGTTTAGTATTGAAACTAAACTTTGGTTTTGGTTTATCTTCAGTTTTTGGTTTTTCTTCTTCTATCGGTTTTTCGTCACTTTTTGGTTCACCTGACTTTACTTCACTTGCAGGTATGGTTGTGTCGTCAACATCTTCATAAATATCATATGCCATTTGTTTTTGTTTTCCTTTCAACTTTTTGTGTTTGTTGTAAAGTTTAGAATATTTCGACTCTAAGTCAATGAGATGTTCTATAATGAACTGTTGGTCAGTGAAGTAAACTTTTCCATCTGTTGTCTCATAAACTCCTTCAGACTTCAATATTTTATTTGTGAGAGTCTGTTTCTTTTTTGAGATACTAGCCGTTCCATTTCTATGAAAAGTGACTTTGTAGTTAGGGTTTGTATTTCCAGACCTGGCACTTTCTATTATTGAATTTTTCTCTTCATCTGTAAGTTCTTTGACAGGTTTTGACAATGGTTCTGAACTTTTTGTTTGTGGTGTCAAATCTACCGTTTCAACTTCTTCGGTCATTTCATCTCAGTAAAAAATTTTAGTTTGGTTTGTTTTCAACTGGTTGTTTAGGTTTTTTAAGTCGGTCTAAAACTTCCTGAGGTATAGGAAGAACTTGACAAACACGTTGTGTAACTGCTGGAAGTCGACAAATCCATCTTGAACCCATTTGTCTCAATGCTGTATTGTTCATTTCATCTCAGTAAAAAAATTTACATTCCCCAAGTTTGAGGTGGTTGAGGTTGGTTGTTGTTTACCCATTGTTGTGCATGGTTATATCCTCTGTTAAAGAATCTTTCACCTTGGTCCATATAGTGTCCTGCTTGGTTATAGTAGTCATTTGCTTTGTTATAGTAGTTTCCTGCTTCTCTTCCTACATTGTCCATCCATCCTTGAACTTTTCCTCTTGTTTCAGGATTTGGAATAAGATTTGTTGCATCTCGTGCTACCTCCCAACCTTTCTGTACGGTTTGTATAATAGGTTGTGCTTTCTCTTTCAGTATACCTAATGTACTCAAAATCTTCCTTCCAACTCCAAATACACCTCTGGCTATTGTTCCAACTGCGGGCAAAAATCTGGATGCAACTCCTGCTAATGCGCCAAATAAACCCATTTCTTATGGGTTAAAAAATGACGAATCCAAACAAGGACCCCTATGTTTCTAAGGCAACAAAGAAAGCACTCATGGTAAAAATCTTTAGTTCAACACCAAATGCTTGGTTTATGGATATCTTGGAAAACATTCCGAGGTATAGAGAAGATGGACCACCATACTGGCTAATATTTGTCGGTCAAAACACAAGATACTGTGAAGCCATACCATTGCAGTCCAAAAATATTTTAGATGTGAAAACTGCTTTGACAATATTCGTTGACAAATACCATCCAACAAAACTGACATCTGACTGTGAAAGTTCTTTCAAATCAGACGATATTAAAAACTATCTGCGTTCAAAAAATGTAACCAATATTTCATTGTCGACCAAAACCATTCTGCTCTTGGTGTCATTGACAGTTGTATAAAAATCTTAAGAGACTTAAACCAACCACAAGGTGGTGAGGTAGATGAAATGTCATATGACGACAAGTATAGACACTTCTCCATGGCAAAGATGAGACAAGTTTTAAATATTTACAATAACCGTAAACAAAAAGGTTTGGGAAACCACTCCCCCGAAGAAATGAAAAACAACCCTGACTTAGAGAAAGACTATATATTTAATAGTTTAGTCAAAAGAGACAAACAAGAAAGAATGCCAGGCTTCAAACTTAAGAAAGGTGACAAAGTAAAAATAGAAATACCTAAACGCGACCCATATGAAAATACTATTGACTATGACAACAATGGGAACTCGACAGGTACTCGCATTCGTGTTCGTAAAAATAGAAGAAAGTATACAAGAGAATATTATGAAGTTTTAGGCAAACATGGCAAAATGTACAGACTGCAAGCAGAAGATAAAACTACTATTGTCAGACCTCGTTTCAAACTTGTTAAGGTTCAAGGTGGTATACTTTCAAAGACAGTTCCTAACAAATATAAGACAACTCCTGACGAATATGCTAAAGAAGTGGAACATGACGACTAAGCAATTCTATACCATGCGTAAACTGTCATGTAAGGTGGCATGTAGTCTTTACTTTGTCCGTTGTTTGCGTATACCCTGAAACGCGATGTGTATGGCTTCCTCCTACCTCAGTGTTACTCCAGTAACAATTTATAGCAAACTTAACGTCCTCTTTAACATCATATCCTTTACCTTTTGTCATTCCTGACCAATCCCAAATCTATGACTATGCAAACCTGCTTCAGATGTACTCAAATTTATGTAGTGACTGTGCGCAGGTAAATTTGCACCTGAAATCGTTTTACTTCCACCTGTTTCCTTTGAAGAGTTTGCACATACAAAAACCTGTCGACTATTTGAGTCCAAGTTCCAAAACCAAGTACTACTTCTGGTCTGGTAGAGTTCATTGACGTGTAAATAGAACCTATAGGATATACTGTTTGAAGTATTTCTGTCTTTAACGTTTGAAGCTCTGTTTTGTCAGCTTTCTTATCTAACTCATCGTTAACATATGTTTTGTCAGCTTTTTTATCTAACTCATCGTTAACATATGTTTTGTCAGCTTTTTTATCATATAAATCTTGAGCAGTGAATTTAACTTTGTTTTCATCCTCCATGACATAGACATTTCTACATCTAGTGTATTTCATCGTCGTTATGTCATCCTCCGATGTTAAACCTTGTGGAAAGTTAGGAGGTTTCCAATTTAATACATCCCCACCAGTTCCATCAGGTTCTTCAACCGTTCCTGCAATATTTTCTATACCAACAGTTGCGAAGAAATCGTGTGTATGTCCAACGTCACTTTTCCTGTTTAAGGTTTCTTGTAAGTTTGTAATATTTGCAATGGTATGTGTATGAGTCTTTTTAGAATATTCTTTGTCAGCTCTTGTCACTTCACTTGACATTTTATTGTCAACATATGTTTTGTCTGCTAGTTCAGGATGAGTATGTTCTTTCGTTGCATATGTTGCATCTGCTCTGTCATGTTCTTCTTGAACTTTTTCAATGACATACTCTTTGTCAGCTTTGTTGCCAACATCTGCTTTCAAAAGAAGTTCATCTATAGGTTTCTCGTTTAAAGTTCCTTTTGTTGGATTTACACAGACAGTATGGTTCTTGTTGTCTTGAAATAGAAACTCGTCTGTCATTGGGTTTATCGTCAGTTTTAAGTTCCTTCTTTCAATGACTCAGATATCTTAGAATAGTTTGAAAAGTTTGTTGTGTTCTTATTTAGAGCTTGCAAAATGAGTTGTCGGTTGTGTTTTATTTCTCTCATAGACGCTGTTTCTTTCGACATTTTTATTCTAGATAAAATATGCTTTCAATAGAAAAAGAAAATTCAAGAGTTGCTACAACTAAACCATTAGATGAACTTTTTACTAACGTCGGTCAAAAGTTTGAGACAGAGACCGTAAAGCATGAAGGCTATCGTTTTGACTACCCATTAAGATGGCTAAGAGACCCATCTGTCACAAAAGCTATTGGCTTTCGTAGAATGAAGTTCATTTCAGAAGCCATACATGGTTTCCCATTTACGGTCGCTTTTGAAGTTCGATACTATAACAAAGAAAAACGTACGTATGAGAAATTTGAACAGGGAAAACTTTTACAAGTTAGTTTGCTTGTAAACTTAGAAACAACTCTTCAAGCTTTTCAAGAAAAAATAAACGATATCTATCTCGAATATGCAAAACAGTACAACATTGACGAAGGAGAGTACCATCTCGATATTTTATATGACAGGAAAAATGCAACTGTTAAATTCAATAGAATAGAAGACCTTGGAGACAACGTTTATATTTCTACAAAATATAACAACTTGGCATGGTATAGATTTTTGAGGATGTTAAATCAGCCTGCAGAATATCCAGTACACCCGGACTTTTATGAAGTCGAAAACCCTAATGGAACATATGAAAATGTTTTCGACTCAGATGCTATTATAGTTCATGCTTCATTTTCTGGCGCCCAAAACTCTTTTTTATGCTTGGCAAATGACTTTTACGAAAAACCTACAAAGTTATATGAACCACCGAGTGGAAGTATTTCAGACTTTCAAGTATGGTTTACTACAGATGGAAGAAAGAGAATAATTCCATTATACCACGCGTTTTACTTAGAACTTAGTTTCATATACAACTACTATCGAACGATAAAAATATAATTTTTTAATACGGTTGAGGTGTTGGATTTGGTTGCCAACTAGACTGTGGTGCAGGTTCAGGCTGTTGTATAACAGGAGCTTGTTCTTCTGGTTCAGGGTCTTTAGGTATAATACCAACGAACTGACCTACTCTTTTACCAATATTTTTGACACCGTTCCAAATTCCTCTTCCTACGGTTTTTATTCCATTCCATATACCTCTTCCAACATTTCGAAAGAAGTTTCCTATTCTTCCAAAGAAACCCATTTTACTATATGTAAAAATCTAATGTCCGCCTAGTCTCTTACGTTTCCTGTTGAGTTCCATAGCATTCTTTAACTGGAGCTCATACATTCTGTTTCTCCTCTGGTAGAAAACATATTCTGGGTCAACTCCTGTGTTCGCGTCATCTGCATAGAGTTGTTTATATCCCACTTCAGGGTTTGTATAAAACTCTTTCCATCTCATATTTGCATACCATGGTGGCAAGCCTAACGCAGCGTCATTTGACATGGCAGTTTGCATTTGTACATCTGTTGGCACTTGACCATAGTTTGCCATTGCAGTTTGTATTCTAACTTCATTTGGAATATTCTCTGGGTTTGGTTGTCCAGGTTGCTGTGCATTCGCTAAGTTCTGTGCGTCCATTTAATATTAGATAAAAATATCTCTTACGAGTACATATACTGGACATTTGCAGGCATTGGTTCATCTTCATATTCTCTGTACTTTTCTGCCACGTCAAAGAAATAAATGACACAATGGAAAAAACCTAAAACAAGTAGTCCTATTTCAAACCACATTTACTTACTAGTAAAATTTCTTTGTTATGACACTTTCTCCGGTTTATAGGACCTCTCTCATATTCTATCTTGTCATATCTAAACTCATAGTCATGTATGTCCTCTAACCATCTCATGACACTTTCCAAACCACTTTTATCGGATGTAAAGTAAAAGCATGGATGGTTATGTAAAACGTCTAAAGTTTCTAAAGAGTCTCTCAAAGTCCAGTCTACTTGGTATTGAAAATCGTATGTGTTATAGAACGGTGGGTCTACTATAAAGAAAACATTTTCCTTGTCTTTATATTTTTCATACAACTCTGTCCAATGACATCTCACAAACTCTATACCCTCAATATATTTTTCTATGTCCTCTTTGAAAACATTTGTATAGTTAAGATATAAAACTTTTGACATAAGTGTTTCAATGTCATGAACTCTTATAGAACCACTATATAAAAGTCTAGAAGATATACTATCCCAGTCAATATACTCTGCCTTTTTCAAAACCTCTCTGACAATATTTTTCTTATCTAATGGTATACGTTCCATCTTACCTATAGGTATCTTTTCTTTCAACTCTTTCAATATTTTGTTTGTGTCTGGTATATGTTTGAGACGGTCCATATAGTTGTCGAAGTCATTGCATATAATCTTTGAGTCTGGGAATATTGTATGACATAAATGGGATATATAGAAACTTCCACCGAACAAATCTACAAATGTTAGACCATTCGGTAGTTTCTTAAGTTCTCTCAATATAATATCTTTACATTTACTCTTATTTCCAAAGAACGGTAACGGAGGTTTTGTAAAATTCATTTATATATAATAATAAAAATGTTTTTACCCGAAAAGTGACAGATGTTTTATTGTGACTTCTTCGTAAAGACTTTGTTGAGATTTCTTCGTAAATGAGTGTAAATGACCCAAAAATATATTTTAGGGTAGAAGGTTAGATATAACCTCTTTTCTAACCTCTTTTCTACCCTCTTGAATTTTCATGAATTTCTTCGTAAAGACTTTGTTAAGACTTCTTCATCTAATTTCTCATGAACTTTCTTGTCTATGTTTTGTTGAGATTTCATCGTAAAGACTTTGTTGAGATTTCTTCGTAAATGACCCTAGTAGTATATTTTTGGTGTAAATTTCATGAAAATTCAAGAGGGTAGAAAAGAGGTTAGAAAAGAGGTTATATCTAACCTTCTACCCTAAACATTATTTTTGTCTGATTTTACGAAGAAGTCTTGACAAAACATTTACGAAGAAGTCTTGACAAAACATTTACGAAGAAGTCTTGACAAAACATTTACGAAGAAGTCTTGACAAAACATTTACGAAGAAGTCTTGACAAAACATTTACGAAGAAGTCTTGACAAAACATTTACGAAGAAGTCTTGACAAAACATTTACGAAGAAGTCTTGACAAAACATTTACGAAGAAGTCTTGACAAAACATTTACGAAGAAATCTTGACAAATTCAAGAGGGTAGAAAAGAGGTTAGAAAAGAGGTTATATCTAACCTTCTACCCTAAACATTATTTTTATTGAATTCTGTATAATATTCTGAGTAATATGACAGATGTTTATATAACACTTTCTCCGGTTTATAGGACCTCTCTCATATTCTATCTTGTCATATCAAAACTCATAGTCATGTTTGTCCTCTAAGACTTCATTTATACTAAACATCTTCAGGGCTAGAAGGCACGAAGTGCCTGGAAGCCCCACTACCTTTTTTTTTTTTTTTTTTTTTTTTTTTTTTTTTGGGGAGAAGCTTCCTAAACTTTTTAATCCCATAAATATGGTCATTATCTGGAATAAAGAGTTAAGCGTCATATGTCACTTTTTGTACTAAGGAAACATCGACTTTATGCGTTATGACTTTTCGATGAGGAAACAAGTGTTCACGTATTATAAACTTCCTTATTCCAATAAACCAACCCTAAACATAATTAATTCTAAGAATGATAATGGTCTCTTTTCTATGATAACCAAATCAATTTGGTTATCATAGTAAAGCACCAAAAACAGGAATAGGAATAACCGCGTTTAAACAGGAATAGGCAATATGGAAACTAGAGAAGACTCAACTGATTTTTTAAGCAAATCTTCTTTCTGATTCAAATCTGCTTTGCTCATCATTGTATATTACTGCATTTTTATTAAGATACTTTAATGCATGATCAATGTACATCATTCTTTTAGCAATTTTTTAAATTCATTCTGCTAATTACGTTGAATTTTGTTCAAAAGATATCGTAATTCCATAATTTAATACGTAAAATGTTATTGAATAACTCTGATTATTTCTTTACATGCAAAATGAGTGTGTTCTTTTTTACATTTTTACTCATATTAGATCAAATTTAACCTGATTTTATACTATTAACACTTATTTTAGAGGGGATATACTTAAATCTCTATTGTTTTAATAAAAACTTAAAAAAAATATAAAAATTTTCAAAAATGTTAAAATATACTAGCTTTCAAAGAAAGTAAGTCATTTTATAAAGAAGACATTATATGTTTAGGAAGGAAATTCCGTGTAATAACCAAAATAGGAAAGAATATTCAATCATTATGAAAGAACTCTATTCTAACAATTTGTGAGACATATATCTTTATAGCGACATAGTTGCAATTCATGTTTTATCCCCTTTCCTTCATTGATTTTAATTAATGCATTCATTCACTGAATATGCATGCTCAAAATCGAACATTTGCCTTACTAATCAACGGACAATGAATGTTTAAAAATGATTAGTATTGAAAAGTAGCTGGAATTTCAGTGTTGTTTTGTATATTTATTCCAAGTGCAAATTTAAACAAAATATACTTATTCAAAGTGCAATGTTTACAAACAATCAATCAATAAAAGTCACATCTTTTTTTCACTGGAAAAAAAAATGATATTTTTTATAAAGATAAGTATTTAATTACAATAGTACAAATTTAATTTTTAGACTGAAGTTTATTCATTGTTACCGTTTTTAGTCTAAGTTTCTAGGAAATGAGTATTTTATTTTGCAAGATAAAGTTCTTCGATAAAATTAGCATGAAAAATCTTCTTTCGTATAAGAGTAATAATAAGTTTCCGCAAATCTTATTGAGAATAGTACGAGAATTTTGTTTGAAATTTAAATTTTGCATAAATAAAGAATGGATGCAAGAATTTTCCAATTCCATTTTGTTAGAGTTGATTCGTGATTCCATATTGTCGATTCCTATTCCTGTTTTTGGTGCTTTACTATGATAACCAAATTGATTTGGTTATCATAGAAAAGAGACCATTATCATTCTTAGAATTAATTATGTTTAGGGTTGGTTTATTGGAATAAGGAAGTTTATAATACGTGAACACTTGTTTCCTCATCGAAAAGTCATAACGCATAAAGTCGATGTTTCCTTAGTACAAAAAGTGACATATGACGCTTAACTCTTTATTCCAGATAATGACCATATTTATGGGATTAAAAAGTTTAGGAAGCTTCTCCCCAATGAATGCTTCAATTTTGCGACCATTGACTCTTTAATTATGGAAGTTTCTTGAGCTAATGAATTATTTGATAAAATTTTTTTAATAAATCTGATTTAAATCGGTAAGCTTAATGAGAAATCATTTAATTTAAGGCCAAATATGATTATTTTCATGAATTTTTCCTCAAAATTGAATAAATTTAGAAAATAAAAAATATATTTAAGAAATTTCAATAGAAAATAGAGTAATTTTTAAAGGAAGAGAATAACAAGAAGATAAAAAGATATACTGAGAAAATTACTGAAGAAAAGTTAAGTGATGATAACTTCATCTGACCAATCGTTTTCTCCGGACTTTTCTTCAGAGTCATCTGATTCTTGGAAAATAGCTGCTGCATGTTGCTCTATTGTTTGACTGTGAGACTTGTTTAACATATTTTGGATTGCATTTCTGCTTTTTGTAAGTTGATCATGAGATTCCTTAATTAATGCGAGCATTGTTTTAATACTGTTAACTGTGTTGGATGTCTTTTTGAGGAGTTCGAGCTGATTTTTATCTGCTGCTTCTTTGAGAAGTTTAATGTTTTCAACAGAAGAATTACGAACATCAGAAAAGATTACTGAGTATGGGTTTGCTAAAGCAACTATAGCTTGGGAATAATATTGATGAGTTTTTTCGAAGTTAGACATTTTTTATTTTGAATTGTCACTTTTTTGAGATAACTTCCAAATAAAAATTAGAAAATAAACATCAATAAATCAAGTCTTATTGATTTACTTTTATATTTTTATATAAAATATGAAGACTGATGATAAATAGAAATAATTTTTTACTTTCCGGATGATCCGAAGCCTCCTGTTCCTCTTGAGGTGGAATTGATATCAGCAACTTCCTCAATATCGCATACATGTAACTCTCTGATAATGATTTGGACAATACGAGCTGGAAGTTCGAGTGGTTTAGCATCTGGGCTGATTTTAGCTAATGGAACGCATAATTCTCCTCTATACTGTGCATCAATGATGCCAACACAATTAGCAACAAAATAACCTGATTTGCACAGTGAAGATCTAGCAACCATATCAACATAATAGCCATCTGGAGGACGAATAATTAGACCTGTGCCGTATAATGTAACACCTGGTCCAAAATTCTCCTTGACAACCCTGATTACACTGATGTCGTAGCCAGTGTCCAAAGGATGAGCCTTAGATGGTATAATAGCTTCTGGAACAATCTTTGATACTTGTAAGGTAGTTGGTGTCTTTCTGAGAGCAGACCAAATTCTTCCGTATTTTTGAGCGAATGTTAGAGAAATATTCTGCGTTTTTTGAATGTATTCCCATAAAGACTCTACAAGGAAAAGACCATCAGATCCATACCATAATAAATTATGGTTTTCAACAACTGGCTTGGCATTGAATGGAATTTCATTAAGTTTGCTTAAGATTTCATCTGAAACAGTTGCTGAAACTATTACTCTATGTGTGATTTTGATGTCGATTGTCTTTGCAATGGCTTCTAAATAAGGATTAGACATTAAAAATGAAATGATTTTATTTTCAGAATAAAACTTTACGTTAAACACTCACAATTTTGCTTTACACAAAAATATAATCAAAAATCAATGCTCAAAGACCAAACATAATTGAAACATCAAATATTTCCCATGAAGTCTCTTATACATAGATCAAAAATCGATCATTTTGGGACAAGGGTAGTGATATCAAATGTATGAGATAATATAACATTATGTGTTTTGTTTATCAAAAAAATCATGTTTGTTAATTTTGAAAATGTTTTTAGCATGTCAGGCGTACTTTTACATCAAAATAAAAACACATAAGAAAGATTTACTTATTTGATATGTAAAGTAGCCACGCTGAGCAACATTCTGATATTTACAAACATCTGGATATATAAATTCACAAACAGACGACTCACATTGATAATTTGTATCAATTGGAGTTCTTCCCATGAATTTGGGTAATTTATATTGTGGAGTAACGTGGATATTAAAAATAGAATGTCCAAGTATTGATAAATATAGATCACATCCATGGATGGATAAAAAAATGAAATGGTAAAATGTCATTTTTTACATTTTCCAGCCGATTACTAGTTAAATTTGACATAGTCAATAATAAGTATGAGTTAAAAACGTCATGTTAATGTCCAAAACTAAGGTTTTATTTTTCAATATACCAAAATCATCAGCAAAAAGAGATATCTCAAGGATTTGATATGATAAATAGCAATTATATGATTTTCTTATTACAAATGGCACAAAAGGAAGAGATATTGTCTCAAGAGAAAGATTTTTGGCTTCTGGACGATAGAAGATTTTCAAAAAATGGCGGAGAACGTTGAAGCGCGTCTTGAGCAGTTTATTCCGGGATTTGAGCAACTCAAGCAGCTCCATCTGTTCAGCGATCACGATATCAAGACAATTATCAAAAAAAGAAGAGCATTCGAGTACGCATTAACAAGTCGCTCCGTTACACCCGACAAGTTTTTAGAATATATTCAATTTGAAGCCGCTTTCCTTGAGATTAACGAGAAAAGAAAAGAACAAAATGGTATTGACCCTAATGTTACACGTCTTTTAATCGATGTTGATCTTCCGAAGCATATTCATTCAATTTATCGCAGAGCATTAGGCACATTCCCAGACAACATGAAGTTATGGGAACTTTACTTCGACTTTTGCGAAAATAGAGGCGATATTAAGTCACTTCATTTTGCATTTGACGATTGCATCAAGAGACATGCAAATAAACCAGAAATATGGATACGTGCAGCACGTTGGGAGATGACAGTTAACAATAACGTCGAACTTGCAATGAAATACATGGAACAATCTGTTACAGTGAATCCAGAAGTTCCTGAACTCTATGCAGTGTATGCAGAGACAACAATCTTCCAAGCACAGCAAATTCAGCAGCGTAGAGAGGTCCAATCGATGGAAGCAACTTCAGATATTCTCAAAGCCCCTCTTGCCATATTTGATGCAGCATTGAAGAAGGCCAAGCCATTAGTTGAAGTTTTCAAGCATTTTAATACGATTTTCAAAAACTATAACCTCGATAATAAAGATTTAATCGAAATGGCTTCATCTCAAGCCGATCCAGAGCTTTTAGCCGAGATAGCAGGTGCCAGTGAGAAACCAGAAGAAACATTCAACGAATACTTACAGAAATATCCATCAGAAGATCTTAAAATTTATTATGCGAAATACTTAGCTCGTAACAAGAAAGGAAAGGAGCTTGTAGCATTACTAGACCAAATAGATGATTACACCACCGAAGAAGCCGAGTTTTTCTGCAAATGTCTCCTTGATTGTGGAATTGTTGACGATGCCGATGATTTCTTGACCGGAACACTCGAAACAAACGAGTTAAAGATCTGTAAGCTCAGAGTTATCGATGCCAGATCCTCATCACCCGAATCATTCAAAGAATCCGCGAAACAATTCATCAACAAACATCCGGAATCGAAGAAACTTCTAAATAACGTATTCCTATTTTACTTGGCCAAGAAAAATCCCAGTTTTGGCTTCTGGTTTACAACGGTTTCGGAAATTTCCTCCCAAGTTGACCCTGATGAGCTTTCTAAGTCATTAATGTTCACGAGAGCCAAGTTCGGATTGGAGAATACTGATAAACTGATCCAGAAGATACTCCCTGTCGTTGTTCCTTCCCCTGTTTTCATTGAAACATGTGTCAAAATATTAGATGAAATTTTTTCAACGGATCCGAAGGTTGAATCGAGAATTAGACAATTACACGAGACCGCTGTAATGAAGTTTGGTCGCGAAAATCCAAAAGTATGGATAGATTTCTGTGGATTTGAATCAAAACTTCGAAATTGGAAGAAATTAGAGGAAATTAGAAAGAGAGCTGCTCGTATGTTGGATGATTCTTCTGAGTTTTCCAGATTGTATCAGGAAAAGTTCTGCAAAGTTCAAAATTAATTTTTTTTTGTGAAATTTTATAGATTTTTTTATAAAGTAATAAAATTTAGAGTTTTAAAACATTTAAATTTAGAATGTAAAATAGCTCTCGTGTAACAAATAAAAGAGGAATTTTATAATATAAAAAAGTTTGTAATTTTCGCAATTTTAGCAGCAGCCCTTCTTTCCGACAGACTGGCCAGGTCTAAGTGTCCATTGGTCAAGTTCTTGGTCGCGTGGAGATTGAAGTCCGAACTTTCTTGAAACAGCTTGGCACATTTGAATGAATAACTGTTGGATATTGTTTGCTGTCTTAGCAGAGGTCTCGATGAATGGAACGCCAAGAGAATCAGCGAATGCTTGGCCTTCATCACGACGAACAGCGCGTTTATCGCTTAAATCGGTTTTATTTCCTACAATTATGCGGCATACTTGCTTGTTTGCGAGTCTGTCAACATCTGATACCCATTTGCGTAAATTTTCAAATGATTTGCGATCGGTTATGTCATAAACTAATGCAATGGCGTGAGATCCATGATAATAGTTAGAAACGATTGATTGGAAACGCTCCTGTCCGGCGGTATCCCAGATTTGGAGTTTTACTTGCTTTCCATCAACATCTAAAGTACGAATTTTGAAGTCGACGCCAATTGTTGAGACATAATTGTCACTAAATGTCTGATCGGAAAACTGGAGAAGAATAGAGCTTTTGCCAACTGCAGAATCGCCGATGATAAGGATTTTATACAGTAAATCGAACTCACTCGAAGTCATTTGATGACAAAACCGCCAGATGCTCGGTCAATATTCTTATCAAATAAATTTGTATTGTTAACCTATGTGTAATATATTCGGATGGAGAAAACGTGAAAGTGACATTTTATATAAAATTTTTCAAACCGATATAAGAAATTTGTTTTTGATGGTATTAATAAAGTACATCTACTTTAAAGTGTCCATAATTTTATCCTGAATCGAAATCTTATCTAAATTTTATGGAAGAATTTTAAAACTATGTTTTTTGATGCCTTCTATGAGTTCTATATATTACAATCGTCCATTGATGGCATAATATTTCATGTTGCAATAGAATTTTCAATTACCCAGATTTTCCTTACTTTTACCACTCCCCATGTAATTTCTGGGGAAAACGATAATTCATTTTTTTTATGGATGAATAGATCGTTTTCCTTGAAAGGACCTCATATCTCTGGCTAAAAAGAGTGTCAGATCCTAAATAGATTATTGATCTAGTGTACAAATCCAATAAAAAGCCTATTTTTTTGGCTTTTTTGGTGCTCATTTTTTCGAAGATCTACATGAATATGGGGAAACCATCGGATTTTTTTGGTTAACCCACATCTTCATGTAGTCTGGACTATCTTTCCTCGAAGGACCTCTTTACGGGTGTAAAAACTCATAAAGTTCTCAAAAGATTCATTCTCGATCTCCATGCTGAAAGAATTTACAATAAAAAAGAGATCTACGCATCAAACTATAGCCATAAATGAACTGAACCCCTAAAGCTCAGCTCTTAGTTTATCAAAAACGTCGAAATCCTTCTCATTGCAATCAAATTTTCTCAATAACTCATAAGAAAAATCGAATTTTGATTAAGCCGATGTTATAGGTATCACAAATACTACAAACTTGAGCAATATCGAAATTGCCAGCAAAAGTTTGAAATTGCATTGCTCATATTTGTTTTGTAAACTAAAAATCTGCTTATATTATTCATTAATTTTTTATATATTATTCATATACTTTAATAAAAACAATACTATTTCACCTTAAAAATGAATTTCATAAGTCAATATTATTTTTTTGAAAATGTATCAATTTTCGATTAAAACAACATGAGAATAAAATTTACGCAAAATTATTTTAAAAAATGGTTTTAAAAATTTCCAATTGATTAAGAATAAGATTGCAAGAAGTTTTGAAGTTTAATTTTAAGAAAAAAAATTCGGATATTATTCATGGATCTAAGTAATCTGATATTTGAGTATCGGCACTATGCATAAAACATATATTTATAGTTTTTTTGGATTTTTATGATTTTAAATATATTCAAATTTGGCAATCCAATAGATTTTTAAAAAATAGGTAAATAAAAATAGATTACATATGCAGCAGATTTAGAACATGAAACAAATCTTATAGTGACCCAAAAAAAAATTCATGATCCAAAAAAGAAAAAAATTGGTTAAATGGGAATCAAACCTTGGCATAATGAATCATTATGTCGGATGTTTCCACTACACTACACCAGCAGTTCCAAAAATACCCTTGGTGGTTATATTTAATAGCTACTCCCAACGATAGGCGGTGTCCCCAGCTTTAGAGAGGTGGTAAAAGTAAGGAAAATCTGGGTAATAAATTTTGAAGAATATATCTGGGTTACCAACCCTAAATATTTAACTACTTCGCCTAGTCTCCACATATAGTTATCTATTTCAAATAAAATACTTCGAAATATTGGAGTTCTTGTCAAAACAAGAATTTATTCCGAAATTTATTATATTTCATAAAATCGAAGCAATATATTCGTTGATTAGTATATTTTGTAAAGTTAATACGTTAGAAAAATGAGCAAAGGTATTACTCTGAATTTCGAATACATTGGTGCCCACATCAGTGAATATATTCAAAATGATAATTTCTTTGATACATTCGATCTCAAAGACATCAAAACAATCATGAAACATTCAAAATTAACTACAACACAGTTTATTTCTCTTCTCAAACAATCTTCATCAACTCTTAATTCTAGTAAATTATACAGGTGTACACGAAATGCGAATGTTACTATCCAAAACATCGACGACGTCATTTCAGTTCTTGAATCAGTCAAAAAATACATGAAAATGAATATATTTGATGGTATCATTGATTTTTTGAAGTTAACAGATAACGAACTGCGTAATTCTCCCAAAGAAATCAAAAAGCTTCAAGAACAAATTCAAGGTTTTCAAAATGAAAAGAAACATGCACAAGAAAACAGCAAATATCCTCAAGATTTTTTAACTAAAATCTCATCACTAAAAAAATCTGATGATTTTGATAGTGTTTACAAATTCTTTGAACAACTTTGTTCACAATGCAATCGAGATATGATTTCGAAAACATGTGAGGAAGGACTTTGGGAAAAGACAACAGAATATGGAAGGAATGTTCTTCATGTTGGTTGTGAAAAAGGAAATCTTCAACTTGTCAAATCACTTGTCGAATGTGGTTGCAATAAAGAAACAAAGACTAATGATGGAAATACTCCACTCATTCAAGCATCATATTATGGTCATCTTGAAGTTGTTAAATATCTTATCTCTAATGGAGCTAATAAAGAAGCACAGGCTAAATATGGATTTACTCCATTCATTTGGGCATCACATAATGGTCATCTTGCAGTTGTTAAATATCTCATCTCAGTTGGAGCTAATAAAGAAGCAAAGATTAGTGATGGATGTACTTCATTCTTTTATGCATCATGTTTAGGTCATCTTGAAGTTGTTAAATATCTTATCTCTATTGGAGCTGATATAGAAATAAAGACTAATTCTGGATATACTCCACTCATTGGCGCATCCAATAGTGGTAAACTTGAAGTTGTTAAATATCTTATCTCAATTGGAGCTGATAAAGAAGCAAAGACTGATAAAGGATATACTCCACTCTATTGCGCATCTCATTTAGGTTATTCTGAAGTTGTTAAATATCTTATCTCAATTGGAGCTAATATAGAAGCAAAGGATAATGATGGCTAGACTCCACTCATTAGAGCATCATATCAAGGTCATATTACAATTGTTCAATATCTTGTCTCAGCTGGAGCTAATATAGAAGCAAAGGATAAAGATGGATATACTCCACTCATTAGAGCAACAGATACTTTATATCTTTCTAGCATTGGAGTTGTTCAATTTCTTATCTCATCTGGAGCTAATAAAGAAGCAAAAACTAATGATGGAAAAACAGCTCTTTCAGTTGCAAAAAAGCAAAGTATAAGAGATTATTTGATTTCTATTGGATCCAAGTAATAAAATCGGAATCTAATGGAGTATTGCAATAACTTAATATAAAATTAATTAGAATTGAATAAATTGTCATTTTATATTGAATAATAAGGTCGTCAAAAAAAATATTTAGCCATTAAGGATGCCCTTACATTCCATAAAAATACTTGAAATATATGATCATTATCGTGGTAAAACTTTGGGGCTCTAGATCGCTTTCTATGTAGAGTATTCAAAAGTGTTAAAATTTAAAAATAGAATAATATTTTCACTGATTTCTACTAAAATAAACTTTAGTTGCAAGTAAATATTATTATTTCACAATAATAATGAAATTTTCTCTACTTACACTAGAATACACAGCAATTTTTTGGATTGCCGTTTACAATTTCCAATCAAAGCAAGATATGGGACACAGCAATGTCTTAAGTTAACTATGTTGTTCGACCTAGTTTATGCACCATATCGTAAAACCGTGTACCAAAAATCCAGAGATTTCTCCATGAATTGTGAGATCAATATGCAATCAAACTTATATTTCTAAAATAATCATGTTGATACCAATGAATTCATGTTAAATTATAAAACCTTGTATTTCATTGGTGAAAAATTAATATATTTGATTGATAAAATTTTAAAAACTCATCGGAAAAAAAGATTGGATGAAACTCATATTATATACTATATACACATTTCAAATATGCAAAAAAATATGATGGTAAGTCTGTCGCGTTTTTTCAAAAAAATCCAGAGGTCGGAATAATAGTTATTGTTTACTAGCATTGATGCCAGAATTTTTTCGCATGCAAATTTTATGTGGTTTGCATACTGTTGAATAAACCTATATTTTTATAAAATTAGATTTTTTAATTTCTTCATATTAGATCTTTTTTAAAATATCGTTCGGTCAGGCTTTTATCCAAAAAGGAATGACTCTACTCAAATATTTGAACAATTCCTGATGTTACATGTTCTTGAGTTATATCATTTATAAAATTGAGAGGAAAATCAAAAAAATTGAATTAGGTTCATTCAATTTTTCTATTCTAATAACTTCATGAATATTCATTTTGTATCCGCATAATCAATATGGTAGAATATCATTGGAATTTAAAAAATTGTGACGGATGATATTTTGATTATGTGCTATTTTGGCCGTAAATCAAATCTGATTATCGCGAAAAACAATTATTATTCAGAAATATTATTAGAGTTAGTAGCTTATAAAAAATTAATATATATGGCAGAATACTAGATTCTAGATTTAAGTATATCAAAAGTTTTACATGCACAAAAAATCTGACATGGTGAGGGCATCCTTAAATTATTAAACTAGAAATCATATTCTTCGAGTGTAAACATTTTAACACTCACAAACTTTTAGAAACAGGTGCATAGAATATGAATTCAAGTTAATTTTTCTCACAAATTTGAAATTAATATAGACATGTGTAAGTTCTTGTCAGTACCTGAGATAACGATTAATAATTAATGGAATGGTATTTCCAACTATTTTTCTTTTGTGAGGATTTTCAAGATTGTCACTTTTCAGAAATGCCTGGAAAGAAAGTACTCACAAAATCAGTAGTTAGGCGAATAGCTGAATATACATTTGTAGTAGTATTTTCTGCCTGTATCACCTTAATCATAATGAGTTTCAAATCACGTAATTTTTCCAAAATAATTAATTTTTCTAAAGGAAAAGTAATAAATCCGAGCTTTGAAGATAGCGAAGAGAATAAAAAAATAGTCGAATATGCGAAAATAGCATTTAATACTTATGCAAAACATTGTTCAGATGCAGATGAAATTTATTTAGAAACTCACAAGTGTAAAAGATCAGATGGATTCGTTTCAACAGCTGTGCAATCACTAGAAACTCTATATTTATTGAAATTGAATCCAGAATTCAAGAAGGCAAAAAGTATCGTACTAGAGCATTTACAACCAAAGAAAATCGGTTGGGTAAACAGAGCACAGTTCTGGAACAAATGTATTGGAAGTTTAATCGGCGCATTTAGGTTATCTCAAGATTCCGACTTAATTCACTTAGCTTTCACGCTTGCAGACTCTGTTATAGATTTACAAACATCCAAGCTACCAATGCATATCAATATTGCAAAGCATCAGTCATCAAATGCAGAATGGCTGAATAGCTCAGTTCCAATTTCAGAAGTACTTGCAGGAGTGCCAGAACTATTGACACTCTATGCAATTAGCGGTCAAGATAAATACAAAAAAGCAGCTGATCATATAATCGCGAAAATTTCAAAGATAAGCGAAACTCCACTTCATTACGTTCATTTTAGAACTTTCCAACCAGTTGAGATAGGTACTATATTTAAGATTGATGGAAATATTCTTGATTATTACAATAATCTTGCAATTTTGAGCGGAATTACAGAAAACGAAAAAATTAAAGAGAAATTAGAGTCAATAAATTCAAATATTAATGAGGTTTATTCAAAAGAACTGACTTTCGATCATTTATTTACAAAACAATTATATTCAAGGATTGGTATTGCTTTAATGTTCTCTGGCCACTTAGATGTTAAATCTAACTTTTATTTCGGCCAAACAATTCGTGAAAATTGGAGAACTATTACAGATTTCAGATTCAGAGGAAATCCTCTCAGAGCATTACTAGAACATGATCAAACAGAGTTCAATAAAGTTGTTAATCATGTACTGAACTATACTAAGCTAAATGATGGCTTCACTGGTCAATTATACACAAATAAGAAGAGATGGGTCAAAAGTGGGGTCCAAAACGCAGAATTTTTGGGAGAATGGCTAAAAGTTGTTGCTGAAAACATGAATCACAATGATGAGATTACATCTGCGGCCAAAAATGTCAATGGACACATCCTTCGCATTGATAACTTATAATTATTTGTTGTTTTATTTTAAAAATATATACTATTTCTTATTTGTATATTTTTAATAGTCTGAACTTACAATTTTCCAATAATCTCTTAAATTTTTTTGATATCCATAAGTTTATGCTTTGTTATTAATGATGTACTTATAACGTACGGACACTACCTCAATTACACAACCTTCCGACAATACGAAACAAAATGATTAAATTTCGACAAAATCACTAAATGGATTACTCGCGATAGTTTCCAATTTGAGCAATAAATAATGTTCTGCTAGTAAATTCTTTCATTTCTGGCATACCGCTCAGAAGATCGCAATCAGCAACAATATGAAAAAATACAAAGTGTTTATCTTTTCATGGAACTATATTTAAGGTCACAAATGCATATTTTATTAGTAAAAATAGTATCTAGAGACTTATTCAGTAATTCAAAAAAAATTAGGAAATATCATTAAAATGCTCTCAATCCATGAGTTCAATTCTATGATATGCATGTATTTTTCATAAAAAAGGAATGCAAAAAAAATATTATAATTTTGAAATTAGTAGTAGGATATGACGGGTTTAGTGACTTTTTTTGTTACATCTATATATAGACGATGCATTAAAATATATTTATTTATAAATCATTAAAAAATTAACATTAATTTTAAAATAATTTATTTTTTTATCTTTTATAAAAGAAGCTATATATAGATGATGTCAGATATTCCGCGATTAATTAAACATTGTTTAAATCCTGAATGGGTTAAACTTCAATTTAAAAATGAAGATTGTGAATTATTAAATGAATATGAAAGCCAAAATAAGCTAATGAGGTATAAATATAATGATAAAGAATATTTAATTTCATGGAATCAATGGAGTCATAATCAAAGACCTCATAAACGAGAAGAAGAAATTGAAAATAATGAAATGGAAATCATTGATGACATTAAAGAGGATGGAATTCCTAAATTTTGTAGAAAAACCTTTAGAACTAAGTTAGGAGCATATAAACGTAGAGTATTAAATCCTGAATATCTTAAACATCAATTTAAAAAGGAAGACTGTGAATTATTAAACGTTAATGAATATGAAAATGCTAAATCAAAACTGAGATATAAATATATTGGAAGTGATGAAAGGTGTAAAGATAAAGATAAAGTTTATTCAGTTTCATATAATAACTGGCACACGTTAGGGATAAGAAAACATTTAGGAGATTATGGGAAATGTTCTGAATTCTTTAAATCTAGTATGTACGAGAGAGTAAAAGAAATTAGAAATAATTATTTTCATGAATAAAAGATTCACTACCATAATGAAATAAAAAATAAAAAAATTTTAAAAAAATAAACTTCTTACGAAAAATTAAAACTTAGTTATGTTTATTATTTTATTTTTTTATTTTGTATGAAATGAGCGTCAAAACTAACAACGTTAAAAAATTAGGATTCACAAACGAGGAAATAAAGGATATATTAGAGGAGGTGGGTTATGAAGTTAATAAATATTATTTAAGAAATTGTCAAAAATTTGCCGAGTTATTAAATGATTTAGATTATGATGGAAAAATGAATAAAGATGATGTTATAAATTTCTTATATCCTACATCTGAAGAAGAAAAACCTAAAGAACCTGATGTTTTCCCTGAATATTATGAAGAACAGATTAAAGATGATGAATACAATGAAATTGAAAGACTGAAAAAAATAAGAGATGAAATAGATGAAAGAATTAAGGAATTAAGAGAAGTTGAAAAATATAATGAAAATGAAGTAGAGGGTTTAATGAATATCCCAGCTTCAGAATCAGCAGTTCAGAAATCTCATGAAGAAAGATATAAAAATTATGTCTCAGAATCAACACAAAATTTATTAGATGGTGAAATAGACGAAACACTTTCAGAAGAAGGTACTAAATTTATACGTAAACATAAGTTACAATTTATTGATAATGAAGAATACCCTTGTATCTTACTTTCACCCCTTTAGATTCGAAAATTCAAAAAAGCTCTTAAAAACGTGACATATGCAACTAATACGATTAAGAAAGAAGATCATGATATTTACACAAATTATTATTTAAATAAATGCACAGGTGTTGATAAAGTTTTTGATTTATTAGATAAAATATCAAAAGAAACCATTGGAACATATAAAATTTTATGTGATTGCGGTTTCATTGTTGAAGATACTAATAATGTTTCATATGAAAGAACAGCACCGAAGGAAGATGAAGTGAAAGGTCTATACCATTCGTTATTAAGAACATAAAAGATATGAAAACTTATAAACATTATATTTATTCATTTATTTCAGAAAAAATGGAAGCAACCCATAAAACATCTTCTCATCATTTTATAGCTATTCATACATTCCTTTTCAAAGTTGTGAAATTAAATAAGACAGGAATTAGATTTAATGTATCAGGGTACGCATTCTTGAGTAAATTAAAATGTATTCGTCACGTCGCAGATGATAAAAATTTATGTGTTCTTAATTCATTTTATGGGCTTTAAAAAATAAACTTTATTTTTATTTATTTTTTAATTTTTTATTCTTACATAAATGAACAAAAACGGAACAGCTAAAATGAATGATAATCAAATTAGAGCAGAAGGTAGAAGGTTATTTAAACGCTTCTATAACATTCCTGATGGTGTTAATCCTAAAACTCGTAGAAGCTATTTAAATGAAGCAATAGATGCATATGAAGGGTTTGACATTTCATCAGAAAGTGAGAGATTAGCGAGAATGTTAAATGTTAATATTGATTTCTATTATTGTGATCCTCAACCAGAAGACGTGGACATAAATAAGGTAGACTTTCCATTAGTGGAATCAATAATGATAGATCCAGAATTTGAAACAGTAAATATTTTATTAACACAGAGTCCATGTGGAAAACTTCACGCTGACAGAATAACAGACGTTGAAGCACTCACCGGCTATAAAGTTTGTCCATATTGTAAAGAAGAAGTTTATTCTATCCGTGATGATCCAGAAAGGAAAAACCAAAGAAGATTTTTAAAGCATTGTGAGAAATGTAAAGAAAATAATGGAAGATTAATTCAAGACGTTCAATTGCAAAAGACACAGCAACCATATGCACCACATATTACGAAACAGAAGATATATCAGTGGTTATTAGCTCACAATTTGCAGAAATATTATAAACCGACAAGATATTATATTACTTTTGACTTTGAAACATTAGAGACTAAAGAAGAATTACAACTTTCTGAGTGTGCAACTTTGAACGCTTACTTAAAACCATTCATGGTATCATCAACGGTTAAATTAAATGATAAAACATATACGAGGAATTTTTGCTTAACTTCGAGTGATTCTTTTATTTCTGATTGGATTGAGTTTTTATTTTCAACCTGTTCATTAGTTGTTGAATCAAATATGAGTCAATATGAATGAATTAATGAAGCCGCAAACGGCGGGGACTTTGTCCCATACATTAAATGAAAAACAGAAGGAAGCATTTAAAGAACTTCTAGATGAGGAATTCAATAAAGTGAATATCATAGGTTTTAATTCGGGAAAGTTTGATTTAAATTTAATTCTTCGTGATTTAAACACTGCAAAATGGAAAATAAAATCAATGCTGGGTTCATCTTCACAATTTAAGCAAATCATTGTAAAGAAAACAAACGTTCCATATGAATTGAGATTTATTGACATCAGAAATTATATAGCGGGTGGGACATTAGACCAATTCACTCAAGATTTCGGAAACAATAAATCACGTGTTAAATCCTTTTTCCCTTATCAATTCATCATGGGAAATTACGAAGAAGAATTATATAAAGAGGAACCATTCACAAGATTCATTTTATTCAGCATTAACTCAAGAAACTATATCAGATAGTGATTATCAAATATATCTCAATGATGCTAAAAATTTTAAGAATAGATTAGAATATTTTATTCATTATTGCAATAAAGATGTTGAAATTATGATTGACCCAATCGATAAAATTATTGAAGAAACATTTGTTTATAAAATTGATATGCTTCATAATCTTTCTTTATCATCGAATGCTTCAATGATTCGTTACGCTTTAGCATATAAAGACTTTAATCCTAATGAAAAATATCCTGAGGAAGAGATAGAATCAAGTTTTGAATTAACGAAAAAGTATTGGAAATATAAAATTGAATCATATAAGAAACAAGATGAAAAAGCAGAAAGGGATACTAAAAATAATGTTTCAATGGATGATTTTCAATACTATCACGATTTAATCCTTTCATCTAAATGCAAAATGTGTGGTAAAGCGTTTACATATGCTAATAAACCAACATTAGATAGAATCGATAATGAAAAACCACATACAAAGAAAATTGTCAGTTAATGTGTTGTTATTGCAATGTCGTAAAATCAAATAAAGATGAAGATGTTCAACGTTTAAGAATCAATTTAAGAAATTATGCATTAAAAAATAATTTACCAATGACTTTAGATTCAGTTGAAGCTTATCACATTCTCCGTAATGGAATTACTGGTGGTTTATCAAATGTTCAACATAGAGTAATCTTAAAGGAATCACGCACATTAATAAACTTTCATATAGTCCAGAAACTAAAACTGTATCAAATGAGGACACCACCAACATCATGACTCATTTCGTTGGTGTTGATTTTAATTCATTATATCCTTCATCATTTTCATCTAATCCTCATGATTTCATTCAATATACTGACCATAAAATGTATATGCCGGGAAGATTGAATGGTGTTATCATTTGTGATACAGCAACAAAGAAAGCAAAAGCACTGGGAATAATTAAGAAGAAAAATACTTTATTCGTGGCTGAAGTAAAGGGTCACATTGATGAAAAATACATTAATGATTACATAAACTTTTTACCGATAATAAGAAACTTAGATATTATCACAGATGAAAAAACAATTGGCAGTTTTATGTATAATTACATGAAATCAAACAATCTACCAGTTGACCAGAAACAGAGGAAATTAACTCAGTTAGCATCAACACACAACCAATATCAACCATTTTCTTCTTATTATCTTTGGTATCTAATAGACAGATTTCATTTTATCATCGATGATATTCAATCAATTTTAACATTTACGAAAAACACTTGTTTTAATGAATTTGCGAACGAATTTATGAACGAAAGACAAAAGGCTGAATTAGAAGGAAATAAAGGAAAAAGTTTATTTTGCAAGATTTCACTTAATGGATCATATGGTTACGATGCAATGAATACACAAAATTACGCAAAGACTAAAATAATGAATGCACAGAAGGCACGCGTTGCATGTATGTCAAATAAGTTTAAAAACATAAGAGAAATAGGTGAGATACATATCAAGTGATGCTTAAAGATAGATTTTATAGATGTGATACATGTTTACAAGAGGCATTCTTCACTTTAGATAACGCTAAATACTGGTATTTAGTTTTCATTTATGATTTTATGTATAAATGCATGATGTTAATCGTTTTCATTTCATTGAAGGTGATACTGATTCATCTTATTGGGCAATCGCTGGCGACCCAAATCTTCCTAACACTCAAGCATTTCAAGCAATTGTTACCGATAAACAATTTTATGATAAAAACATTTTCAAATTCGCACCATTTGATTTCTTCTGTTTTGATGAGAAATTTAAACCTAAATTAAAGAATAAAGCTGAAGAAAAAGCACATGAGAAGAAGTTATTGGGTTTAGCAATTGAGAAACAAGGTGATAACATGGTTGCTTTATGCCCTAAGTGTTATACATCATTCAACGGTTCAATTGATGGAAGTGATTTTAAAAAGATTGCACAAAAAATGAAAGGTGTTAGTTTACGACAAAATAAACAATTAACACCTAAAAATTATTTGGATATAATAAATGATAAAGTTATTTTGATGGTCAGAATATTAATTTACAACTTAAAAACGGGTCAATGACTCGCTTAACAATCGGTAAGACTGCATTAACAGGAGCACACACTAAGGCTGTATGTTGTGAAAATGGATGTTGTATGCCATTTATTTAATACAATTTAAAATTTTATTTTTAATAAAATGCCACAGAAGAGACAAAAGGAACCGAATAGATTTATACCAAATGGTTTTAACTTTCAGATTCCAAATAATCAACCACAACGAATTTTTCAAATCCCACCACAGCATCAACAGCCGCAACAACAACCACCACCACAGCATCAACGGAGAAGAACATTCACCCCTGAAGAAAGAAATTTCAATAATTTGATGCGTCAACAAAATCAAGGTTTGAGATTTTATCCGGGTAGTAATGGTATACATATAAGGCATCCAAATTTAGATAGAAGATATACCGCTGAGATTCATATTTTACCTAATAATACGGTTAATTTTGCTGGATTTTATGATCATCATCAGGAAATCTGGACTCCACCATTTGATACCGTTTTAGAAGGAGGAACCGTTAATGATGCGATTCAATATGTAAATAATGGTTTTGATACTATGATTCAAAGAGGTGGGCACCCTTAAAACATTTATTTTATTTTTATATAAATGGATAACGCAGATTTAGAAAATTTAATTGATGATTTAGTACTTAATCAAAATTTTCTTAATTATTATGAATTAAAATCATATCTCCAAAAACATAATAAAAATATAACGGGTGATGATATGGATTATTATTATTCATATTATAAAAATGAAATTTTGAAATATCATGATAAAATAATTTCTGAAATTAAAGACAAAATTAAAAATAATGAATATACAAAGGGAAAAACTAAATCACAACTTAAACAGTTGAAAGATTTCAAAAATAAAGTATTAACAGAAGAAGATATTGATGAATTATATAAATTATATAATCCTGAGCCGCAAAAGCCAAAGGAAACAAAAACAAAAGAAGAAAAAGCCGACCAAAAGAGAAAGTAGCAAATGTTCAACAGCTAAAGGTGCAAAACGCCCAGGTCCTTCAGACCATAAATGAAGCACAAGCTTTAATTTATGATTCATTAGTTAAACCATATTCAGCCCGACTTTTAAATGAAGATCAACTTTTGGAATTCATCCTTCAACATAAACTCGAAGCGGGAAAGTATATCAAACCTTTATATACAGCATATTTAAAACAAATGAATAGAATACATCCAGAATTAATGAAAGGAAAAATCCAAAACTTCATCATCCAAAATCAAAGCAGATAAAATTAAACCACTTGCAACACCAAAACCTCCAACGTAGTACCTCCTCCTTCAGTTAATCCTTCATCATTCACTTTATTATATCCATTTCAAACATTAAAGAAGCAAAAAGATTTTAAAAAGGATTTCAAGATATTAAATAAACCAATTGACCCGAAAATTCAACCGTTAAAGGAAAAATTTAGTCGCCCTTCATTTGCACCATATCCATATTCATACGAAATCGATCATCTGGAATATTCAAAAGGAAACGTTACTTATTTATTTGCCATTAACATTAACACTAGATATTTATATTGCATTCCAGTGAAAGGGAAAACAGAACAGGAAACAAGAAGAGCTATTCAATACTTACTAGATCATGAAAGAGTAGATAATATAAGGGGTGATGGTGATAAAGGATTTCAGGCAGCTATGGCTCATTATTTCCCACAAATTAATTTTTACTTCTCATCTTCTCCATATACGTTTCATAATAAAATAGTTGATGCGGTAATGAGAACTCTTAGAGATGCGTTAGGGGTTAACGGTCAGATATACTGGGATGGAAATCATGACTCCATCATACAGCAGTTAGTATATTATTACAATAATACATGGCATAGAACTATAAACATGAAACCAGTGGAAATGAAAAATGATATTTCAAAAGAATGGGAATATATTAGAAAGCAAATGGAAAGGTTAAATGATGTTAAACGTGAACAAATTAATTCGGGGCTCATGAATTTTAAACAAGGGGATAAAGTTTTGATTCATCTCGATTATGGAAAAACTGATAAATCAATGACAAAAAGAAGACGAAGATTTGACACAATAGCTGAATTTGTTAGATATATTAACGGCAATGCATTAGTTGAAGTTGACAATAAATTAATAGAAATTCCGATTTATTTTATTACTCCATTATATTTAAATAATATTTAATTTTTTTATTTCGTAAGAAATGAGTGACAACAAAGCAGCCAAGAGTCCTGATTCAATTAAGATTCAGAGTCCAGACGATGAATATAAAAAGAAACTAAACAGAATTAAATCAAAAATATGCTATTACAAAAAGAAGCTGCAATGCTGCGGGGCTGATGCCCATAAAACTAAAGTAATTGAAAACGATAAAGAGAGGAAAGAAATAATCGAAAAATTAGAAACTTACCGTTCAATCCTTAAACTGAGTGAAGCAAAAATAAAAGAATTTAATAGAATAAATAAATTGATTGGAAGAGATGAATTTAATAAAGATGAATTTTTAAACTCAATCCAAATTTAATTTTTATTCCTCTTCGACAACGTCTCTTCGAGACGCCGAACCCTTCTGGGTTCTTCTTTCCATCATTACTGCATAACCTCATCTTCTCGGTTTTCGTGGTTTGTTGTTTTTAATTCGTTCTTGCATCATTTTTATCATTTCCTCCCTTGTTATGATTCGTGGTAAATTTTGAGCTTGTGGGGTATCCATTTATATAAAAATAAAATTTTGTTATCAGTTATTTTATCATCATTTTATTAAGTTCATCTTTAGTTAATTTGAATGGATTCGCTAATGTTCCACCTTGAGCCACAACACTTGCCCCGGCTAATTGTGAAGAACCTGGGATAAGTACTCCATGAAATGATTTCATTGGTATCATTAATTTAGAAATAGTTGGCTTAATTAATTTTGTCATTTATGATAAAAATAAAATTGCATAATTTAAATTTTTTTCTTTCTCATTTTCTCATTTTTCTCTTTTTTCATCCTGTTTTGGTTTCAGCAACTTTTCAAGTTGTTGTCAGTAACTTTAATTTTAACTTCGGATCAAATATTGGGTTTCCATCTTTATCTCTTCCAATAACACCATATGGTAGAATCTTCATTTATACTAAAATAAAAATTTAAATTATGCCGTTCTAAAGTTTGTGAAACAAACATTGAGCGTTCATTGAACGCGAAACCATGCATAAACTGTCATATAAGGTGGCATGTAATCTGTACCTCTTCCTGTCGTTTGTGTATATCCTGAAACGTTATGTGAATGTGTACCTGAACCGTTTGAAGTATATCCTTCATTCCATCTATTTTTATTACCATACCAATATTTACCCCTGCTAGCGTCTCTATCAGACCATCCATCAAGAAATCCATTATTTCCATCAGGATATTCAAACGAATTAGTATAAGTATGACTATGCCAGCCCGAGTCTTGAGTGTTTAAATTAACATAATGACTATGAGCAGGTAAATTTTCGCCAGTAATCTTTTTACTTCCACCGGTTTGTTGCCATGTACCGAAACCGAATACATCAGCTGGATTTGTTGAATTCATTGATGTATATATTGAACCAATGGGGTAAATCATCTCAAGAATTGTATTTAATCCATTATGAATATTGAATTTATTATATAATATTGAAACTGGGTAAGAAATTAAAATTGGTCTTGTCATCAATATTAACGTATTATTTTTGAAAATTGCTTTTCTAACATCTTGAAATTTTGTGATTTCAGACCAATTTCTTCCATCACTACTGATATTTACTAAATCACCACATCCAAAAGCAATGAAATACCCATCAATATAAAATAAATTTGTAAATCTATAATTTCGAGTAAGTTTTGGAGTGAATGAATAAACCAATTCCCAACTTGGTGTTTTCTCTGGATCCTCTGAAAAATCCTGTGATAAATAAATATGTCTGTTATAACTTACAGGATATGAATAGACCATACCACCTGAAACAAGAACACAAACATTTGAAGCATAACATAAAGCTTCAATGTCTCCATCAGCTTGAAAAATTTGTTCAAAACGACCAAATGGTATTGAATATGATCTATAAATTTTATCATTTTGTAGGATAAAATACATGCTGTTAATGTAATACCATTTACTTGTATAATCAATTTCCAAATCTGATGACATCATACTAAACATATAATAATTTATCCCATCCTCACTAATGAAAATTTGATTGACTTCATAAATTAGTACCCATTTATTATTAACACATCTAATAGGATTATTTGGATATTTAAATTTAGCATCTTGATTTAAATTACATTTGAACCATTGGATACAATCGAATGAATAACAAGGGCATAAATCATCTCCAACCGTTATCATTCCCATAAATTTACCGTTATTATATTCAACATATAAAATTCTTGGATTAATGATTGGCTTTCGTGTATCAGGATTCCAAACAGATGGAGTAAATGATTCATAGTTTTTAAAATCATTTGTTTTAAAATAATAAAACACTCCAGCTGTATAAAATAAATACGTGGTCACTCCATCATAACATATCCATTCAAAAGAATCTATATCAAAGGTTTTATCCGATGATTTCATAAAATTTAAAAATGGTGGAGTAAAATAGACCTCTGATTGTTTTATTTCTTCATTAACAAATGATATATCAGCTTTCTTTGCTAACTCAGTATTAATGAATGAAATAACTTTTTTCTTATCTACCTTCTTCATTAATTCAGTATTAACGTATTCCTTATCTGTCTTCTTATTTAATTCAGTATTAACGTATTCCTTATCTGCTTTCTTCATTAACTCACTATCCACATATTCCTTATCCACCTTCTTCATTATGTCATTTAGGAAACCTTCTATGAATTCCTCATTTAAATTAAATCTTCCAATCTTCAAAACTTTAGGAAATGCATTTAATGCGTAATATCTCTGTTCTTCTGGTGGAATTGATGTTATATCATCTGTTATTCCTTTAATTTTTGAATTCATAAATAAAATTTCTTTTATATTTGATATCACTGCACCACCTTTGCAAACGAATTCGAAATGGTCATTTTTCAATACTATCTCCAAATCTCCATATTTCAACCTTTGCGTTTGTTCTGCCGTCTTTGAATTATATGCATATGTGGCGTATGTAATGGTCTGAAGGACCTGGGCGCTTTGCGCCTTAAGTTGCTGTTGTTTAATCATTTATTACGATTTAAAAATAAATATTTAATCTGTCATCTCATCAGCTATTTTCTCTATTTGAAATTGCCATAATATTTCATTCATAAATTCTAAATCACAATCAAATAGGTCAGTTATTCTAAATTTAATATTTGATAAATCTTTTGAATGAAGAATAAATGAATTCCCGGATAATTGAAACGGATATGATAAAGAAAATGTGTTTAAGTTGATGGATAAAATGTTTTGTATTGATGGGTAAGAGTTAGGGTCTAATGTTTGATGTGAAAATCTCATTGGGGTATTAACTTTATCACATTTGATTAAAATGAAATTGGAACCAGTGTCAGAATACAAAACATCCCCAACATCTTTTTCAAAATTTAATATCCCCAACAATGAACGAAGATGAGGAGTACAAAATTTAATTTTCAGCGGGAATTTAATAAGGTTATTTATTTCATCAAGTTCAAAAAGTTTATCGGGTTTTGATTTAAAATTTTCTTCATACCATACGATAAATGATTCATTTAAATAACTTAAAATCGTGTTAATATCCCATTTCGCTATCACATTATTTATATACATATCATACGTTTTTTCAAGGTCTACGACCTCGCCGCTATGCGGCTCATGGTCATCTTTAATAAATGATATATAATCTGAAGGGTCTAAAAGAATGGGATTAAATTTACCACTCACAGAAACGAGAGTAACATTATAAATTCCGCTAACTGTTAAATTTAATTCACAGTTATTATTCGAAATAATATTGATAATTGACATTTTTTATTACGATTAAAAATATGGTAAAGCGTTATTTTCCAGTGATAAATAAAACTAGAATAAGATTACATCAAGAATTCATAAATTCAACGAATAAGAAATTCATTCATGTTATAAATTTTAGTGTTTTCAGAAAATATGAGTCAGTGTCATATTCATCAACAGGTTATATTTCACTTCATTCAAATTTAGTTCAATCAAACCCATATAATGATCATTTCATAAGATTTTCAGATGGTATTAAAAATGTAATTGATAAATTAAAATATGAACAGATTGACAATATCGAATTTTTGGAATTTTGGTTTAAATATCCCGATGGAAAAAAGATTGAAGTTAAAGATAAAGCTGATACTATAACAAAAACAATTACAATGACCGATCCGGATAGTGGGGAACAAAAAGAAATAAAACAAACGATAGAAACTGGTGAAAGGTCAATTATTATTGATTATGATTCAAAGGATTATTATTCGATAATGTTAATGCTTGAATATTAAATAGCCTTAACAAAGAATTTTTCAAGTGATATTTTATATTCATCAACTATTTTATTATAAATATCATTATATGTTAAATGAAGTTCAGTTGTTGTTCCGTTCTTTGTTATCTTAATTGTACTAATATCCTTTATCGGATTTATTTTTGCAACTGTTCCGCAGCATGAAACCTCATCATCTATGAAAAATTGAATCTTAACGTCTGAATCTTGAACATCACAATGAATGGCGATAATGTGAATTAATGATTCATAAGGTAAAATAATTAAACCGGATTGATCAATTAAATTTATTATTGAATCATAATTATTAGTTATTATATCACGGTAAATTTTCATTAATTCAGAATTAATGTCTATTTTATATCGATGTTTGATCAAGTGGTGCGGGTATGTTGGATAAGTGGGAATTTCAACAGGTTCTTTACCGGGTTCAGATAAAATGATTGGGTCTCCATCTTCTTTATTTTGCTCCTCCTCCTTTTTCGGTAAGTCACGAGTTAATAAATTTGGTTGAGTTGCTGACCTTGTTAATTCAGGGCTAACATTAACTTTAACATTTTGAATAATTCGTGATTTATCATCATTTACGTTATAACCAACCGTAATCTCTGCTTTTGCGTTAGTGTTCTTTTGACTAGTGAAACGTCTTCTCATTTATAATCGAATAAAAAAATATATTTAAACTTTTATTTTGCTGGAAGTTTTGAATCTATTATTCCCTGTATTTGTTCTTGAAGTTGATTTTTAGCTGGTTCATTGTAATTAATAGACCTAATATATTCATTAATTGCATTCTTATAATCATCTGATTTCTCAAATTTTCTTTTATCTGATTCCTTAACTAAATCATAAGTTAAACCTCGTTGCTGATATAATGGTTTCTTAATTAAATCTTTGAATGCTTGAGATAAAGCACCTGATGCAATTCTTGCTACTATAATTGGTTGGAATTGCTGTTTAAGTTCATCTTTAACATTTGCGAAAACTGGATCGAATAAAGCAACTTTAAAGAATTTCTTAGCTGAAATTTCAGGTCTAATATTTGCATATTGACCATCAAACTGGTTAGAATATCGTGGTAATCCATCCGGTCCCTCTTCAATAGCATTTAATTCTTCATTGAAATAAGAATATGGATTATAACGGTATGAATTAATTGGACCATTTTCACCTTCTCCAATGTATTGTTTAACAGCTTTTCCATTTTCATCAAATTGCATAGGATAACGTTCATTATATGCTTTACGTTTAGGATAATCAGTTATAGTTAATTTATAACCATTTATGACTTTAATATTACCTTGACCATCAGTAACGAAAACTTCATTTATACCATCAGGTTTTCCATTTGGACCCGTAATGTCTGCTTCGTGTGCTTCCCAATTTGGACCTTGACGTTTGGCATATGCTTGAGCTTCTGGTAATGTTAAAACGTTTCTCATTTGTTTAACATCTTTTTGAAGACCAGCAACAATATGAACTAATTCTTTCATTCCATCAGGAACTTTCATAGTTCTATTATATGCACCCTTTTTGTTTGTTCCTTGTTTTAATGGAACCTGTAGAAGATTTGCTATTTCTGTCATGTTTAATTATAAATAAAAAATAAAAATTAATTATAAAAAGTTAATCAAATTTAACACCTCCTTTATTTAAATCAACTATTATTTTTCCATGTTCACCTAATTGCTGATATTGTGTGTAAAGTTCATTAATGCTCATTGGTAAATTCACTTGATAAAGCATAACGTTCAACTGTTGACGACTAAACCCACTGAAAATGAAAAGGTTGATAGATTTGATTTAATGTTTGTGCTTAATGCTTTGAAATATTGAACAGCCATAAAGAATGAACACTGAATGTGTCGACATTGAGTTAATAACTGATTAAAATATGATTTCTCATTTGTTATTAGTTTTGATTTCACTGCATCATCTAGAAAAATGAGTGAATGCAAAAATTCTCTATCAAAATTTGAAATAGAAAGTGTTTCAAATAATTCATCCCGTTGTTTATCAATAATTTTATCCTCTAATCCTTGCTTCTTGATTGTATTATATAATTCTTTATACATTAAAAAGTTTTTTAAATAATCTTCTGCTTCTTCTTGTGATAAATAAATAATTGGAATTTTGATTAAATGCTTTAAAGATTCAAATGTATCATCTGAAGGTGAACCTGAACGGTTGATATAAATTAACACATGTGAATAGGGGGAAGTGTTAGCAATAATGATAATTTGTTTTAATATCGTTAATGTTTTACCTTTATTTTGTTTACCAATTGCTGCAGTGATTGAATTTAAGTAACATTCAGAATATGGAATTTTCATTAATTTTTCCTTAGATAGAGCATTTCTATTATCACTCAATGCTTCATTAATCATATCATCTATGTATGTATTATATACTCCTGCTAATTCTTCATAAGGAGTGTATGAATTTAAATCCATTTAATCAAAAATAAATTTATAATTTTAAACATTTCTATTCATCAATATTTCATCATATGAACTTCTATACTGTGGTGGTGTACCTGTTGGATGATATTTCAAACCTTCATCCGGTGTCCATGTCCAATATGTAGTCCTAGTAAACCAAACCTGAGGAGGATTTGTCACCTTTGAACAGTAAGTGTCATTTTCACCCTGAATGATTGGATAAGCTTTCACTTGTACTGTAACTTGTGAGTTGAAAGTTTCTAATCCATCAAAGAATATACCCGCTCCATCACGTTGAACTGGAATAGTGCATAAGAATGAAGTTTGGTCTTTCCATGTTCTAGCTAATGGCGTGCCATCATCTGCATTCAGTGGTCTAGTTAATGAGTCCTCGTATTCTTCTGTGCATTCATTCACTCCATCTAAATCAGAAGCTTGAAGCATACGTGTAAAGAATATGTCACCCACTGTGGTCATCGCTTGATCGGGGAAGTTTCTGGAATCTATAGTGACCTGAAGACCTCGAAGCATTGGATTTTCTAAAACTGTTCTTTGCATTGCATTCTTCGGAAATGCTAACACAACATCTGTAACATTATGAAGAGCGTATGAGAAATCTGAGCTAATACCTTCAGGAGTGATGCAACCTCCATTTAGTGAACGAACGTCAATATGTTGAGCTGGAATCATGAATGGATCTTCCTTACTGAATAAACGTGGTATTGCTTTAACTGATTCTTCAATTAAACCGTATCCTGGTGTAATGCATTTATCCTCTAAAACTTCCATCTTTGTGCATGAAATAATAACGTCATCAACTGTTGCGTCAGCAGATGTAGCGGCTAAGCTTGTAATTAATTTGGCAGGAAGTCCGATTTGTTGGAATTTGCGATCATATTTATAAACATGATTCATAATCTTTTCATAATTTTCATCAGTTATCTTTTCATAAACGTAATTTTGTAAATCAGCAACTCTTAACGGGTCAACCTGACAAAATACTAAAGTATCCCTGAAAACATAATATTTAAGAATGATATCACCAAATGATTTAGGATAATCATCGAACGCCTGAAATGCTAACAAATCATTTACCGGAATAATCATATCAAAAGTGACATCAACTTCTTCATTTGCTTTCTTGAAAACTTCTGAAGGGTCAATATATTTACCACATACTGAGTTATCATATTTTTGAACATTATTATATAACGAATGAACAAACTTTTTAACTTTCCTTTCTGATTTTGGTTTATATGTTGCAAATGCGAAAGATTCACGGGCGCAATCCATCTGAAGATAACCGGCATCACCTCTTTCGGTTTCTACTTCTAATTGTTTAAAGCTTTGATTTGATGATTTGTAACCAACGAATAAACGCATGCATTTAAAAGCGGCATCACATGTGAAAGCTTTATTTGAAACTAGAGTTGCTTTAACTTTGCGTTTAATATATGTGTCACCTAATTGGTTCACATCATGAGCCGGATTTGTAATTCTTAAATGAGTTTGTTTATCATCAAAATATGAAGCATCAGAGTCATAGCATGAACTTTCAAGTTCTCTATAATATCTTCTACCGTCATTCTTTGCGAATATTTCATTTATCTTTTCGAATGAATGAAACACATTTCCATTAATCGGTTTAGTGTTTGGCACCAAATAGTTAGTCGTCATTTATTAATAAATAAAAAATCAAAATTAAAAGATGAAAATGAATTTTTAATTTTAATGAAATAATCAACTATGGCTGCAGGTATATTTAAGAAACTGTGGGATAAAGTAAAAAGAGGAGCGAGTAAAGTTTGGGAAACATTGAAGACGGGGGCAAATTGGATATTTAAGAATAAAGAAGCAATTAGTGACGTTGCTGAATCAATAACACCAAAAGCTGCCCCAATAAGAGAAGTTTTAAATAAAGGAGAAAAAGTTTATCAAAGACTACAACCGATACTAAGATAAAAATAATTTTAAGCCGCTAAGCGGCGAGATGATCCATAGGATCTCATATTTATTTTTCCACTATCTACCTCCTATTTTATTAAGTATTCCTTCAGCTATTCCACCAACTGCGTTACCTGCTTGTGCTCCCATCGCCGGATTACCTGCTTTAGTACCTAAAACTCCACTTATGATAGTTCCTGCCGTTTTCGCTACTGGTGCCAAAAAGTTTGCAATGGGTTTAATAATCTTTTTATGAACCCAACCCGCAGCTTTCTTAATTCCATCCCATAATTTTTTAAAGAATCCTGCCGCCATTTCTGATTTAATATTAATTAAAAAAATATATTCCATCACTTATATTCTAATTTTTATTTAATGATAAATGAAACCGATTTTAAAAATAAATGAAACAGAGGAGGAAGAAATAAATGAAAGTGAAAATGTTCAACAAAAAATAAACGTTGTTAAACCAATTACTGAAATAAAAATTTTTTCATCTGTTGAAGAATTTAATGACTATTATGCTAATAATAAAAAATTATTTGAAGAATTGACAACGTGTAAATTGAATAAAATGTTTAAAGTTGATGGATTCAAAATTTCAAAAATAAAAGGAGTGATTAGTTTGAAATCTATTCCTCAATCAAGAATCACCTCATTAATGAAAATAGATGATTTAACAAAAAGAATAGAAGAGATTGAAGAAAGAATGAATCAAATAATTGATATCATAAATTCAAATAATCATTAGTTTCTTAAAGTTCAATGTTGAACTCATCAAATTCTTCTTCATCATTACCACTACCATTACCTTTAGCGAGTTTATTTACTCTTTCAACTTTATCTTTTGATAGTCTTTCGTTTAATTTTTTCTGAAGTTTTTCGTTACCAAGTTCTAAAATTTTACATGGATGATATTTAAACCCGTTAAATTCTTTTTCCTCAGTTTTAATCATTAATCTACAAAGAACTTTAGTGAGGTGGTTTTGTTGTTTAAACCATTTATCCTTAATATTTGTTATAAATTCAATATCCGGAATTAATTCCCAAATTTTTGAATTTTCGATTAATTTACCATCAAATGCAAAAGCAATAGGTTTAATATTAAACTTACCTTTATAAAATAAACTTTGTACGTAATCATCAAAATAAACGTCTACTTGTTTAACCTGGGTGAGAATTGGTGAAAGTTTATCCATTAATTGATTCACAGTCACGAATTTTGATTCACTCATTTCTTACGAATTAAAAAAAAATAAATTATTCAAAAATGTAAGACATGAATTTTTAAAGTTTATTTTTTATTCATGAAAATAATTATTTCTAATTTCTTTTACTCTCTCGTATATACTAGATTTAAAGAATTCAGAACATTTCCCATAATCTCCTAAATGTTTTCTTATCCCCAACGTGTGCCAGTTATTATATGAAACTGAATAAACTTTATCTTTATCTTTACACCTTTCATCACTTCCAATATATTTATATCTCAGTTTTGATTTAGCATTTTCATATTCATTAACGTTTAATAATTCACAGTCTTCCTTTTTAAATTGATGTTTAAGATATTCAGGATTTAATACTCTACGTTTATATGCTCCTAACTTAGTTCTAAAGGTTTTTCTACAAAATTTAGGAATTCCATCCTCTTTAATGTCATCAATGATTTCCATTTCATTATTTTCAATTTCTTCTTCTCGTTTATGAGGTCTTTGATTATGACTCCATTGATTCCATGAAATTAAATATTCTTTATCATTATATTTATACCTCATTAGCTTATTTTGGCTTTCATATTCATTTAATAATTCACAATCTTCATTTTTAAATTGAAGTTTAACCCATTCAGGATTTAAACAATGTTTAATTAATCGCGGAATATCTGACATCATCTATATATAGCTTCTTTTATAAAAGATAAAAAAATAAATTATTTTAAAATTAATGTTAATTTTTTAATGATTTATAAATAAATATATTTTAATGCATCGTCTATATATAGATGTAACAAAAAAAGTCACTAAACCCGTCATATCCTACTACTGAAATTGTATCCGTAATATATATACATTTATTAACAAAAGCTTATATTGACTTGATTTTGCTTCTTCTGTCATCTACAATTTTAGGTTTAAAGAAAGTATTTTTGATCACGCAAATATTGAACGGTATTGAGAACAATATATGGATAAAAATCACAGCCTTTGCACATGAATCTAGATTTTTGTATGCGAATGTCAATGAATCAATTAAATATTCTTTGTCAATATTTGTTTGATCTGATGTAACTTTATCTGCCATTTTATAAATGTCAACTTTTGTAGAGAAGTACCGAATGTTTCTCATTAGGTATATTGAAAAAATAAGAGCGCAATAAGTAAAATATTGAAGATATCGAGTCCTGAGATGCTTTGGGCAAAATACGATGATAATTACTGATATAAGGTATAAAGGGCAGTAAAATATGCCAACTAAGAGGTAAATTTTTAATGGTATGTTGATTTTCAAATCATAAACAACATCTTTACTTAATGTTGAGTAATATAATATTAGAAATGAAGTTATTAATGTAGATAGCCAAAGTAGCATACTAAATAAGAACGGTAAAACAAAGGGATCAGGGCGTCTCGCTACTTTTCTTGGCATCTATGAAGTTTTGAAAATCAGACTCACAAAAAATCGATAATGAAGAATCATTTATTCATAATTTATCCAATAATTAAAATCAAAATCGTATTTGGAAAATTTTATATTATTTCCAAAATTTATGCCGTGCATAATTAAAATATTGAATTGATTCAATACACTGCGCGGCACATATTTTAAACAATCGAAATTGAAGAAATATTATGGTTTTATTATAATTCTAATTGGTAAGCATTTAGATATATCTATTCAATCAAGACTATTTAGAATTAAGAAATAAAACAAGGAAAATAAATTTTCAAAATTTAATTCAAAGGAAAAACAAGATAAATGGATTGGTATTTGCATTTTTATAAAATAACAAACAAATCTAATATATAGTTTAAGGGTTATTATTAAAGGTTTCGTCATCATCAACAGTTATAACAAGTTTGTCGGTGCTTGAACCGACCAATTGGGAAACTTTTGGACTAATATTATCAACAGGATTGCTTATCTCATGAATATTAAGGTTATTCATCATTAAATCGTTAAATCTTGGTTCTGAGTTTCTGGAACAGCAAAAACTTGTATTGATGAACCTGAATGCAAACAGAAGCAAGAAAATGGTCGTAAAAACTCCGATTATTTCAAGAATTGATTCCTGAACTTTTCTAAGCTCTTGTCTTATGCTTATGCATTGTTCATCTTGCGCATTTGTCCAATGCGTTGAGTTCTGCAGTTCTAGTTGTGATATATCATTAATTGTCATTGCTGAACAGAGATTTTTATTAATTGAAATATTTAACGTCGTTATTTGAACGTTTAAAAGGAATTTCTTGGCCGATTTTAACGAAAGTTTAATGAAAAATGGTTTAGACATCATCACAGAACAAATAGTTGCATCATTACAAATTTTTTGAGGTTTTTGATGATTAAGTGAATCATCCGTATAAAACTCGGCTGTAAACGTGTTTGACCTACTATTTGAATTCATTGTGATATATCTTTTATATGTTGATTCTGAGAAAAATAAACATTTTGTATCAAAGCCAACACTATTTATCTTATATTTGTAAGAAAGGCCATAGTTATGGATAATTCCATTCGATTTACATATAGTAGATGGAATAATCCATTGAACAAAAGTCTGTTTAAGTTCGGTTTCGAAAACAATAGGTGTATTAGAAATTGAGAACGATCGCGTGTTAGGTTTTATGTGAGTTGATGTTAAATTTTGATAATGTCCTTTTCTGGCAGTTAATGAATAATATGGATAAGATTCTCTAAAAATAAATGCAGATGAATTTCCTAAATCAAGCGCAAGTTTTTCGTTCGGATGTATAGTCGTATGATAAAAACCTGGCCTAATGTATGTAAGAAAAAATACATTGAACATAAAATATTTAAAATTATACGGGTGTGAATAGTTTAGTATTCAGGAATTCAAATAGAATAGAATCAGATGTGAATATCTGAGCTCTAGACGCAAAACATCATTTAAATGACAATTACGAATAGTTTGTAGGCATATTATAGGCTCAAAATCCTTAATGTTGTTGATTTAAGCACAATTAGCTACAACATTAGAAATATGTTATATCTAAGAGATATTAGTTCATGTAAAGTTAATTGAGCATATTTTTAAAGTTCATATTAAAACTTTATTTCGAACATGAAAAAATATAAAATAAACAACAAGTAAAACGAGTAAAACATCAATTCACAATGAAGTCAAATAACATGATGTAATAATTTTCAGGAATTAGCAACAACTAAATTTTTTCCAAACCAAATCCCGATATAAAGCTTATCTCCTGCTTTTATTCCGTAATCAGCAATTGTAAAGAATCCATACAATGGTTCGTCTTCATATAATAAGCATACTGTGTCAAAAGCTAATCCAAATCGAAGTGTTATCATTGATTCAAGTTTATCAATAGTCCAATCTGGGGAAGCATCAATAGGATATGCAGATCCTCCTGGAAGTACTGCATAGATTGTCATTACAAGGCTTTCATTGTTCACTTGTGAAGTCAGTTTGTAATCGTACAAAATTTTGTAAAGAATTTCAATAGTTTACGAAAATCCTTCAAAAATGAAATATATGAGAAATACCTTACCAAATAATATATGGATAAAACTTAATTTGTCGCTTTTCCGTTCAAAAGTTGAATTCCTGAATAATTTGACATCGATGAATAGTCGCTCTAATCTTTGAATAGTTTAAACCTTAACATGGTTAGCAATAATTTCGAATCACTTATCAAATGCATACACCATAAAATAGAAACAAAATAATCGTTCCAAAAAATAAGCATTAACTATGTTTCAACTTGAATTAGCCACATAAGTTAAGATTTCCAAAGAGATATATAACTTTTGATATTCAATTCCGTATAACTGCGGATAAAATTGTTGGATAAAGCTTAATAATTAAAAAATGTGCATGCAATTATGAAACTAACAACTTCTATTTACTAATATATGATATTTCAAGCTAAAAAGTTGAAACATTTTCTAAGAAATAAAAAATTAAAACTTAAGATTCTTAAATAATTCATCAAAGTTCGAAAAGTGTTGACGTGAACCTTGGTTCGTCTCTTCCTCTTCCTATGCTTCGAATTCGACGTCAAGACCTAGATGATGACAAATAAATGTCGTTGCATCAAGCAGAACGCTTTGACTTCGATCTGTATTATGGCTTCCTTTGACTATTTTCAGATTTTTATCATTTGACGGGCACAAAGAGTATAAAATTTGAGAATTCATCGGATTTATGAAATTATCTTTCTCTCCGTGTATAAATGTGATCGGAATTGTTACTTGTTTAACTGCTTCTATAATATCTAATGAATCAACATCAAAATCCAATTGTTTTAGGATTTGTTCTTTTATTGATGGAAAAAGTGAGTTAAATATTGATTCTGGAATGAGTCTTTGCTTTGCTATTTGCTTTGCTAAGTCGACTAATGACGTAAAAGAAGAATCAGCAACAATTGCTTTTGGAGTTTTGTATTTAGCTGCATATAATATAGCTGTAGCTGCACCCATTGATCTTCCCCATATTGCAAACTTCGTACAGTTGAAAGTGTCGCAAATTTGCTCAATTAGTGTATTTGTATCATCGACTTCAAAGTGCCCTAGCGTAACGTAGTCGCCTTCGCTTGCCCCACATCCTATAAAATCAAAGCAGCTTACTGATATTCCAAGAGGAACAAACAGAGAAACGGCAAATCTTCCTTCAAGTTGATTTGAAGCGTTACCATGTAGATAAAATACGACAGGATTGCCACTAATTGCATCTGGAGCTTCATAAAATGATCCATACATTCTATATCCTCGTTTTGACACAACTGCAAATCCAATTCGAAGAATTTGCCCATAACCTGGAATTTTGTTAAACTGTGGTATATCGCCAAGTTGATATACTTGTCTTGGAGGACGTATTATCGCTTTCACTCCTTGTGAAACTAACATTTCGGGATATGAATTTGACAAAAGTGACAATTAGATTTTTGAAGATTTTACTTTGAAAAAATATCTTTTATGGTATACAATTTGATTAGAATTGAAGAAAAATTTTGGCGGATTTTTTCCTTTACATACAAAAATTGAGAAGAATTGACTATCATAACGGAATGAATAATAAACAGTGAAAAATTATCTCAGTAATAATTAGCAGAATTCTGAAGTTAAGTCTAAAATCTCAATATTAAACAAGCCAAAAGAAGTAATCACTGTGGATTCAGAATCATTCTAGAAAAATTCAAGGTTTCGAGATTCCATGAAATATCACTGGAGACTAATAGTAGAATTTGACATATGACTCTCAATTTTGAGATGACATGCACTAAATAGTCTAGCATAATTGCTTCTTTAATTTCCTCTAAAAATTAAATTTGAAAATCATCTATAAATATAAAGTTCATTTGATTATATTTGCAATCTATAAAATTTGACATATCTCTATGTAAAGGAGATATTCAGACTTATGCATATGTACTCCTAGTTTTGATTTCCAAGTGTCATTATTAAAAAATCTAGTGATAGTAAAAAATTAACACTTTAATATAACAAATAAAATATTAATCTCTATGACATACTAATTTGATATTCAACGATACAACCATCTTGTGTTCCAAAGGAAATAAGAGGTAAATTCTGATGAGCAGCGCAACAATTTGCTATTTCAGGCAGATTATGCATTACATTGCCTTCCAAATTCGCAACAACTCCCTGCATTCCAGAACATGCAACTGCAATGATAGGAGTAGTTTGTGAAGCAGTAAAACTGAGTATTTCCGACTGCATGTCCATTATGCAATTGCAGTTCGAACTTTCATTAAATTTGAAAATCTGTCCTTCTCTTGTTGCAGCCAAATACGCGCAATTATTGCACAAATTGGAGTGGACGCTAAGTATTGTTCCATCCAATGAGAAAGAATTGACTTTCTCTGGTTGTCTTATATCAACAATTTGCACTAAATCTTGTTGATGACAGACAACTGCCAAATTCGAATTAGTTGGTGATAAACAGATAGAATTAACTGGTGAATCACCACCAAAAGCCCATTCTCCAGCGAATCTCATTGCTTCGATATCCCACATTCTTATTACACCACCAATTCCGCGACTTGTCAACAAGTTTGGTTTGGAATTGAATGGACAAACAACCAAGTTTTGGTTACTTCTGACCAAATCAGCTCTAAAACGATCCGTATAATTATAATTCTTCGGATTCCAAATTGTCACACATCCATCTGATGTTCCTGCAATGACAATTGGTTCGTGCCAGTCAGCAATTTCAATTGAAGACAAGTTATTCACATTGATTTTCTTGTTTTTGAACAAAACATTGCCGAGTTTGTTGCAAACTAAATATTCTCGACTTTGTTTGTCATAAACAATCGATGTTGGATAAGATTCACTGAGATCAAGTCCGTTGTTAGTCTTAACAGCTGTAGTTTTTCCTATATAGTTTAAATGAGCTGGTGGTAAACATGTCATTGAATTTTGAGAGGAAGAATTCAATGGTTTATACATTTTTGATTCAATGACTTGTCTCAAAAATATTCTGTACAACAAATCCGAACAGCTATCATTATAATTGAAAATTGATGGATTGTAGCTTGACTTGATTTCGAGTGTTTCCAATGCTGAATCACTTGGTGAAACACTAGAATACGTGTACATGTCTTCATTCACTGTGTATCTGTTTAAATTCTTGTCCAAATCGAATGCAAACTCTTGTACAGATTTATTTGGATCTTCAGCAAGCAAAGATATCGAAAACAAAGCGATTTCAACGCATTTCCTTAATGTTTCCGGACTTTCTGCGATTCTATCAATGATATTCATCATAAACTCCCTGTTTGTGATCATCTTTGACATATCAATTTCTTTGTTGTTCAATGTCCATTCGCCTGCAATTTTGTTGTAACTTTCCGACATTTTCAAAGTTGCTCTCGTTGGAAGATTTTTCTTTTTTGACTCAATGAACTTCTCGAGGAATGTCACGTAAGAATATCTTACTAAAGGAGAGCAATCGAAAAGCGAAAACATCAACATCAAAAAGATTTGGCAATCAACAGAATCATCAACACCTAAAAAGCTTTCCAAAAGAGGGAACAAAGCTGCTCTTACTTCATAACTCTTGTGGAGAATATAGAAGGCAATTCTCGCATGATATCCCTTAGAAATAAAGGATCTTTTGGAAACATTCGGTGTATCATAAAATTTTTTCGCCAAAAGTAACAACCAACTTGTAAATCTTGGTTTATCATTAAGATTCAAGATTATTTGGTCTCTCACGTTTTCTATTGTCATGAATCTTTGTATGTTCGCGTTCATTGAATAGCTCAATGACGTCAACAAAACACAAATCAATGTTTTCGTATCAGAATTCAATTTTTCATTTGACATCAAATTAATTAATGTTTCAAAATCTTGTGACATTGGTAATTCGTACATAGAAGCTGGTTCTTCTTCAATTAAACAACAAACTAAATACAAAAGAGAATGAAATGATGGAGAAAATGGATCAGTATTCAAAGTAAGGTTAAAAACCGCTGAAAAATTGGCATTTCTTGACAAAACTTTTCTTCTTTCTTCATCGAAACTTGCGAATTCAGACAAAATGGTGAATGCTTCAACAGTGTACTCGGTGCCAATGGAATTAAGTATTAATGAGTAGTATTCTGGCTTGTAATGTGCAAATTTGTTGTTTCTGACAGTGTCAATCGCCATTTTGAAAATTGAAGTGATTTGTAAATCCTGAAAAGGTGACATTGATGAATAAATTACAGAATTCAGTTCAGACTTCAAGTTCTGCCACAATCTATGGCTCGAGCAGTCCTTGATCATTGGATAGCTTTGTGGATGAATTTGGTAATTTTTGAGTAAAAATTGACTCAACAAAAAACCTTCTGTAATTCTTTTTAAAAGCGGATCTTTTCTTATGAGTTTGTCGTACAATTCCTCAGGAAGAGATGCCGCAGCTATTGCATCACTAATCGCTAAAACAGTTCTCATAATTTTGTCACGTTTTTTGTCTAACAATTTTTGAATTGTTTCATCGATAGGAAAACAAGGTCCGACATGGGAATTACGGAAATTCTGGAGTATGTGGCATGTTAAAGATATTTCGACAGGTGTGAATACACAACTCGTCAAGAAATCATGAGGTAAATGTAATTCAACAGGAATCTCTTCCGAAATGTCTGTAACACAGAAAGCAAACCAGTCTGTCCAATCAATTGGCTTCCTTTGTGGTACTTGTTGCCTTGTTTGGTCTTGCTGCTTAGAATTTGCATAACTTTCCAAACTTTTTAAAACAACGGCAGCATTATTGCAGTCGAACATGAATATGGATGGACATTGAACAGCATCGAATAATAGAGATGTTGGAATTGGTTTGTTTTCATTTGGCAAATAAAATTTGTTTTCTTCAATTTTTGGATGATTATAGCCTAAGAAATGTAAAAGAATGCGCCCATCAGGAACATCACGTCTGACGTTAAATCTCTCTTGTAGTTTTTTAAAAGATAAACCAACATTTAAACTATCGCGTGTTTTTGAAATCTTTTTAATCTCACTTCGTATATAGGCTACTAATTGATTACGATAATCAACGTCTGAAAGCTCATGAATGTTTTTCCACATGATTATTTGTGGAATTAAAGGATTTGCTGTCTGACTATTTGTTTTGTCTGCATATATTCCAAATATGCATTCTATGTGTGAGGATATATTCATTTTTTGTTCAAAATTTCGACGATTTTGGTATTTAAAATCGACATCCGCATCAGTTAGTGAAGGAAGATTAGATGATTCAGTATTTTCAAAGTCTATTTCGATGAATTTCTTGGAAATATTGTTCAGATGTTGGTAATAATTAACGTTATCACAATCTTCTTCTTCAGAATATGATGAATAGGTACTGCCAACGAAGTTATCACGAGTACTATAAAATGAAATTTGTTTCTTTTCTTTTTGTAACCCTTCCATTTTAATAGTCAGTGATTGTGAGAAATTTTCAAACTCGAATAAAAATGGCAAATAAGTGTTTCATGGGTATGATCTAAAAACAATATATTGTAGAAATGCATTGAAGTAATTAAATCAAATGGAATATTTTTTTTATTACTACAGGCGTGAATCAACGATTCTCACCCATAATAAGCTTAGTAAATCCTTCCAAAATCTCAACATAATTAAGGGTCCACGGTCCGGACAAGCGAAGGTTATCGTTAATGTTCAAAATAATATAAGCCAGCAAACGTATTTCTAGGAATTATAGTGATTTATAGAAAATCCCGTGATCAAATTCCGAAGATGTATTATAACATAACTCTTTGAAGAATGAAAGAAATAGGAGTATATATAAACATTCTATGCAAAAACATCTGTGACTGTTATTTTAATAAATTGACATTTCATTTTTAATTTTTCGCAAAGCTGATGAGTTTCAGTATTAGAATTCTTGATGTATTCATTTACACCTCAAGTATAATGATTTCCTTGAAGTATCTAGTATAATTCATAGTTTTGTTTGAATATAATTGACTGAATAAAAATCTTATTGCTTTAGACATTATATCTTTTCGTATCTATGAATTTAATTAAAATTCATAAATTAAATCCGAAATTAGATCTTTGTGATCATTGATTTCGACATGTCTAACATAATATTTGTTTATTCTAATAAGTTTAAAATATAATTATATATTAAAATGCAAATGTGTCCTTTTAAAAAATTATTAATGTCCGAAAAAGACATTCATCCAAATAAATACAGTGAACCGCGAAGTATCTTTAAACACTACATTGATTCATATATTGCATTGTATCAGCTGAAAACGGAAAAAGAAGAAGAATTAAAAGACATTTACAAACAGATCAAAACAGAATTGATTGATTCGATGAAATGTCCACCCAAAAAGATTATTAAAGACATTATAGGTATAATTTATGTTAATAATCGCTATACAAAATCATATTTATTTCTTGTCAAACTCATATATGATGATTACCATGTTCAAGAGATCAGCAGTGTTGCAACTTTTCCAAGCTTCTTGTTTTATAAAGAATATGGAATTAAATTAGACAAATCTCTTGATTTCGAAAATTTTAAATCAAAAAACCTCGATATTCATACAGAAGATACAATTTACAGAGCAATTATGTATAATGACTTAGAAAGATTCATTGCGTTCACAGAACAAGATGGATTTGATAAAGATCAAAAAATTGACAGCAATTTATATTCTGGAAGATATTCATTACTTGAAGTATGCTGCTATCATGGGGCTGTTGATTGTTTCAAGTTATTAAGAACAAAATTTAACTCAGAAATAACTGAAACATGTCTCGAATTATCATTTTTAAGCGGAAATCCAGAGATCATGAGTGAATGCTTGAAATATCAAACACCATATAGAGAATGCATGAAATACGCAATTATTTCACATAACATTGATTTTGTTACATTCTTGATGAATGAATACGATATAGATATTAATTTATATATCTGTCTAGGGTATTGTAATCTTGATGCATTTTTAGTTTATTTCGATCAAACTAATGATATTAACAAATGTTTTGTTTATTCAGTAATGTTTGAAATTCCATCCCTTTGTGAATTTTTCCTTTCACATGGTGTAAATATCAATGAAAAAGATAATTATGGAAAAACCGCTCTTCATTATGCAGCAGAAAATAATGGAAAAGAAACAGCTGAGCTTCTTATTTTACATGGTATTAATATCAATGAAAAAGATAATTATGGAAAAACCGCTCTTCATTATGCAGCAAAAAATAATAGAAAAGAAACAGCCGAACTTCTTATTTTACATGGTATTAATATCAATGAAAAAGGTAATTATGGAGAAACCGCTCTTCATTATGCAGCAAAAAATAATAGAAAAGAAACAGCCGAACTTCTTATTTTACATGGTATTAATATCAATGAAAAAGGTATTGATGGAAAAACCGCTCTTCATTATGCAGCAGAATATAATAGAAAAGAAACAGCTGAGCTTCTTATTTTACATGGTATTAATATCAATGAAAAAGGTAATTATGGAAAAACCGCTCTTCATTATGCAGCAGAAAATAATGGAAAAGAAACAGCTGAGCTTCTTATTTTACATGGTATTAATATCAATGAAAAAGGTAATTATGGAAAAACCGCTCTTCATTATGCAGCAAAAAATAATAGAAAAGAAACAGCCGAACTTCTTATTTTACATGGTATTAATATCAATGAAAAAGGTATTGATGGAAAAACCGCTCTTCATTATGCAGCAGAATATAATAGAAAAGAAACAGCTGAGCTTCTTATTTTACATGGTATTAATATCAATGAAAAAGATAATTATGGAAAAACCGCTCTTCATTATGCAGCAGAATATAATAGAAAAGAAACAGCTGAGCTTCTTATTTTACATGGTATTAATATCAATGAAAAAGATAATTATGGAAAAACCGCTCTTCATTATGCAGCAGAAAATAATGGAAAAGAAACAGCTGAGCTTCTTATTTTACATGGTATTAATATCAATGAAAAAGGTATTGATGGAAAAACCGCTCTTCATTATGCAGCAGAATATAATAGAAAAGAAACAGCTGAGCTTCTTATTTTACATGGTATTAATATCAATGAAAAAGATAATTATGGAAAAACCGCACTTCATTATGCAGCAGAAAATAATGGAAAAGAAACAGCTGAGCTTCTTATTTTACATGGTATTAATATCAATGAAAAAGGTAATTATGGAGAAACTGAGTATATAAGAATTTCCGAAAAAGTGACACCCAAAAAGGTGACACTTTCAATAGGGGGTAACATTTAAAAGTGACAATTTAAAATTCACAATAAATAAAAATAATAAATTTTTTAGTCTATTAAATTATTCTTTTCTTTGAAATGTTCCATATTAAGTTCTGTCAAAATGTAAGCTATTCAATTCTATCGTCGGGGGAAGTATCACAAATCTATTAATTTTTTTGTAAAAGTATACAAAAACATATGGTGTTCAATTAGTTTATAATAATATAAATATTAAGATTATCCAAAATAAGAAAAACTAGGTTTTGAGAACACTTTTGAGATGATAATCAAAATATTTTGATTGAAAAATAATATATTATTTATCAGATATAGAATGGATTTTTTCAAATTTAAAAATTCTGAAAAATAAACAGTTTTGTAAAGTAAAAAAAATGAACGAAAACTCGAGACCTCGTATTCCAAATGAATGGGTAAGATATATGTATGAAAAACTTGAAAGTGGTGAGTAAGGATGTCAATTTGGAAGAAAAGTGAGAAAATTTTGATTGTGAACTCATCTCTAATATTTTGGCTCCTTAATATATTTGAATAATGATCTTTGAGAAGAGTTCTCAAAAGTATTCACAAAAGCTATTTTTCCTTGAAATTTAAAAATCCTGTTTATTATATATTACCGAATTCTATGAGCATTTCAATTTTTGAAAAAAACATATTTTTTTCCAAATATATTTATTATCATATTTCTAATAATATTTCCTAAAGCGTCACTTTTTACTTCCTCGATGATTATTTCCCTCTCAAAAAATTCAATAGCTTACATTTTGACAGAACTTAATATGTAACAGAAATCCTCCAAAAATTCTTCGAAATGTTCTAAAATATAATCTGGAGAATTATAACAAAATTCATTAATTTCTAACATATACGTATCTAACAATTCATTTGGAATTTCAAACGATCTTAAATATGTAATTGAATTTTGTATCTTCTCATTTATTTGAGAAAGTTTTTCTTCAGCATTTTCCAATAAAAATCTTAATGGATTCAAATTGGCTTTTTGATTCTGAACAAAATTTAATACTTGGTATAAACGTGATTGAACTTCTCTTTTCAATTTTGTTTTATAATCTGTCAATCGAGGCTCGCGAATTCTAATTGAAGGAATAAAACCTGTTTGAAGTAAATCGTTTTTAATACGATAAAAGTAATTGGGTGCAACTTCTTCTAAAAGATTTTTGACAAAAACATCAATTCTTTGATTTTTAACGCAGCCAAAATCGTGATATTTTATCTTTTTAAATAAAGATTCAGAAACGTTATTCACAACGGTTAATTCATTTGGTCTGGCAGCGGCTATCCACTGTTGTTTATGAATGTCCCACTGACGTGTAAAGTATTGATTAAATTCCAATTGATCTTGAATTTTATCAATAATGTGCTTTTTATACATTTTTGCAGCATCTTCTTCTGTGCAATCACGATAATAACATAAAATGTTCATAAATTTTTCGACTTCTGATCTAATCTCTTCATCATTTATCTTTGAGAGATTCTTTTTAAGTGCGCGTATTACATGTAGCGCGCACCAAAAGATATTGCACTCCGGAAATGAATTCCTAATCCCGTTGAAAATGTTTAGTGCACAGTCAGACATGATAAATTCAGGTTCTGTGTGAGTTGTTTCAAAATATTTACTTAAGCAAAAAGAAATATTTTCACTATTATCTGGATATATTATATAGGGTGTCCAAAGGTGCGTTTAGCACAGCGCTCTATATGAGACTATTAAAGGAGATATATGCTGATTATAAATATATAATAAAAAATATGAATATATGTATATGATGAGTATGTTGTATTTTGGCGCCATGCCGGGATATAAAATGAATTTTGAGACAAGAGGCGGTTTCGCGGGAAATTTTGGCGGGATTTTTTTCATTTTTTTAATGAATCATAAAGAAAACATCCTCGCTCTTGCAAAAAAATGCAAAGACTGTAAAAAAATCTACGAGACATTGGTAAAATGCTTCGGTATGGATGCTCCTAGCTATTCCACTGTAACATATCATGTTAGGATGTATCACTTCATGAACAAAAAGGCGCCCATCATAAAAATTGACAAAAAATCGCCGGATCAAAGAAAAATCAAAGCAATTCTTCAAGCGCTAGATGAAGACCCAAGAGCATCACTCAGAAGGATAGAGGAGATGACAAA